TTTTTCAGAACTATATACTCTGTGTTTAATATACATAAGTGCTAACGGACCATATCCTAGAACAAAACATAATGGTAGGTTTTCTTCATTTGCTTTTCCTGTAATCTGTCATTTTTAACATTTCATTTTTAACTTTTCTTAATACTTACCAGGATTATCCACTTAAAGTCAGGGTGATAAAATTCTGCTTGGTTTGAATGATTAGTGACAGTGAGCCATGTGGAGACACAGTCTTTGTCATGTGAAATGACAGGAAGAAGGGTTGACTATTGGACCTGTTGGACTGTTTTTGACTCCCTCTGAGACCTGCTTGGTTTGCTTTCACTGAAGAAACTTTCTAGTAATTTAAGCCGGCCCTTTAAATAAGAAAAGACGGTAATGAAATGTTGAATGATAGACTTCTAACTCAGTGTTGGGGGTAATGCACTACATGCAACAGATTACAGTAACAATATTATTTTGGGGGGTAACAAAGTAATGCACTACACTAAAAAAATATTGGTAACTTTATGATTTTACTAAACTATGGGAATGCGCCCTTCTGTGTTACATCAGCTGTGTATTCCTGTGTGCAAAGTTCTGATCTGTTAAAGTGGTTCGTGTGTACGTGCTGCTTGTGTGTCTGTTACAACAGGTAGGGGTTTGGTGCTCATATCATAAGGATCAATTTCATCTTTTTTATTTTTTTTAATATCAAGCCTTTGGACCATTGTCCAGCGTGTCTCTGTACACTCTAACAGTCTTGTCTTTCATTTTTCTTGGGTGACAAAAATATATGTGTGAATAGTTTTTCATGCCATGTTGTATACGTTTATATAATAAACAAAAGGATGCGGACTACGCTCAGTGATGATTGGGCTATGATGTGGGTCCATGTACTGTACCTGTGCACGGTAAATTAAGAAACGGGAAAGTAAAGTAATATGTAGAGAAGTTACTTTTTAAAGGCAGTAACTAGTTAAGTAATCTCAGTTTACAGAAGTAACTAGTTACTGGTAACAAATTATGTTTTATGAGTAACTACCCCAACACTGGTTATATCACAGGTTTAATGTTTAGGTTGCCATCATGTTCATGCTGTCAGCCTGAATGGATTACTGAGTAAGATCTGATAACAACACATTCTGTTATTATTAAAGTCAGAATTGCAGCACAGTTTTTAAATTTATGGGAAAGGTAAAGTTTCAGACTGTTCTATCGAATCCCATGATTTTTTTCTTTCAAACTGGACCTACAGACTGTCAAGTTTGATCTCCTCCTTCCTTCACTCTCATGTTTTATGGTTTTCCTTCTCTCTCGGCACTTACCTCCTCTTCTCCCTCTCGTCCGTCTCCTTGATTACTCGTTGCTCTCATCCTGACTCTGATCTGCCAACTTGAATTAGACCACTACCTCAGCTGATGGGTCGGGTTTTTTACACTCTGATGGAGTGTGTCTATGTATGCGAGTGTGTGTGTGTATATGCAAGGCAATGACGTATGACACAGAGGCTTGAGACTGAGTGGAGTACCATCCTATAATGTTTAACCACTTTATTTCATCAGAATTATGTAAAAACACAAAATACATAACACTTAAAAGCAAAGCCCACACACAAACATGTGGAGAGTCTTGAAGAAAGGTGCATCTACAGCCCTGGCATCCAGGAATTACAGCCATTGTTCTGTGATCACCCATTATGATAATGACAGAGAACAACAGCTGCTGCCACCAGAACAGCCACTGTTTTAATGCATGAAGCATTTTCTGACTCACTGCTTTACTGTTTGCATACTCTCTGTTCATTGGCTTTGATTTTGTCTTCCATTTTCCTACACATTACCCTCATATATATGATGAATAACGGTGTTCCACGGGCAAAAAGGTCTCGCTCCAAAATAGACAAAAAAAGGGTGTTACATTCATAAAAGCTACATGTAAAAAAGGGCCCGTCATCACAATTGTCTTTTCGCCAGAGTTATTGCAATTCAGCCAGAAGAGAAAATGAATGTCTGCTCCAATTTGAATGATCATCCATCCAAATGTTGTGATATTTCCGTGTAAAACAAAGCAGTGGACCAGCAGACCAACACTGTCATCCTGTACCAGCTACAAATCAGACACAGATACATCAGTATGCAACAACATAATCAACTTATACACTCACTACAATGAAGAGTCAAGGTTCAGCACGGCTTCATGTGTTAATAATTTCCTTGAGAGGATCCTTGAGGAAAACAGAAGATAGATTAATATCACGATATGCATGGTTTGAAGTTTCCCTATTTAATGTCTCATAGTTTTATCTCACTGTTTAGATGTTTGAATATTTCACAAGGAGTTTAAGAGAGAATAAAAGCTTGTGTAACATACTGTTTTGGTGAGATTTATCCAGCGACCCCCTTAATGGCCCCTAACTTATCAGCTTGGCACATCAACTGTTTATCAGTATGGACAGGGTACCTTTGGCTCTTCCTTTTGCGCCATCAAAAGCCAAATACCACTTTAATGGTAGCTGATGCAAATTGCTGGTGGAACCACAACCCTTCCTCTAAAGTCTTTGATTCAGAAAACTTTACTGTCTGCGGTGACAGAAATTTATTTTTGGAGTGGCTCAACACAGTTCAACAAATAATTACTATAGACACAAATTCTTAAACAGTAAAAATGACAGCATTTACTGTACATCACTAAAATAATCATAAATAAAGATAAAAAGTACAAAGGATTGTGGAATATGAAATAACCAAGTGTTTCACAGTCCTGCGGTTATTGTTGTGTCAACATTTATGTAGGATACTTGTTGCAGTGGGGATGAATGAGTGTTGTTTTGAATCCTTTTTTTTGGCAAAGGGGACTCGGTATCTGTGGCCTGACGAGAGGAGTTGGAAGGATAGTTGGGGGTGGGTGGGGTCGTCTGTAGTGACTTTGGCTTTACTTTTAACTGCTGGTTTATAGAGCTCTGATAGTGGGCTTTGGGTTTGCTAGGTGAATGTTCGGGGAAAGCTTTGATCTGTCTCTGACAGTGATGAGGGTGAACCAGGATGTGATATTGAAGGTGAGAATGGAGTCTATGAGGGATTTGTAAATGACTGTTAAAGTGTCCTGTCTGACATCAAAGCTCCTGAGTTTCCTCAGCAGGTAGAGGCATTGCTGTACCATCTTGTGACCAGAGTCTGTGTTCTGGAGGAGGACGGAGAGGTGTCCATCTCTCTGCCCAGGTACCTGAAGGCCTCCACCTGCTCCACTGTCTCCCTGCCCAGACTCAGGGGCTCAAAGAGCTGCTTTATAGAAAACTGGAGTGGGTCTAGCCTGTCTGCCATCATAGTAAGGTAGTCACTCACCACCCTCTTCATACACTTACATAGTAAGGATGTGAGTTCCACAAGTCTGACGTCCTTCATTTCCCTCAATACCAGGATGAGCGTGGACTCCTTCCACACCTGTGGAACACAGCAGGAGTTGGGAAGGTGCTGAAAGAGTTGCAGGAGGACAGCACCGTGCTCCTGAGCCTGTCTGGGCCAGAGGCCTTGTGAGGGTTAATGTGTCCCTGTATGAATGTCTTCTTTCATCCACAATGACTGATGGGCATTCAGGACAAAAGAGGGTCCAGTCACTCAGGGGGATGGCTAGTCAAACCTGCTGTAAAAGACATCCAGCTGCTCTACAAAGGTAGCAGGGTCTGAACACTGGTTCAGGGTTGGGTTAAGTCCCTGCCACGCTTTCTTTGCATTGCCAGTAATGAATTTTTCTTCTACTACTTCTACTTTTGTACTGGAGTTTGGCCAGTCTAGTCCTCACTATTCACTATTAAGCTGTTTCACTCTGTGTGTCACCCTGCAGAAATGCTCATTTTTTTATCATTCAGATCCTGTTTAGGTCCTTGGTCATCCAAGGCGTGTTGTTGAGATACAGCCGGACCCGTTTTGTTGGTATAACAGTGTCCACACAGAACGTCAAATAGGAGGAGCTGGAGTCTGTCAGTAGGTTGAGGTCTCTCTCACTGCTTCTGAAAATTATATCCTGGTCTGTTGATTCCATGCAGCCCTAAGTACCTTGACAGAGTCATTGTCCCAAACTTTTATGGGTTTTGATTGTATTTTTTTCTGTTTTTAGTTCATGTGTGTACTTTGTGATGTCAAGTCTGGTGTGTGAGGTGACATCTGTTAAAGTACCCAAGCAGGAAGACATGTTGGTCACTGCTCTAGCTGACAGTCAGTGATTTGCTCTGCTAAAAATGTCTTTTTAGGTCCAGGGACATATGCAAGGAAGACGGTAAATCTGTATTAACTCAAGGGGAAGGTTGTGGGGTCTAAATGACACAGTCATGTTCTCATGATATTTATTGCATTCAGTTCTGACAGTATGGTTGACAGCCTATTTGGTGTTACCACCATGCAAAGCCCCCCCCCCCCCCCCCCCCATCAACTTCAGTGTCACCCTAGAGTCTCTATCAAAGCGGATGATTTTAAATCCATTGATCCAAGTCAATGTCAGTTATGTCCTCTGATAACTACGCTTTCGTGAAGCAAAGAGACTGGTTTGACGGTAATCAGAATTGCATTTAATGAGTGCAAAAAGTTGTGGTATTTTGTTGCTCAATGAGAGCATATTAGAAAGTTATTGCAGGTAGTGGCAGCCTTCTGCCTCTTCTCCTCATTTGGTTCCATATTCTGCCTCTGGATCCCCTTTCCCTACAAATGCGTAGTAGTCTTTGAGGAATCCCATTTAGGGAATCAGATGGCTCTTGTAGCAAGCTGCAGATCCAGGAGGGTCTCCTGGGGCAGGTCAGCCTGCCCCCATGGCATGACAGGGTTTGTTGGTGTTACACAGATCACGAATACTGGATCCAGAAAGGTAATCAGGATACAAAAACTCGAGAGGTACTGAAATACTGCAGCCATACCTGCTAACGATCAGGTATGGCTAATCAGATCAACCAGTTACCGAACACTTCCCACCATCCAACCTCCATAAAAACAAAAAACAAAATCACCAAACACATCCTCCTCATCTGGTCCTGCTTTTGGGTTCAATCAAAACTTCTCATTAGGAAATCGTAACAACATTTATGCAAATTGAAAAGTTTCTCAGTCTTTTTTTTTTTCTTTTTTTGTTACATGGTTCATTCTGTTGCAGAACAAACTTTTATTTTAAACTGTACTTAAGCATGTCTACTCTTACAGGGACAGTCTGTCGTGTTTAAAGGGTTCTCAGAAAAACAGACTGTTAAATTTGTAAGTATGTCTGAGTTAGAGTTGAATAATCTGAATATATAAAATACATATGTTTTCAAACTTGGAATGAGTTTTTTTATATCTTCATAGGAGTAAATCCAACTGGCCTCTGCACCCCTATTTTTCCTGCTACAGTAACACAAAACAGATCGACTCATTACTTGTGCCTCTTTGTATTATATCAGTAGTAATGCAAAATGCGGCTCCTGAAAGGCCAAGAAGGAAGAGGCTTAAAAAGAACTTGACTGATGGAGGATCATATTGAGCGTGCATAAAAGGAGCTTTTTGTCCTTAAAGGCCACCATTGCTTTAGGGTGAGCAGGGTTGCATATCAATCTAGGATCTAACCTCAAGATAATCTAATAAATATTCCCATCTGTACCTGCAGTATATGGGATGAAGTCTGTCTTACATTGTGACAATGACACCATCTTAAATTTCACACAATCACCAAACTGTGTTTCGCCGTTATCTGTCTTTCTCTTGTAGTTCTTTTTCATGTTTATGCCACCAGCTCTGTGGGGCTCACGAATGGCCTTGCACACATGTACTAGGAGATTTGTGATGCCAGTGGAATGTCTTTACAAGTTGCCCTAGTTTATCTGAAAGCCTTGGGGGTTACAGCGCTAAATGGTTAACCAGCCTTAAGAGATGAGAAGGCCATGAGTAATCTTGCCTCCAGGCAAGGTGCGTTTATCAGTCGGAAAGAAATCATTTCAACAGTCTGGTCTGTGTGTGCTTACCAAGCAGCTATGCTCAATGTTGAACAAACTGTCTAAGCTCAGCATGAACCAGTGTATTCAGAGTTATTTTTAGTAAGCCTACTTTTTTTCTGTTAAAAGTATAAGGCTTTGGACTTGTGAAGTTAGCATCTTTGCAGCCGAGGAATTCAGCCATCAAAAGCTTTACCTAATGTGCTGTATGGTCTGCCTCTTCATAGCTCTTAAACTTGTTCTGACACTGAATAGCTTCTAATGGGGTCTGGGGTATTGCTGCACCGTTAAACCCTCATCCACAGCCCCTAGCAGCTCTCATCTGCAGATCCTCTGTCGGCTGCTCAGTTTGAAGCAGAGCAATAAAGATGGTGGAGTGGGCCTGTGTTAGCCCTGTTTCTTACGGTCTTTAAGGGCCACATTTTATGACATTTTAAAAGGTACTTGGATTTCAATACCAATTTAAAACCAAAAGTCTTCTTACAAATCTTTCCCTGACAGCAGTCATAAAATACCATGTCAAGATTTAAATGTCCAATATTTAATACAGTTTAAGACAGAGGATCAGCTGGCATGGTCATTAACTGTAATGCGAGACAGTTTTAACAAGTACAATTCTGTTAGAGTATATCATCAAAAGTTAACAATATGTTAATTTTAGTAAAGTCTGAGTTTTCTATAAAAAGAGCTACTGACCCTTTTCTGTACTGACCTGGGTTATAACTCTGAATTATTACCATCAGGGGTTCCTGTTCATATGCCAAAGTGTCCTTGGGCAAAACACTTGACCCCACCCACCCCTGCTGCACCCAGATGTGTGTGAATGAAATTAGTCTAAGATGATGGACTCAGTAGCAGCCTCTGTCACCAGTGGGTGAATGTGACATGTAATGTAAAAGTGCTTGGAGTAGTCAGGAGAGACAGAAACACAATCTGTGTTATTAAAGCACCAGTGGGTAACTTTCAGTTTGTATTTATTGTTGCACCATTCTAAAAGATAAGACAAGATATACCTTTATTAGTCCAACAGGGTAAAATTCCAAAATTACAGCAGCATAAATACAAATACAAAAGACAAATTAAAGGATAAAGAAACTTATTTACGTGTGTACAGCATATATATACAGTGTTGGAAAAAAGTTTGGAATATTTCTCAATTCAACCCCAGCCTCGTGTTTAACGCGGTCTGCTGCTTTCTGGAGAATTATTCTTAAGACTTTTTAATGTTCCCTGGTCTCTGTGATATGTTTTTGAAATTCACATCAAACTATTTTGTTTCTCAAAAAATTGCAGGGCGGACACCTCATGATTCACAAAAAGCCATAGAAATAACGCATAAAATCATGAGTCGGTATTTCATAAATAAACGGCTGTAATTTTAAATTGCAACAAAATATGTGGACCATCTTTGAAAGCAATATCAAACATAACAAGACAATAACAAAAAAACAGTCAGTACTTTGTGTGACCGCCTCTAGCGTTGTACAATGCCCGTACACGTCTGGGCATGCTGGTCACTAGGTTGGTCAGAGTTTCTACCGGGATTTCTCGCCAGCATTGGATCACAGCCTTAGTCAGTTCAGCCACGTTTGTTGGAGGCTCATTCATGTTATTCAGCCCACGTGAAACTTCAGCCCACAGGTTCTCGATCGGGTTCATATCTGGGGACATGGCTGGCCACTCCATGTGTTCCACATCCTCTTGATCCAGAAAATCGCGTATCAGCTGGGTCCTGTGAGGCGGGGCGTTGTCATCTTGGTACACAAAGTTTGCCCCGAAGTGCTGTCTAGCAAATGGGAGCATTTTGGTTTCCAGAATCCGGCAATAGCGGTGTTGGTTCATGTTACCATCCAGGACATGCAAGTCGCATTTAGCGGTACTGTGGAATGCACCCCAAACGGTTACCCTGCCGCCCCCAGCTTGCACTCTGGGCAATACACAACCTTCGGCCAGAGACTCATGAGCCTGACGGCGAACCCTCACGCGGCCATCGTGTCGGTAAAGGAGGAAACGAGACTCGTCACTGAACACCACGTGTTGCCAATGTCCATCCTGCCAGTTCAGGTGGTCATGTGCCCAGCCTAAGCGGGCTTGGCGGTGTCGTCGTTGCAGGAGAGGTTTCCATACTGGTCTCCTCGCAAAATAACCCACGTTCAACAGTCTGTAGCGTACCAACCGGCTCGTGACAGGAGTATTTGTGAATCGCATCCATTCATTACGCAGCTGGGTGGAAGTCTTTGTACGCCCAGTATGAGACAGCCTGTGCAGATAACGATCCTCCCTCACTGTGGTTTTTCGGGGACGTCCAGACCTGGGTCTAGGCGTTGGCACACCTGTCTGTCGATGTCGCTTCAGGATCTTGGACACTGCGCCCTGCGTAATTCCCAGAGCAGTGGCTATGGCATTCTGTTTGGCTCCAGCTTGGCGCATGCCCACGATGCGGTTGCAGATTGCGGCACTCAGTTGACGTCTCATAGTCACAGGAACCTTGTCTAAAAAGATCAGGAGCAATGGGACACAGGAAACAGGTGGACACCCTTTTTTAACCATTGTGGTGGACGCTGATTTGTTGGTCAAAAATGGGAGTGTCATGTTATCAGGCTCATGTTTTTTTTCTCTGACGGAGCAGACACTAATTCTGTATGCCCGCTGAAAGGGGATTATCTCAGCTACATTTTGAGCTAAGACACGCTTCTCTAAACTCCCGTGAGCCGCGCAAAATAAGCATACTCTTAAGGAATAGAAACACAGAAGAAAATATTCCAAACTTTTTTCCAACACTGTATATATATATATAAATATGGTTTACTGCACGCTGAGGTTTCTGTTGTGGAGTTTGAAAGCTGCAGGAAGGAATGACCTGAAATACCTCTCCATCACACACTTTGGGTGGAGCATCCTGTCCCTTAAGGAGCTCCTCAGTGCAGTGAGTGTGTGTTGGAGGGGGTGAGAGGCTCTCTCCAGCATGGAGGACAGCTTGGCTGTGATCCTCCTCTCCCCCACCTCATCCACAAGTTCCAGAGGGCATCTCAAGACAGAGCTGGCCTTCGATATGAGTTTGTCCAGCCTCTTTCTGTCAGCTGCTGTGATGCTGCTCCCCCAGCAGACCACTTCATAGAAAATGGCAGGGGATACCACAGAGTCATAGAAGGTCTTCAGGAGTGCCCCCTGCACCCCAACAGACCTCAGTCTCTTGAGCAGATAGAGTCTGCTCTGTCTCGTTTTGTAAAGTGTATTTGTATTATGAGTCTGGTCCAGTTTATTGATCAGATGAACACCCAGGTACTTGTAAGACATCACCATCTCAGTGTCCCTTCCCTGGATGTTCACTGGTGATGGGGGGAGTGGGGACACCTGCGGAAGTCCACAACCAACTCTTTCATTTTTGAACAAAGCAGTCTTTGCTGACTGGTTCTCTAAAAATCTCATCCTGATGTCTTTTGAAAGTGAAATGTATCATTTTAATTTTTAAGTGAAAACTGTAAAAACTTTTTTGTTTTCCAGCTATAAGGCTGAAACATATACTATGGACAACTTGGTTCTGCCTTCGGTCATTATATGAATTTGAAGATGAATTGCTCTTGGTATTTCCAGGACTTTCTCCACTTCCTGGAACCACCACTTGCACAGTAGCATTGTATGCATTCGGAGGGAGAGTTGCTGTGATGACGCTCGGCTCAAACAGCGTATCCCCCGGGTGAGCTACGCAAACTTTGTTCGCCCATAGGCTGTATCAAGTGCCAATCATAGAAAACATGAACCCCCTAATAACTTTTAAAAATGGAGCTGCACAGAAAAAAGAGGACTTGAGCACAAACCAGTCTTACAGTAACTACATGTCAACATCACAACCAAGAGGGAGAAAAATTGTATTCTGTGTCATTCATTTCTAAAGTTTGTCCACAACTCCATGAGGATTGCTGGAGGAGGCGGGATTTATGACCCATACTGCAGCCTGTCACCAAAGGGTGCTGTTCTCGCGGTGGCTTCAACCAGCAAGGAGACAGACGGCGTTCATTCTATGTACAGTCTATGGGCTGAAACCTCTCACACTGTTAAAGACATCCAAAATTACAATGTCAATCAAAAGTGTTATTGATGTTCTTGTTTGTTAATGGATATTATAAAAAAGCATGAATGTATATTTCAGTCCATTCATGAATGTCCAAAAAGTCCTGAAAGGAGCTTTATTGATTTGGTACATTATTAATCAATAACAATAAATCACTGGTCAAAGCTCTCCATATGTAGGCACATAAATAAGATACAGAAAATTCTGACAATTATTGAACTTTTTGGAAACATTTATAACCCTGGGCCCTTAATTACAACCAACACTATTTTCTTTTATTGTTTATTGTATCAACAAACTCTCAAGTGACTGCAGATAATACGTCTCTGACAATAAAAGGGAAAATTAAGTTTGTTTTCAAGGTTGGATTTCAGGATTGTTCCAGCTGTGAATAAAGAAAACACAAAAAGTGCCTGAAGCTGCATTTCCTTTCATTTAGAGGAACAAAAAAATATATTTTGATAAAGTCAGCTTTGGACTGAGAACAAGACCTGGTCAGAATCTGCTGGTGTGTCTGAAGGCCCTCCATGTTTCCTCCTGATTTGTCCTCCTGTGTTGATTCTGCTCATCTTCTTCCAGTAAGCATCTTAAGCAAATGAATATCACTCTTAATAAATGAAAACCAATGTATCACCATTCTTCGCCACAGAAACACAGTGATATGGGTATTTTATTTTTTTTTAAGTTCTTTTTTAATTATTTTTTTCTAACAAAGGACAAAAGAATGGATTCAGATTTCAATATGAACAGATTTGATTTTATGTCATCTTCAGTTTGTTTCCGTCACAAACATCCATATGTATTTTATTGTGTTGGTTTGTTGAGCTCAACATTATGATCTGTGAGAAAATAATAACTGTGAAGTTTTTCCTCCGCCCTGCCTTTGTGTGTGAAGTTTTGTTTGAGATGCACTGAGAGTTCAGAGTGAGAATTATTCATTGTTTTTGTGTTTGAGCTGGTACAACCTCAATAAACTGATGTTTGAGATTCTCCACAGACAGACACGTGCTTCCAGTTTACACAAACAAATAAAAGTCTTCAGTATCAAAGTCCTGGAAACAACATTGAAGAGGTTATCTGACACTTTGAGGTTGAATTCTCATTTCTTTAGCACTAAGTCAGTAAGTTGTGGTGTGAATGTGAGACTCTTATCGCTACCCGATCCATCCTGGAAACCGATTTGTACTGCACATGTGAGAAACGTACGTCACCTCCTCTACTAGCCAACACTTATTTGACAGCTTCAGCATCAGCGAGCTCGCTTCACTAAGAACGGATGCATTAGTTTATCACCAGCTACATGCTTTTCTCCTGAACAGAGTGCTTCACCCAACTGAAGCAGAGCACCGGAAAGTCAAGAGAATGGTGCCCAGTTTCACGATAAGAGGTTCCTATGACTAGCTTAATTGTAAAAAGGCAACGTAGTTACAAAAGGCTTGAATGAATGTGAGTATTTCATTGTTGAAATTCATTGTCCTTAATGTGTAGGCTTCTTGTAAATTGATTTAATTTATAAAATAAACGAAATAATACTTTTTTGTAAAAAAAAAAAAAAAAAGTGGGTTAAATAACGATACTGGTCATGTCTTTCATACACAAATGTTCTTATGTGCAGGAGCTCTGGCGAATGCCTCAGCATTAGCCTTGGAGCCTCCTGCTAGCTAGCCTGTCACATCACAAGCTGTTTTTTTATTTAAAGCGATAGTTTAAATAAAGTTTTTAAGGTGACGTAAATTTGCACTTGCACAGTACGCATCGGGTAGGTAGCAATACGACTTACTGCCATAAAATGCTTCAAATACGAGGAGAAGTGACTAATGTTTTGCACATGCGCAGTATGAATCGGGTTTCCAGGACAGAACACGTAGCAACATGCTCCACTCAGCAGTTTTAATGGTGATGAAAAAGCATCATGGATGCAGAAAACTCCAGCAAACATGATTCAACAGTGTTTATATCTGGGTTGAGAGGGTTTGGGAGACTGTTGCTCTGACAGAATGGGAGCTGTGCGAATGGACATTTTAACCTCATTACTGATTGATATTCATCCATCTGTTAAAATGAACACCTGACTGACTGACTGATTGATTGTTTGACTGCCTATGGATATTTTCATATGCTCAGATATAATTCAGATGTGAAATGACTCGAACTTTGGTGGCATTATTTTACAGTTCATTGTTGTTTAGAAAAGCAAAGGAAGGTGTTTCTAATGTCTTACTTCTTCACCTAGACACGTGTTTGCTGTGTGGCCAGCAACACTTGCAGCCCTGAGCTATTCATTCTCCTTAGCATGCTCCCAAGGCTTTAGTCTATTAGGTGAGGCCAGACAGAGAGGCAGACAAGATAAAAACCAGGCATGCACTTCTGCAAGATCCAGGATAAGAACCAGAGGATGCTGCTCTGTAATGAACAGTTCTTCAAGCTAAGCCGTGTCTGTTCGAATGTAGAGAGAGACAAGATTGTGAAATGAGCACTGCATCTGAATGTGGTTTAGAGGTTCACTAAGCTCCTGTGTACTGCACTGTGACTACAATGACCCAAACTCTCACACTCAAGCAGGATTCATCTAAAATTCTGTGTTGGTGTTATTTTTAGTTTGTGTTATTTCATTGATCCGAGATACAGCGAACAGTGTGTATGAGTTGGAATTTTTCTATTCACTATCCCATGCAATTTTATTGGTCACGTCTGATTAAAGGAAGACGGGATGTTTGTGCGCCCCAGAAAGACTGTTTTGGTCCGCTACCAACATCCAGAACTTGGAAATTAGCCACAGCAACTGTTGTAAAGAGCAGAACTCGTCCTGATTTCAGAGGTAATGAAAACAGAACAACAGGTATAAAAACCGAACAGCTCTGAGTGTTAGATGAAGGTTAAGATGCTAACTCATGGTTTCTTGACTGGTATATTGTAAATGGGCAACTTTATGTAAAGTTACTATCAGTCTCCTGGCAGGAAGTTTCGGCCCCCATGTCAACAGTAATGTTTGACAGGTGCCTGCTCATCTGGATCAGTTGAAATGCACATTCACACACACTCCCTCACCATTGGCCACCCCTTTGGGAGCAATTTGTGGTTCAGTATCTTCTTGACATGCAGACCAGAGGAGCCAGGGGATGAATTTCAAATCTTCTAAAGCATGGATAACCCACTCTCCCTTCTGAGCCACCGTCCCTCCGAATGCAGGAATGGGCCAACATGGTTTTTAAGTATCAGTAATCAGCAGTGCAGGACTAACTGTTGTACTGTTTATGTACTATTGTACCTTAACAGTACCTAACAGAATGAAACAAACATGTGCATTTGTCAGTGCAATGGTAATGTTTATTGTGGAAAACGGTTTTGTGTGTTGATAAAGATCAATCAAAATCCAATTTAATGATAAAGTTATAAAAGAAGACTTGATTTTGGATACTGACAAATGTTTGACTTTTTACTCTGTGTTTGCAGCGCTCTATGGGTCTGATCTACTAAGATCCCAAATAGCAAACGCTAATTTGCATGTGCAAACTAAAAATTTGCATGTGCTAATAGTGGAAATGTTGTGGGTGATCTACTATCATTGCATGTGCAATTGATAACAGGTGCAAAAGTGGTGTGGACCACCCTCGTTAAATAAGGATTTTTCGTGCTTTATCGGCTGTCACCATGGAGAGTTTGGGAGAGCAGCGTGGGCTTGGATGAAAAATGAAGTTCGAAGCCAGGGAGTTGCACCATAGGCTGTATATAGAACAAACAGCATTTGCCTCTTTGCTGGGTAAAGCCACTCCGAGAACAGCACCCTCTGTTGATGGGCTGCAGTATAGGTCATAAATCCCGCCTCTGCCAGCCGTCCTTATGGAGCTTTGGACAATCTTACACAGAATATAAATTTTTCTCCCCCCTGCTTGCGATGTTGATATGTAGTTATTAAAAGACTGGTTTGTGCTCAAGTCCTCTTTTTTCTGTACAGCTCTGTTTTTAAAATTTATTAGGGGGTTCATGTTTTGTATGATTAACACCTGATACAGCCTATGGGTGAACGAAGATTGCATAGCTCACCCAGAGGATTTTTAGCCGAGCATATTGTTGGTTTTAGGAAGTGAAGAAAAAATGTGGAATTACAGAGAGCCTTTTGGCTTCATATCCGTATACTGGCAGAAGGCAGAACCAAGTTGTCCATAATTGGGCAAGCCAGCAACTGCGTAAAAGGCAAGGGAAGTTTATTTGTATAGCACCATTTTACATAAGGCAATTCAAAGTGCTTTACCGGTGCGAGAAAATATATTTGAAATAAAAAAAATTAAAGAAAATTAAAAATTCAACAAGACAAAGAGATACATTTTCTTGATTTTTCCGTGTTTTCCGTGTTCCCCCTTCCAGTAAACACATGCTCGCCATGTTTTTTTGTCAGCTAATTAAATTAAAAACAGCAGAACTGCAACAACCAATCACTGTTCTGACATTTTTGCATATGATTGTTGTGAGGGTCGTTATTACTGTGGTTACTGTTACAAGTAAAGATTATTGAATAATACAGCACTGATATTGTTTTCATGGAGTGGTGGTAGTCAGGTACATGTCAAACTCATCATTTAATTTCCATGCTCATCATGCACACAGTGAAGAGATAATTATGAAAAAAATTAACCAACACAAAAAAGATAAAAAATTTAAGCAATAACAACAAAACTAAAATAGGTTCTTTGCAGTGAACAAAAAAAAAAAAAAGAAAAAAAAAAGAGAAAAGAACTGGACATTATGGTTATTATTGCACATTACCAGAATTATCAGAGCATCAATCCTTTGGGGTTGATGCAGTTTCAAAGTGAAACTGCTCTGTTATATACAGTTTGCCATTTATACAGAAAATTACATTCATTCCCTGTCCTCTTCGTGCAGTCCAGCTGTTTTTTTTTTAATAGTTTAATTTCCTCACTTCTCTAGGGACTTGTCAAATTAAAAGTTATTGTATTCTATTTTAAGTGGGGTCACTGTGTCAAGGGTTGACCTCCATATGTGGTTTAACCATCTGTAATACAATCATAAGAAGAGGGCAGGATGTCTGCAAGAGTCGCAGAAGGGATCAATAAAATTGTCAGCCACTGCTGTGTTAATTTGCTACTTCCTGAATACCCTAAAGTATTAAAACACTGACTACATGAGAAATGATGCCTATGTTCACACAACTAAAGAATTACTGTTTCATTACAAGGTGGAACACATGGACAAATGTGATGAGAAGCCCAAACAAATGTAATACTGTAAAAAAACAGGTGAAAATGAGCTTGACTGATGTTTAGAGTTTTATACAAGTATGTCTGCATTTCAAAACCAAACTTAACTTATTAAAACCCTTACTTACTTATATATTTTTATTTATTTTTTATTAGTACTTTACTTATTTATCAGTATAGTGCTGCATAAGACTATGCACAAATTTGTCAGTGATATCTACTAATCGGGTAGCTGTGGCTCAGTGGCAGAGTCAGTCATCTTTCAATCGCAGGTCCCAGAGTCAATTCTTGAGTGTGCTGGGGCCCCAAGCATAAATTCTTGAGGGGCCCCTCTGACAAGCACTAAATATATATATGATATGAAACCAACAAAGGAGGTCAGAAACATAAACTTTTAAAAACAGTGATCAGTATTACTACATAACTTGAAAAATGTTGCTTTAAAATAGCTACAGCTCTGGTATGTTTTTACCACAATAGCCGGCACCTCACCCTTGTTCTAAGATTTGATGTCTGAGATATACTTCAGTATGTGATATGCTGCAAAAGAGCAGAAAGCACACCGTCTAACTTTAGTTCTAAATTTCAAAGCATCAATAGTGTAAGAGTTAGACTAGTTAAGACTCAACCTTCATTAATAGCATTTAATTAACAGTGAAAGCTGTTGTCTGGGTTAGCCTTTTTTTTTCTCGTCCAAATCACTCCCTTACCGGTGTTTCTAGTTACTCTGGTAAAATTTCAGTATTGTACCTTACAAGCGCACTTTCTCTCTGTCGGCTAACCTTGCAAGACAGTGCGGGTGTGTCAACACACGGTAATAGCGAGTCAACGAAGCAGGAACCCCAGGCTAACGTCTCCCGCTCCACGAACACGGCGAACTAACTGTTAAACGATAAAAGCCACCCTTATACCTAACGCTAGTAAAAGTGTTTGCCACACTTTGCTATCTGCTCTACTTACCGCTGTGTTGCGGTAAGTAGAGCAGATAGCATCCTTATTTATTTCTCTTTACTTTTCTTTTTTTCTCACTCCCTGATACGTAGCTCCTTACGTAGTTACTTTGATTGACACACATCAGTAAAGATGGACATAAGTCATGTAGCAGTGTGACAGGGATGACATGGAGCCCCTTTAGGGGGGTATCCATCTAAGATGTCATTGCAAATTTGACCACTGGTTGTTTAATGGGGTTGCAATATTTTAGGACAGGTTTGTGGAGTTGGGTTTGTCAGCCCTTGGGGACCCCCTAGTGGCCTGGGGCCCCAAGCAACTGCCTGTCTTGCCTGTTGACAAGCTCTGGCCCTGGCAGGTCCTGATATCCACATCCTGAAGTTTCCTTGGGCAAGACACTTAACCTCACCTGCCCCCACTGGCTGAGTCCAGTGGTGTGTGAATGGAAGTCAAAACCTGATGGACTCTGCTGCCTCTGCCATCAATGAGTGACTGTGGTGTGAATGGGTGAATGAGACTTGCAATGCCAAGAGCTTTGAGTGGAAAGAGAAAGCACAAAATGAACACAATCCATTTAGCATTCACTGATGGTCACACTCAGGTCCAAACATACTGTGTAAACTTTTCATACACTGCTAACCTGTACCACCACCAGGCTGCTACAGCATGAGTGCCAATTTTACCTAAAAAAACACTTGGTCTGTTTCAAACAGCTGTTTTCCAAGGTTTGTTGTCTTTACTAAAATCTATGACGTCCTTCAGAAAAGTTATTGAACTCGACAACTCTGATCTGTTTGGAAACTACCTTGATTAAAAATGTAAATGACCTTCATGGAAAAAAGAAGCACTAGGATGGCAGCAATGCTATTAAAGGCTATATGAAGTATAATGACATACAACAACAGTTCTTGAAATTACCTGTGTTACAGTATATTTTCAAAATATCTTTATGATATAAAGTTAAAACTTAAAGTATCTCAAACAAATAAATTCTAGATATGGTGCTTGAAACAGAAGATAGAGGAAAGGTGTGATATAAATCCAGTCTGAGGTTCCTCATACCTCAGAGTCAATATTTAGATATTTAGATTCGTTGCTCGAGCTCATGATATGTTGCCATGACAGAGAGACAGCAGGAAATAGAGTAATGGACAAATGTACTGTGACCCAGGAGAGTAAACCACATTTCTGATCATATTTCACTTCCTCTGTGGGAAAGAGACCCTTCCTACTCCAGTTTGTAAAAACATAAGGATCCCAATATTCCTTATATATACACCCCAAATTTGATAACCATGGTGCATTGTATTTTACAGTATAGTTTCATATATCCTTGAATGAGATGAACATCATGTTACGTGCAGAGCTTGAATTACTGAAACAACTACAGTTTGAGGTTATTTATGAATGAAGCCGGTCAAAGAGGAGGAGTGAGGCTAAGGTAACATTCACCCAAGACTCAGAGAGTCATAATATTTTCAAACATAGTGAATAATTCATGAGAGAAAGACAATTACTCCCTTACACTTGCCCGAGGTTTCATGCTTTTTATTAACCACCCGATTTTTTGACCCAATCCAGAGAGATGTTATATTAATTAATAAAACAGCTGTGCTCTCTCTCTGCATGATGTGATGTGCATGTATTACACTTTTGTTTTTATACTTGCAATTGGACTGTTTAATTCAACAAGGAAAGTTTTCATGGAAGGATTGAATTAACAGTCATGGCTTCTTATCAAACAAAGCACTCTTATAAAAATGATAACATTTTTAAAGGATGAAAGAAAAAAACTGTTTGGGTTCATAAGGGTCTGTGACTGGGATCTTTCAAGTGTACACTGGCTTGAATTAACTTAGCTGCCATACAGACACAAACAGTGAAGTGCTGAGACGGGTTATTTTAAAGGTTACATGACATAACTCTAGCTTTGAATTTTGGAATTGAGCCTTGCTTTAATTGCTGTAAGTCTCAGGGATGAGAAATGAAGTGAAAGCTTGAAAAAGTAGTCCGTCACACAGAGACATGTCTTCATGAGCGACTTCATTTCTATTGAGTGCGGAATGAAAATGCCCTACTTTACAGAAGCTACAAACAAACCTGTCTGCAGTCCAAGAGAGGGTCTCCAAAGATAGTTACTCTGTTCATGACAGCTGTACTGTAAATTGTGTATAACTCCACTGCCTCCAGGTTAACATGAAAAGCAGCAAGGTAGTTGTGGATGAACGTTGCTTCTCTGAACTCAACCTCTCACCAGCAGAGCTTGTCGACTAACCCAGTCATTTTTGGGAGGTGCCTGAAGCGACTCATTTTAATGGTCACATTGATGAAAATTCAAATTTTGGTCAACTAAAGGTAAAAAAAAAAAAAAAGAAAAAAGAAAAAAAAAATAACACAAAATGACAGGGCTAAGGGTCACAGAGTCTGCCAAAGTCTTGGTTAATGTTAGCCTTTAAAAAAATTCATCTCTGTTTCTGAATCAAGGGACAGTTTGCTCATTTACTTGCTAATGAATTAGCAATAACTGGATTAGCATTAGGTTAGACTTGCATAAGTCAGATGCTAATATCCAGCTCCTCTTTAACAATCACAGTTGTGAGTGATAAATTATTCTCTCAGCATATCTAATTTGCTTCAAATTTATCAATTCCATTTTGTTTTTACACAATTGTTACCGCTAAGGTGACTTTACAGGTGATTTTAGTAGAGTGCAGTATTAGCAAGCTTGGACAGCTTGGATTTAGGATAAAGACATCCTGAAATGGTGGTTAATAGTTTGGGTGAACACTTCCTTCATCCATTTGGGGTTGACATGAGCTCCACCTAATAGCTTACTTTGAGTCTGATTCACTGACCCTGGCGCAGTTATACCCTTATAATGTCAGTATCATACTAGAAAACGTCTTCTTTTAAATATACACTGTGAGACAGTAAGGAGTTCCCATTGTCCTTCCTGTGAAAAGTCAATAACTGACCACCTGGCCCCGACGCCAACAGTCCTCATCGCTGATCCGGGCTCAGGCTCGCTGCTGTCCGTAAGAGGGCGGCACTGAGGCGTGGAGGGGCTGGGCATTGAGGCAGTCCCAGGCAGGCTGTAGTGCTGCTGAGCCGGGCAGAGCAGATAGACACTGTGAAGGTTTGCTGGAGGAAGGAATGCCACCTCATGCGGCCGGGGTGTTTTCACAATTAACAATCTGACGTCCAGTGCTCCGCGGCGGACTCTATCCATTCTGGAGGAAGGAATAATTACCCTACAAAATGCATCTATTAGGGATCTGGATGCTGATGGCGGCTCTGCAGGTAAAAATATTTCCAATTTTACATCGACTCAATTCTGATCGGCGGAGGCTGCAGTCGGATAGGGGAGCGAACTGAAGCTGGTTTGTGTTTAGACCGGAGAGACTGACGAGCACTTTGCATGGCAGGTGGAACAATGCAAATATCGTAACTGTGCGTTTGCCTTTGGTTTTTCCATTATGACTCAGTTTTATTCTCCTCTAGCTGTGTCTCTGTGACAAGATAGAGGCCGACAAAGGCAGCCTCACATCGTAACTAGCAGTAAAACGCTGCTGATCCCAGACCTGCCGCGGGTCCACTGCACACTGACTAAAACAGTCAGGAGAAACGCAGTCCGAGTCTTATGCTTCACCTGGGGATAAAAGGCATGTTTCAGCTGAAATGGAGCTGTAGCCTAATTGTGGAGGAGTCCTGGCAGATAACCTCCAAACGTAGCGAGGTTTATTCTCCCTCATCCATCCATCCATCCTTGGATGACAGGCTCCTTCTGCTGTCGCCTCTATCGGCACCTCTTCCACTGTTGTTGCTTTCTGTTAAAATCAGAAGCTCGACTTTCGTTGGGCTATAATCCACTTGGGGTGGACCAGCATCCTGATATGTGTCATTTTTTTCCTTGTGGGGAGCAGACGCTGATATCCATTTTAAAAGATGGCAGTTTCGTCTGTCCTCCCTTTGCCGGACTCAGGTGGTGTAACGAGGTTTAAGACGGTTAATAGGTTGTGTCTGCTCGTCTGCATTGATGAGCTGTATTCAAAGGCTGCATTTAGCTCCGAGGCTGTGGATCCTCTTATCTTGTTTCCCGGTGCAACAATTCTGGATAAATTCGTTCAGTTGTCCCCTGCTACCGAACATTTTGATGTTTGAGGCTCAGCGCACATGAAACTGTCCGGAAACATCCCAAACCGTGGCCTATTATGCGAGAGGAACAGCCAGCCTACTGCATACAGTTGAATGATCACTGTATGCAGTAGGCTGTCTTTGGGCAACAGGAGACTGGACAGACCACGGAGGGGCTTATAGAGTCCAGACTGTGAGGATAATGATGTTGGGTCTCCTGCTGGTCTGCCATTTCTTTAATTGTGAAAGGCTCCTTTCACCGTCTTTGATGGTTGAGTCAATTCGTTTCAGACCCTGATTTTGGGTCAGTATATGTAACCTAAACCCACAGGCCTACATGATTGCTGTAATTTTCAATTTACTGAAAAAGACACAGATAGACTAATCTTTTTTATTTTTAGGCTCTGGTCATTATATCTGTTTCCTTATGATGTCTTGTTATTGGCTTAGTACTCTAAAGTATTAGAGTATGACATGCTTTGAATAGTGAGCAGCAGCAGCAGCAGCAGCAATGTTTTGGCTGTGTTATCTGTATCACAGTAAAAGCACAAGCTCTACATCATATATTTTCCTGTGTGAGCCTCAGGGGTATGTGGACCTTGTAAATGCTTCTGGAGCAGGTTTTTAAGACCTTGGGGAAAGAAGGGCTTTACTATGTGGGCAGATCAATAGAAAAGACAGTGCAGTGCCAAAGTGTCAAAGGTGATGTCCCAAAATAAATCCATCACCAATGCCTAACCTCCCAAACAGCTGGGTCAGCGCTTTCAGAGGCTTATCTTAAACCTTGGTAATGCCTTTGCTTTTGTTACTTGGTAGCTAGAGTTTGGAGCCTGTGATAGAGACTTTGATTATATGATCTCTCTTTGTACTTTAGGGCACATTTATTGTGTGGATACAGCTGCAGGTTTAAAGTTAGAGGGTGTCTTTGATGGTTAATCATATTATACAGAGGGATTTACCCTTAAAAACATACAGATGGGTAAACATCAACAAGCAGAACATTGTTTGGTTTGTGGAGATCAAAATCATGGTCTCCAGACCATTAAAGTAAACTGCACGGATAAAATTGATGTTGCAAGTTTAGTATCTCAGACTGCTGCAGTGACTCAAAATACTGTCTTCTGTTCATGTCTCTGTTTGTTTGGGATTTTCAAAGCCTTGGCCCTTTAGTACACTAAAACCAAACAACACATCCCATTGAATTCTCTATTACTTATCAATTTACAACCCCATAATAGACACATTAATTTAATCAATATCGCTGCTTAGATTTAAGAACTTGTCAGTGATTTGAAGAACTAACTAAACACTTAATCTACAATGACAGCAAATGAAATATCTTGGTGTGATATTACATCAAGCTCTCTTTAGTCCTCCTGATATTTTCATATAAACTGTAAGCTAAAGTCTGATTTCAGCACACTACTTTCTTACAACATTTTTAGTCAATAAGCCTTTCTTTAAAAAAGAATCAGGTTGCAAGATTACCCTATATGTTAAAAACAGTTTTACATAAAGTTTATTTTTAAATATTTTTATTACATGTATCCACGACCTTGGTTTTGGTACATCTCTCAAAGACTCGGCTCTGTTAATAAAAACACAGTTCCTGATTTTGCCCTCCAAAAGACAGGCCAGGTTTGCTTCCAGAATAAAGCATCAGAGAGTTTCAGTATCTCAGAGAAAGCTTTACCTCAAGGCCACCCGTGACATTTTTATGTGGTATGGTGCTGAATTTGCTCAGTGAATAACAAGTTTTAGCTGGAAAAGATAATTAGTCTGTTGGCTGCTATTAGCTTCAAGGTTAAGTTTTATTATTTAATATTTCCTTGTATATTGGCATCATGATTAACCTGCTGCAGCAAAACATGAGACCATCAGGGAAATATGGCTGAAAAAAAGCAGTGTTATTGACATGTGAATCATTGAGACAGTGTGATGAAGGACTGCCTTTTACCTTCTTTGGCTGTGTGTAATGAAGGATTGACCCCACTACACTTGTTTTCTGTGTTATTAGTGTATTTGTCTTGATATGCATCAGTAAACCAGTCTGTTATTGGGCAATGGAAAGAGTTCAGATGATTAATTTGTATTCAGTTTGAAAAGAGTGAATTAAAACAGCAAATGTTTTCATGGTAAACAACTGTAAAAATTCAGCAGTTGTATCAAGTCTTTCATATTTCCAATGTCCTTTCTTCTACGGCTGGCCGGGACTACTGATCAGAAACCTCATTACCATTATTAAACGTGAGAAAAATTCTGCCTTTGCTTTGTATCTACTTAATGGACCTTACATTGGAATATGTATTGCTATATTTCAGAATACATAACCTCAACTTATATATAAAGCAGTATGTCTAGAAATGTGTGTTATAATACACCACCAACCCTAAACTGACATCAAATTTGTCTCACTGACTGTTTGGCCTCTAAATGTCACGACTGTAGTATAACAGACACACAGCATCACAACAGAGTCTGACTTTGTGTGTTTACCTCCTCCTCCTTTATGCTAATCAGGAGAGAGAGATGAAAGTCCCCTACTAAATACATCAGGATGGGCAACAAGGACGTGAGGGTTTTAAGATTTTGGGTGAAGTGAAAACAAATCACAACACCCCTCTTAGTTTTATTACTCTAATCACAGCAGAACAGCCCCACACATTCACCCGAACACTAACAGACACACAAACAAACTGCGGAGGAGCACGAATATGTGCCACTGTGTGTGTGTGTGTGTGTGTGTGTGTGTGTGTGTGTGTGTGTGTGTGTGTGTGTGTGTGTGGTAGGAGTGGAGGGAAGTTTAAGCTGGGCCAGGGCTGAAACAACAAGAGAGACAAAAGTCTAGACGCTAATTATCATCAAAATTAATTGACCCAGTTGTCTGCCCCCCTCCCCGTGGTGATTAATAATGGTCTATTGGTTAGGAATGGAGCTGAACTGGATTTCATTTTCCCTGTAACTCAACAATTTCCCTTCACATTACTGTTGCAAGTTTGAAAATGTGGAATGCCAAATCACTGACCAATTAGCTCTCTGCTTGTTTCCTTTTACATGTTTCTTTTCAACCTGAACAATGGCAGAGGATCACATCTGTGGGACTCAGTTCTCACTGCTTCATTCAGAGAACATAGCTTTAGAAAAGGAAGTGTTGAAATTTGCATTTTCTAGTCTCAAGAAATGGTGTTTGGAAAGGGGATTTCAGTCTGAGTTATGGCTTCTGATGAAACACTTGTAAAGCAAACAGGCGAGATTGCTTCAACCTTCTGTTGGAAGAAAAGTGATCTGGAAGTTATTTAAAAAAATAGCCATAAGGTTGCAAAAGCATTGAGATGTAATGGAAGATTTATGCAAATATCTAAATATTTCTACACCCTTTCATTGTTGTTTTTCCCCTCTCCAGGTTGTTATTCTGGGCCAAGAGGCTGATCGTCCGTTGTCAAGCAAACAGGGGTCGTTGCCATGCATGAGGGGCTTTACTCAGAAGGAATACATCATCGAAATGGACCAAGAGCTGGCAAAGGGACAGGCTGTCTTCAACGGTCAGCACACACACACACACACACACACACACACACACACACACACACACACACACACACACACACACACACACTTGAAGCTGGGGCAGCTCCAGCAATAATCCCCTGCTGTTGGGTGGGGGTTGTTTAAGAGTCCTGCTGATATTTGAACCATAATAAAGCTTCAAGAGGACTGACCTTTGCAAAGACTGAGCCTGGAGTAGAGTGTGTGTTCCTGTTTGTGTTATTGTGATGACCCTGGTTGAAATGCAGTGATGAAAAATCACTGAGATTTGTTTGTGGAGCATCTTGTGATTGCTTTGGAAAAGCTGTAATAATTACTTCCATCCTCTCATGTTGACAGGGTTAGACATTGGATGGAGACCTCAGTGCCATTAAGTCACCAGTGTGGTATTCTCAGTGAGTCTCTCCATATTTAAGCCACAGGGAAAAATTGAGCAATTAAATATTGATTTCAGCAGAGTCTTAACTGCTCTGGAGAAACAGAGGAAACTGGTGAGCCGTAAGAGGATCATCTTTTTTTTAACTTTAATTAATTAATTGATCCCGTGCAGAGTGGCAGCGTCTCAGTGCCAAACTGCTGCCCTTACAGAGAAAGGATGGGAGAGAGAAATATTAGAATGTACCAGAGTTTCCAGACTGATCATCATTCCCTGTACATCTTTTTGTCAATATTAAGCATAAGTTGTAGGTGTCCATAATTTTTCTTCTTTTATTCCAAATTTGACTGAAAGCCCTCAAACCCCATGTAGGTCAAACCCTGAGTTAAAAATACTTGAACATTGGTTATTAGGCTGCTGCCGTTTACTTGATGGACCAGAATTGATGAGTGTGATATTTCCCGATGCTGTGTGTCATAGGGGGGAAGTTATCAGTATCATTGAGCGGCAGGCTGATCAATGAGCAGTGTACATTTGTAGATAAAGTGTAGATGGGGAGTGTGAGCTCTGCTGAGCACAGTCAGATGTCAAGTAGGGGTCTCAGGTGAGGAGTAATGAATGTGTTTTCATCTTTATTTTACTCTTACAGTAACGAATGACTTAGCCTGAAGAAGTCTTCCTCTGTGGGCCTTTACAGCCACATACAAACAGATGAATGTCATATGAATATATCATCTAAAACATGTCCTACACACTTATCAGATATTGGTTAGACTTCAGTCTGCATGTTTTTTTATGTAAATGTGTCTACAATGGAAAAGGATAAGCGGATATCCTGCTTCATTACACAAAGATCTGCACCGGTGCAGCCTGTGCTTCAATTTTAAGCTCTGTACACCAGGAGGTGAACCCTGTGATGCCCCTGAATTAGCACAGTCTGCTGTTTCGTCAGTGAATGGGTGCTGTATGTGCTGTCTGTGAGCAGACTAGATAACCAAACACAGACGGTAAAGCTTTCGTGCTCTCTGATAAAGGTTGTGGCTGAGTTTTCTGACTGAAAAGTTGCTGTTTCAAACCCCTGGACGGTGACATGTCCCTCTACATCTCCTGCTGGGGTATTATTCAGTTCAAGAAAAAGCCTGAGGGTGTACAGGGACATGTGAAACTGTATGAATATAAAGTATGGTTTGGCTGCCCATTTCACCTCAAGATGGAAGGAAATGAAATCAGCACTTTTGTTTTTGTGATTTTGAACAGAGCTGTCCACCTTAACAGGCTTTGTCCAACCACATCCAAGCACCAGGCAAGAAAGCCTACAATAATTCTGCGCTGAGAACGAGTGTGTGAGTGTGTGTGATCACATGTTTGTGTGCTTCAGTGGACTTGTATGGGCTCTTTGAAGTGTAACAAGGCAACAGTGACTGAAGCTGACAGAGCGGCGAGAGGAACAAGAAAGGAGAGTGTTTCAGTGTGTTTGTCTGTGCTGATGCTCGTGTTATGGGCTTGTTTGGGAGTGTGTGTAGGTGAGAAAACAAATTACGTTGTTTATACAGGGGAACAATATTATTTTCTCTATCATATGCAGCCAGACTGCAGGTGAGATGAAGACAGGTTGATGTGTTGTCTTGGTTTACCATCAAAACATACAAACCTTTTCAAACCAAACTTTACATTAAGAGTCAGAAGTTTATAATAAAGTAACCCGACTGGAATCACTATACAACTATGATACTGGACTTTTCTTTATACAAGATATTTACAATCGTCACAATGATACAATTGAATACTATTAATTAAATATAAATTAAAAAAAATATTTAAATGTATTTATTATTCTATTTTTTTATCTACTGAGATGTTAATTAATTGATTTATTTAAATTTGTTTTATTATTATTATTTTCTTTCTTTGTTCTATTATTGTAATTATTATTATAATTGTTTTATTATTGTAATTATTATTATGTCATATTGCGGACTTTTTCTTCTTTCATTCTCTCTTCAACAATTATTACAATTTTAAAGAGGGGAAAATGAGGGACAATCACACCCTCAAACACACACTCCTCAACACACATACGAACACCCACCCACCCACCCACCCACCCTTATTTAAACACAGCCTTGCAACACCTTCAAACTTTGACAAAAGGAAAAAATATAAAAATATCTAAATGTTATATGTTTCTGCTTAACTTCATAGTTTCTTCTCCATTGTCTGTTTGTATTACATATATATAAAAAAAATATAGTAATAATAAACTACTTTTTATTAATTGTAATTAAAAATGTCCCTTTGGGGATTATAAATTCTTATCTTATAAAGTAAAACTGGCAAATATTCCTTTACATTGTAGTTAAGTGGTTTCCAGTTGGCCTTGTCCTTTCATTGAGAAACTGCTGGAGAGTCAGAAAGAAGCTAAGCTACAGTTTTCTGTTAACGAGATCAAGACTGCCACACAGATTCTTTCAGCACTTTGCTCTGCCTTTCAGAACGCTTTTTTTGCACCATTTGTAGATGCAATACAGGGTCATGGTCTTCATACAGGTTCATGGTCTTTGTATAGGTACGTGGTCTTCCTGCAGGCTGCATCACTGACCATTCACAAGCTTATCAGGAGGTCAATCTAAAGACCCAGATGACCAGCATGAAAGCGCATCTACTGTACAAAGTCTATGTTCAGCTCTAATTGTTTCTGTTTTTATAATAATGACGCCCCCTATTTTCCACATGATATTTTTATTACTTTTGTCAATATATCAACGATTTGTACAGAACTCACACCTCCACCAGGAGAGCTGTGGTCAGTCTCTCTGTTAGCTGGTTATGGAGCAGACTTTGCCTCTTTTGCAGAAAATTGTAGTGTAGCTTGAGACCGGTTCTTACAGCAATTCCAGTGTTGCTAGTACACTTAGTAGGGACATGAAACCAAAATAACCTCATTTAAAAATACAAAACTCTTTCTGTAACATACCAGGAATGATGACTAAACCAACATGTCAGTAATAGATGTCTGCAGTTAGAACAGCAGCAGCTTAGTCTTGAGACCCGGGTTATAAAACTCACTCTGTGTCAGGTCTTATTCTTATTTTATTCTTGTTTGTAACACTTGGTTATCTATTTTGAAAATTTTTATGTTTTTGTGTCAAGATGTGAGAGATTCATTTGAGGACCAGTGAAGGTGTCTTTGCGAGGTTATGTTCTGATGGCTCTGGGCACTGTTAATTTTTTAATTAGGGCGGCGGAAGAGTGAATTATTAATGAGAGGACGGCAGAGAAGACATAATTATAAACAGACAGATAAACAGAGTATCTGGGGGATGGAATGTGAGAGAAAGGAGGTTAGAGGTGGAGATCAGCAGACGGGTCAGACTGATAGAGACAGACAGAAAGAGAAAACAGGAAGCAGCAGTGACGGTTCAATGAGCTCATCCTTTGTTTTTTTTTAAGAAGAGCCCTCTCGTTGCTGGTCAACTGTTTCGGATTTTTATTCCAGTTAAAATCACGACTGTAAGGATCAGCTCTGCACTTTGAATGATCATTCCAGAGGGACTGTAAAGTTCCTGATCAAAATCTTGTGACTATTATAAACAATATTTCATCCCTTTTAGTTTTTTTACAGCTTCCCCAGATATGGGGAGGTTAAACTTGATAGACAGAAACTTTGAAATCAGTGATATTAGTGCTGATGGTCTGATAGTCTTGATATAACTTTGAAGATCATTCAATCACACAAACTCTGCTTTTAACGCTGTGGTCTTGCTAAATGACAATAAATTAGCATTTAGGCTAACTCAGTCATTTTAACAGGACTGCTAAAATTCAGTTTTCAGCTCTTACAGGAAACAGTTACATGAAGAATTGGTCTGAGTCAGGTCTCTGTTTCTGCAAACAAAAATAAATTGGGGAATTGGAAAGTTGATTCAGCTGGTGCCAGACCATTGTGTGTGTGTGTGTGTGTGTGTGTGTGTGTTTCAGCTATCTAACTTAAACAAAAAAGTTATATGTGTGTGTGTGTGTGTATTGCTTCTCTCTAGTGCTGTGTTTTTATGTGTGTACAGTATTTGTGTGTCCATGAGTATGTGTGAGTCAGGCCGAGGTCAGTGGCTATCCTGCACTTCCTGTGGAGTGTAGCAGGACCATAGACTGTATATAGAATGGACAGCGTCTGCCTCCTCGCTGGGTGAAGCCACTCCGAGAACAGCACCCACTGTTGACGGGCTGCAGTACAGATCATAAATCCCGCCTCCGCCAGCAAAGCTTATGGGACTGTGGAAAACTTTAGAAATTTATTACACAGAACATAAATTTTTTCTCCCCCCTGGTTGTGATGTTGACATGTAGTAATTGTAAGACTGGTTTGTGCTCAAGTCCTCTTTTTTCTGTACAGCTCCATTTTTAAAAGTTATTAGGGGATTCATGTTTTCTATGATTGACACCTGATACAGCCTATGGGCGTTCAGGGATTGCATCGATCGCTCATCCGGGGGGGATACGCTGTTTGACTCGAGCGTCATCACAGTGACTCTCGGCGACTGCGCGGCCAAATGCGCGCATCGCGCATCTGACTTTCCTATTTTCCCATCCATCCTTCCTATTAAGGCAGTGTGTGTGTGTGTTGGGTGTGTGTGTGTGTGTGTGTGTGTGTGTGTGTGTGTGTGTGTGTTGGTCAGTGCTGTGGCCTCATGTAGCCAAGTGCTGGTCAGCTCAGCCCTAAACAGGCGTGGAAACCCCCATTTTGTGAACCAGACACTGACCACATTCATCTCCCCATACCCTTCCTTTTAATCCCCCTCTCTTTCTCACTTCACTCCCTCTCTCCCTTTCTGTTCCCATTTCTCTTTTTTCTCTTGTCATGCAGAGGATTGCCCTACTTTAGTCCTGCCTCATACATCACTGTCTCCCCTCACAGTCGGAATAGGGAAGGGGCAGCAGAGATATAGAACGAGACCTCTCTCCCTCTCTGTTGCTCTCTCTCTCCCTCTCTCCCTCTCTGTATATGAGTCAGCCCAGCAACTCTCTCTCCCTCTCAGCTGATTTCCACTCATGCCTTTTTTGTCTCTTAGGGGCTTGTTAACATCTTTGCGATGAGATACTCATTGCTCCTCTATGTTTTAGATTCTGAATGCAGTGTGGTGTTTGTTACTTGAATTTTGTAGTGGAAAGTACTCAATTTGTACCACTTCAAGGTATAAATTATTCATTTCTTTTAAAGGGTATCTGGATGGATGTCAGCTTTCTGTCAAATACTGTGCCCTCTGCATCAGCAGCACTTTCAAATAGAGATCTCGCTAACTATACGTTTCCTCGTAGTTTGAATAGAGACAGATATCTGAACCTCCTGAAATGTATTTGAGTACGAGATCAATTTGCTTGATCAGAACTTTCTGCTCAGACAGTTCAGTCAATATCTCATACATCAGTATGTCAGTCATCACATATGAAGCTGCAGCAATGTGTGAAATCTGGCTCTTGAACAGGAAAATTACTGCACTGTTTAGCTAACAGTATGTAGGCAGAGCTTCATTACAGCCCTGTAGCAGACTGTCAGTGTAAAATGGGCTGATGTTATATTGTAAGTGGCCAAATGTAATGGATCCATTAGATTTCAGTGAGCATGAAGACTTCTGCTATCAGATCAAAGTCTAAACCAATCAACTGTCTGCTCTCCAATTAACAGATGGTAATTATCAGTAATTAAAACTTTTTTCCTGTAATTGACAGAAAGTTACAGGAAAATCTCATGGTCTGGTAAGGTTGTAGGGGTTCATATAAAAGTGCTTTATGACACTGAGATAAATGTGCAGCACTTTGATGAGAGTGTTGTGGCTGTGCTTATTATTATAGTCAAGATAAAGATATTGTATTTGAATTGTCGACATTTGTACATTTATTTAAAAGATAAATTTGCTAAGCTGTATTGTGGTTGTAAAGTTTGTAACACAAGCTTACATGTGAGGAGTTTTATCTGGGGTGCAGAAACTCTTCCTTGTGAGTATTTCCTCCCTGAGTTTTATCACAGGAATACAGAGGGTTGAAATTACAACTTTGCAGCTTTGACGACTGACATCCCAGCACAGCCAACTTTTGTGTTGTGTCATGCAGGTGTCTTTGCTGTTTCTTCTTCCCCTTCAAGTCACTGGGATAGCCCAGTTATTCCAGTGTAAGTGTGAGGCTTTAAAGTGGGTCAGTAAGTAGAGGTGTAAATGAGTCAAGTCTTTCCCATCCTGATTTCTTTGGCTTAACTTGTCTGTGAACGCTTCATCATGAGGAGTGAAAGAGAGGTCTGCCAAGGTTAGTGGAGATAGATGTGTACCTGGCACACGAAGGAGTGCTATCTGAGTGAGGCATTAGAGCTGTTGCAATGCAACCATGAAGCATACACATACTTTGTTTAATTTGTAAACATGAGTAAAGCACTGTCCAATGAACTGTGATGGACAGACAGAGCATCAACAAAAAAAATGTCCAGAATAGTTTCATACTCGGGGTATGTTAGATCTGCCCCCTGCTTGAAGTAATATAACCGTCTGTCTGTGAGTGAACCATCTGCCTCTATAGAAATCTGCTAAATTGGATTTATTATTGAGATTTTTGAGATTGAAATGAAAGGGTGATGAAGTTACAACTGGATATAAACTCAAAAGCAGGGAAGGATGAAAGTTTTCCAAAGACATTTGAAATAAACACAAGAGTTAAAAACATCTCAGCTTCAGCCTTGTCGACATGACACACAAAGATGTAAGTAGATCAGTCAGAGGCCCAAGTTAAACTGCCGACAGACGCAGCCAAACTTTACTCACAGGCTGTTTCCTTTTTCTTAACATACAGAATTTCTTGGACAGCCCACCACCAGACAAACTAAACGCTTGGTTAAGAGGAAAGCTGAACATGTTGAAAGTGTTTTCTCAGGAGTTAGTGGAGGCTGCAGCTTTATTTAACACTGAGTGTAGCCTTCACAGTGCTAATGTGTGAAGACTTTGAGTCATGCACATGTGACTTTCAACAGGTCTTGCATTTTACAGACATTTCAGACAGTCCTAAGAGTCCTTTAAATTTTTTCCCATGACCGATTGTGGTGCGAGTCAGCTACCAGACGTTTACAGATGTACTCGATGATAAGTCCATTTTTTTCTCCCCAGATTCAAACCATTTCTGCTGACGCTAAAGAGAGACTAGACCCCCTCTGCTCCTCTAACTCTCTTCATCATAAGTCATATTAAAAAGCCAGCTAAAGACATTTATGGACCTCAGACTGACCACACTATGTGGGCAGGAAAAGGCCCACTTTCTCCAAAGTGTGTTTATGGACTGTATTTTTGTGTGTGGAGGAGGAGATTGTGGGTCTGCTTCTCGTTATAACCTACGTATGTTCAACTGACAAAAGCCAGGCACTGCCACTCTCTGCTTTACAGATATGGCTGGAATGTGTGTGTGTTGGATGTATGTGTGTGTGTATGTGTGTACTCCCACGGGTGCTCCTCCAGTTGTGGTTGTTCGTGTTCCACTAAATCCTGTCCGCCCATTTGTCTTTCTCTGCCTCACTCCCATCAGCCTCTCCATCCTTGTCTCTCAGCCATTTTCTGTTAAATGAATGATGGCTGTATGCCTGACCTCACATCTGACTAATGTGTGTGTGTGTTTGAGTAAGTGTATGTGCACAAGCGTGAGTGTGTGAGTGCAGAAGCTCAGGCCGGTGTGTGTAGGCACCCCAGTGTTAGTTAAAAACAGGAAAATGCTGCTCATCTGCCATGTGCAGGAAAAATATCCTATTCAGAGCTGAGATACAGAACAGAAACAGAGGAGGAGAGTTTACTGAACTTTTTTATTTATAAAACCATTAAATCTGTAGAAAAAAAGAGGCACTTTTTTGAAAAAAAAAAACAAACATTATCTAAAGCATGGACAGCCCATGTTTAAAATGAAGCTGTGACAGTGTCCTTATCTTTCTGCTTTCTTTGTTTCCAAAGCTAACAGCACGTTCATTGGACCCAATTTGAACTTCAGACAAACCAGGCTCTTGTTTTTTCTTTTTTTTCCCATGGACAATAACTTAAGATTTTGTTCAGAAAAACATTTTAATAACCACAAGTTCAGAGAACCTCCGGATGGCGAAATTAGGGACAAAGTGGATGACTCTGTTCTGCAAAAAAAATCTACAAATTATTCAGTAAAATGGAAACATAACCTTTTTGCAGTTCTGCCTTTTCACAACCTTTACTTAGCCATTAAACAAGCAGACTACGGTTAAAACACAGCAGCCTGTTAAGGCTTTTATACCAAAACTGTCAAATGCTTTATTTGGCTTTTGCACAACTTTAGCTGCTTTTCCAGTGGAGTTTAAACAAAACCTTAAATTCTGATAAGCTGATTTATCCAAAGTGAAGAAAACAGACAGAAGTCAGCCAAACACACATCACTGTTTCTCTGTGCTGCTGACTGGGTCAAATTGCTCTGTCAGTCTTTAGTCCTCCTGACAGGTAGACGCCCACCTGCCTGTGCAGGTTCAGTGCTCTGGTCAAGTGGTTATAACCCATATACAACTCCACTCTCTAGATCACCAGTCTGCCATACTCTGCAGTATCTTTGCCGTCAGTCAGCTACACTGGTTAACATCCAGGTAAAAGAGCATCATGGTACTGTTATCAATGCAAAGTCCAAAAGCCAGCATCTGTGATGGTATGGGGGTGCATTAGTGCCCAAGGCATGGGTAACTTACACATCTGTGAAGACAACATTAATGTTGAAAGGTACATACAGATTTTGGAGCAACTTATGCTGCCATCAAAGCAACGTCTCTTTGATTGGTGCCCCTGCTTATTTCAGCAAGACAATGCCAAGCCACATTCTCCACATGTTACAACAGCGTAGCTTCGTAGTAAAAGAGTGCGGGTACTCGACTGGCCTGCCTGCAGTCCAGACCTGTCTACCATTGAAAATGTGTGGCGCATTTTGATGCGTAAAATACGACAACAGAGACCCAAGACTGTTGAACTGAAGCTGTACATCAAGAAAGAATGGGAAAGAATTCCACCTTCAAAGCTTCAACAATTAGTCTCCTCAGTTCCCAAACATTTATTGAGTGTTGTTAAAAGGAATAGTGATGTAACACAGTGGTGAACATGCCCCTGTCCCAACTACTTTGGCACGTGTTGCAGCCTTGAAATTCTGAGTAAATTATTATTTGCAAAAAAAAATAAATAAAGTTTATGAGTTTGAAAATTGAATATCTTGTCTTTGTAGTGTATTCAATTGAATATAGGTTGAAAAGGATTTGCAAATCATTGTATTCTGTTTTTATTTACGTTTATCACGATTTCCTTACTTCAATGGAATTGAGTTTTGTACATGAACTCTCTATGAGGGAAAGTCAGCTATGCTTATGTCGGGTGATAATGTGGAAAAATGACCTTCAATGACTTCAAATGGGATTAACTGTTTATATCTTTTTGTGTGTTGATATATGTTCATTTGGTCAGGCAACATTGAAAGAGTAAGAAAATCAGAACAAAGGTGAATATATCCTTTAGCCCCTGAATGCCTCTGAGAAAGAGCGCTGTCACCTCAAAGAGCACTGTCACCTCCTCTTGCTGGGTTTATTCAGATGGAGTTAGACACTGTGACTGACTGACTGATAGCCCCTCTGTCTATCTTAGCCCACTGGACTCCAGGCTCCTACTAACATTCACCTGTGTGTGTTTTTTGTGTGTGTGCGTGCGTGCATGTGTGGTTGTGTATATGCTCTGAAGTATGTTCTTCTGTAAATGTGTCAGTAAATGGTGGGCTAATACAGTCAAACTTGTCATAGTCTCTCAGGGCTTTGCTGCCATTGTTCTTATCATCGTCCCGCCTAATACTAACATCAGGAATGACACACACACTCCAACTCTGCCTTACACAGTACAGCTGTCTACAAACAATTATGGTAATGAATCATTCACTGGTGCACAGATACAGTAAATCAGCTGATAACAGCAGACTGAGTTCTGGTGAATCCAGCTCCTAGAGGACATGGCTACAATTGTTTCTGTTAGGTGATTGATATGGACGGTGTGCTTGAAGTGATCATGTGTGGATGAGTATTGGAAAACCCATAGTCAGGTCTTTTTCATAGATTCGAGGTCATGGTGGCAACAACTCTTTAGTTATCACATGAGCTTCTTCATCATCATCTTAATTGGAACATGAAATATATATTTATTTCAACTAATAAACATCCTGATGTTGTTAAAAAAAACACTGAATGACAGCAAATTCTTCAGTTTGTGTGAAAGTTACTTACTTCTCAGTTCAATTACCAAATCAGTGAAGAATTAACTGAACTATTCTCTTATCATCGCCCCCTGCTGCCTGTTAGATATGATGCAGATCTTTGGACATCTCACTTTGGTTCTGACAAATAACACTTTCTATAATCTAATGATTATAGAACTGATGAAGTAGACATGGAAAATGAGTCAAAAAATAATCTTGTTAACAGCATCAAACATGTATCTAAAATACCTTTGATGTCATTTTGTGTGCGTCAAAATGTCTGTCTGTACTGACCATAGACTGTATATAGAATGGACGCCGTCTGCCTCCTTGCGGGGTGAAGCCACTCCGAGAACAGCACCCTCTGTTGATGGGCTGCAGTATAGGTCATAAATCCCGCCTCCGCCAGCAAAGCTTATGGGGCTGTGGACCAACTTTAGAAATTTATTACACAGAACATACATTTTTCTCCCCCCTGCTTGTGATGTTGACATGTAGTAATTGTAAGACTGGTTTGTGCTCAAGTCCTCTTTTTTCAGTGAAGCTGCGTTTTCAAAAGTTATTAGGGGGTTCATGTTTGCTATGATTGACACCTGATACAGCCTATGGGCGTTCAGGGATTGCATAGCTCTCCCAGGGGATACGCTGTTTGAGCCGAGCGTCATCACAGTGACTCTCTGCGAATGCGCGGCCGAATGCACACAACGCTACTGCACAGCGCTGGTTTCAGGAAATGAAGAAAAATCCCGGAAATACCAAGAGCTTTTTGGCTTCAAATCTGTATACAGGCGGAAGGCGGAACTAGGTTGTCCATAGTATATACAGTCTATGGTACTGACAGGTCAGATCAGACCTCCTGAAGGACATTAGTCACACTGTGGTGTTCCTGATTGTACCCCAATGAACATCCTGCAGTTTGCAAAAACACTTATTTGGTAGGCACAAAACCTCTGGTGACCAAGGACGAGGGAAAAGTTATCATGCATTTCAGGGTAAAAGCCAAAAATTGAACTCCTCTCTCCATCTGTTCACTTATTTCTGTAACCCTCTGATTTGTGACTTGTCCTGCGGGTCATTTTTATCAAAACTCTGTTTCTTCCTTGAAACTGAGCATAAAAATAAGAACTAAGAATAGATACTTTCTTATGACTGTGGTGGATCATGTGTCTGTGGTTAGCAGTGGGGTACTTGGACTGTTCCAAGAAGCTTTATAAAATCTTCTCGCTCACTCGTGGAGAAAGTGTAGGAGTAGGTGAGAGTTCAGAATTACAACTAGAGCTGATCATTTCTTTAATCTGACAGCTCACCCCTGCTTAAAACCCAAATAACCCCTCCACCTGTTTGAGACCAGCTGTTTCTTTAAGTGTGTATATGTGTGTGTGTGTTTGTGTGTAGTGTAGGATAGTGTATAGGCTGTGGTGTGCTTGACATCGACAACATAATCGAGTGTCCTTCCTGTTTCTCAGTTTTGCTCCCCTCCTTTCCACCTACCAACCTTCCCCTCCCTCTTGGTGGAGATTCATTTTGGCTACAGCAGGAAACAGTGTGAATGTCTGCAGAAATATTCATGTGCCTCAACAAAGAAGTGGTTTGTTTCAGCACAGAGTTAACTTTGAAAGACAGAGCTTCCCCTGCTGTGCCAAAGGATCAACAGAAGATGTGGAAGTCAGATTGGACAGTAGTCTGAGCTAGGCCTGGACGATATAGAAAAAAAGCATATCGATAAAAAATAAATCATATCGATCGATATCGATAATTATCGATATAATTGTTATAATTATTTAACATATATTTTAATTGCAGCCCTGGATGTTTTATGCTATTGCTTAATGACCTACTTTAAATAAAGAACACACAAGCACTGAATTCAAATTCAAACCTTTATTCAACCACCTTTTTTTTTTTACCACAACTGAAAGTTTTTTAAAAAAGAACTAAAAAAAAAAGAAATCAACTTAAGTGGCCTGAGTGACGTCAGTAAATACTGACAAACATAAAGACTAAAGTGACCAGAAAATCTGATAAATAAATATTTAAATAGTCTTTTGATGAAAACAAACAAATATATAAATAAACAGAATAGCTTTAGGTGGGAATAGCATACTACCAGTTTTAACTGTGTGGGAAACTGCCCACAGCCTGGTGTCTGAACACTGAAATATTTCTCCCGGGGTCGGGAGATTTATTTTTTTTAATTACCATGTGATTGACTTAATACACAATCCAAGCACGAGAAGCAGGACTTATCCACGCCGGTGTTGTGTCGTAGAATGCACCCCTGCCGAATGCACCCCCTGCTAGTAGCCATGATCCAAATACTCGCGTCTTTGTAAAATATGAGCTCATTTTCTTCCACTTTAAGAAGCTAATGAGTGGACGGGATGCAGGGGTGCATTCTACGGCATAACACCGGAACGTATTTCCTCCGCACCCTTCTCACCTTTTCAACCCCTGACCCATTTTCATGCCTTGAAGCGCTGTGTTTGAGAAATACTTGCGGCCGGACACTTCATATCGCGGGTCGAGAGTGGCTAGAAGCTGGTCGAAGCCAGGCTTTTCAACGGTAGTTATTGGCAGTATGTCCCTCGCTATGGAGCATGTTACTGCATGGGTGATGTCCTTATGCCGCTCGGACGCTTTGTCGTATTTTGGCAAGAAACGAAGTCCAGTTTGGTCTGCTTCACATGCTTTGTGCTGGTGCTGGCAGCGGTTCCAGAGGATTCCTCCGACGATGACGTGGAGCCGCGGCGCGGCCGACACAGCTCGTACTCCTGCGGGTGCGATCGGTTTAGATGGTAAAACAAGTTGGTTGTGTTACCAGACTTCGTTTTTACTAATTCTCTGCAAATTTTGCAAACGACCGCTGTTCGCTTTTTGTCAGACTTCTAAAAACCAAAACATTGCCATGCTGGTGAACTACTGAAACCTTTTTTCGGGACAATGTCCTCCGCTTCTCCTTGCTGTATCATTTTTTCTAATACACGTGCTGTCTGTTGTGGTTTGATAGGGGCTGGGCTTGGTGCCGTAGCGTACCTGGGTCTGCGTTTGTGATTGGTTGGGAGGGAGTAATGACTGTAGTAAAAGCTACATGATAGGCTATGATGAAAAAGAAAGGGAAACTGTGTTTTTCTATCGAACTTTTTATCGACCCGTTTTTTTTCTATCGCACCACACGTCTATCGATCGATATATATTGTTATCGAATTATCGTCCAGCACTAGTCTGAGCTGCTCTGGGTATTTTAGCTCTCTGGGCAGAGGCCCTCCTCATATGTTTGGGTGACCAGCACCAGTCGTTGAAAGTACCTTCAGTTGAAATGAAGACCTTGTGTTTTAAATGTAGGTTTTATGATGACACTGGAAAGCTTTTGGACTGAGGACAAAACAAAAACTTACCTTAACATTCACTCTTAGCTGAGGCTCAGTGGTAGAGTCAGTCGTCTCCCAGTCAGAAGGTTTGGGGTTCGATCCCTGTCTAAATGTCGTAGTGTCCTTAGGCAAGGCACTTGACCCTACCTGTCCCCTCTGGCTGTGCCCAGTGTTGCTTGAATGGGATAAGTCTAAAACAGATGAGCTCTATAGCAGCCTCTGCCACAATCAGTGTGTGAATGGGTGAATGTGACATGTAATGTTGAAGAGCTTTGAGTGGACAGAGGGATGGAAACACAGCCCACTTATTCCAATATTGGCCTTTAGGATCTTTCACACTGTGACTCAAAGACCTCTTTCAGAGACACAGAGACGATAGAGGACTTTTTACTACAGCGTCATTAGAGAAGTGAAAACAGTGCACAACACTGTTTGACAGGGTGTGAAGAGCTCCAGGCTTTGGCCTCATTTGACATTCAAGCTGGAGTTTCAATTATGACTATGCTGTGTAATGATACACGATTGCTGAGAATCTACAATGTGTTGGGCCTTCAACCAGTATGGTAGAGTAATCAAAGAGCATGTAGGCCAGAATAAGGCTCAGCATTTTGGGTTGAAAAATAATTGCAACCCAGTGCACAACCTGCAGTTTGCATAATTACTTCTTAGGTATGGATCAAACCTCTGATGCCCAAATGTGAGGGGAAAAAAGCATCTCAGGGAAAAGTCCAAATCTAGAAAATCAAAGTAGAAAAATTGAAATGGAATTTGAGAAAAGGATTGAAATCTCAAAATAAAGTAGAAATTCAGCTTAATGAAAAAGTTAAAGAAAAAAACATAAGTCCACATTTGATTCCAGGCATTGTGGACAGTTTCTAAATGAACAGATTAAATGTTCACTTTTTCTGACTCTTAATACCACCTTGTTTATGGAAATTTCCGCTTTAATCTTCAAGTGCTTATGAAGAAAAAGTTCCTCTTTCATCTCTTCACTTGTTTCTGGCCCTGTTACTCTCTGATTCATCACTTATCCTTCAACCAGTGTGGTGGAGTTAGAGGTTAGAGGCAGAGGATGATGTTTGGAAATTTGGATTTCTGTTCCCATCATGTGCTGTAAGAAAAAAAATGTTGAAATAAGACAAAATGCTGAAATAAATGTATATAAAGATTTAATGAATTAAGTCAAAATGTCAAGAAAAGTTGTCAGTTTAATGACCGAAGTCCAAATGCCCAGACAACAATTGAGATTAAGTTTAGAGAATAAAATTGATGGTTGCTTGGGTGACACCATGTTTCCTCAGAAAACTGGTTGTGGCTCCAAACACTCTTTCACACAGGAGTCAACAGTCAATCTCTCCTGCACTTTTTATCAGTTTCCTTTCAAATAAAAAGCCAATAAGTTATCATTTATCAGGCATTTAGAAACACAACATGTGACCTCCTCATCTGTGCGGTCTGCAATCCAACGTTATTTTTTAACAAAAGTCATCGAATGCAGAGCAGTGCTGGTCCATTTTGAATTGTTTAGTCATCATCTTGCCACAACAACATATAAAAATACAATACATGGTAGAGACATGTATGGAGATGACCGTGAACTTGAGTCTGTGTGTGCCCATGGCTGTGTTTGAGGTAAAAACTGATGTGATCAGACACAAAGCTGGCTCACTTTTATCACCAGGAAGCAAAGAGTGTCTACACCTCAGATAAGCAAAAACCTGGTCAAAAGTCAAGAACCAGTTGTGCAGTACTTTCCTGATATTTAGAGGGCGCTTTAGTACACAGGACTTCAGGGTTGACAGTGGGCTTTCCTCTGACTCCCACCCATAGTTTAGTATCAGTGTTTTAGCTGCCACTGACCATGGTGCTCACACGTCATATCTATACTGAAACAGTGTGTGTGTTATATCTATGCAGAAACCACAAATGAAAGCTGTGTAATCCCGCAGTAAATAAACATAAGCAGCCTGTCTCTGATGTAAAGCACACAGGATGTTGGTTCATCGTCTGATCCGGTCTGCTCAGCATGCCCAGAGTCCTAATTTGAACTAATTAATGAAGTCATGCCGCCGAATCTTTGTGTGTGTAGAGGCATTGATTCAGTGGATTTAATGTCAATCCATGCATTGACAGAACTCATACATTGACCTGTGAGTTTTGTCTGTGTTTGTCGAGGCACAGTAGAGAGAGGGAAGTTAGACATGCCGAGGTAAGCCTGAACTATTTAAGCAGAGAGGCTGAAATCCACTTTGGAGATGGCATGTGCCCATCTGCAGCACACATGGATCTTAAAGGAAATGAGAGCAACGCACCCATTTGTCTGGTTCATGTAGTGCTTATAACAAACCTATGAATAATGAAAGGACTGAATACAACCTCTCTGTGCCCTGCACCCCACTTTATACCCAGATCCTTCAGACAGGTCCCTGAAGCTGCTGCAGGACCGGACTCTGTATGTGTGGTCTCAGCATAACTTTCTCCTTATAATGGTAGTTACTGTCCAGCTCCACGTTGTTTTAAATCATTAGGTAGAGGAAGAGGGAGCAAAGAGGCAGAGGACTTTGGACAACATGTGCCAAACCACATCCTCAGTACAACACACACTATTCATCAGTTAAGCATGGCGCACGTTTAAAAAGCCACTGATTGAAGCTTTAAACAGAGATGTTTTAAAACCACAGAATCACAATTCAGGCAGTATCACATGCACGCACGCACACGCACAGATGCACCTGTCATAGCGCACATTAGAGTTAGAGAGGTGTCTCCTGTGGACTTTGGGTAAAAACCCTGCTCTCCACTCCATAGTATTGGTGGACACAGCATCTGCCCTACATATTGTAAAATCAATATCTGTTCCAAGCCCAGATTTGTCAGTGTCGTAGTTATGCTGTGCCAGCTCCACAGCTTCTACCTAACCCAAGTAGAAGGAACAAGTTATTTAATCTGCCCTAAATGCTGAGGCGAACCAGCTTTGATTTGAAGTGACACATTGCTTTGACATGTGACTCTTGCTGGGGGAGGTTTTAATGCTGCACAAAGTATCAAGTGCCCAAATATTTAGTCCTTGCGTCCAGCCCAGCAGGGTATGGTTCTATCTCTGGGGAAGAGCTTGGCTCAGGGAGGATTATGGGATAGTGCATCAGGAGGAGGGGAGGTTGATTTTAAGATGATGCCATTTGAAAGCCAGCGTTCATTACATCCATAATCCAACTGTTTGGTAAAAGGCTGGAAACAGCACTCACACACATTGTTGTTGCTGTTGTGATTGATGTTGTTGTTGTTGTTGGTGTGTGTGTGTGTGTGTGTGTGTGTGTGTGTGTGTGTGTGTGTGTGTGTGTGTGTGTGTGTGTGTGTGTGTGTGTGTGTGTCAGATCAATCAGGACAGGGCGACAGCTGTCCTATGGGGATTAGCTGTGTGTGGCTATAGAGTGTGTATCCTGTGGTCCTGACTTTAGTCTGCTCTACATACACAGACAAACACAGCAACGGGCTGATTCTTGGCCTCCAGACTTTACACATAATGACATGCTTTCACTCAGATGTTTGTCCTGTAAGTTGTGAGTCATAACATATCATTTTAGCAAAGCCGTATAAAGCCAAACATAGAAAAAGCCTCTCATGAAACATAAAGACATAATGTTAGTAGAACTGGACAGTGATGAGGCTAAAAGCATATGCTGGTGATAGAAATGGCAGGAAATACGTGGCTGAGTGTGTATAGTTGTGTTTATAAATATATTTATATTCATGACATACTCTGTAAAACATGATTGTTAGTCAGGTGCAGTTTTTTTCTGATCCAGATTGGCTGGTCTAAAGGTCTTTATATTTTGACCTCGTAACCCCCTTCACTGCCCATTTTCTGAAGCTTGCTTTCTTTGGATGCACTGAATATAAACTGTGGATCACATTAATTTTAATGGCTACACTTGCAGTGCATGGGAAAGAGCTGTGCGAGTAACGGTAGAATAAGTCACCAAGGGTTTGTGTCCTCTGTTTTTGAACCCAGCACAAGTTTGTGAATCTGAAACTTTTTTACACACTGCAAAATAAGAACATCTACATGTACTGACATTAAACAGCTAACAGCTGGTGCTGAATACTGAAAGTTATCTTAATAAACATCCCTTAATTATTTTGAGCTTTGATGAAGTAGTTATACATGGTTAACAGCTATTCGTTTCTCCTGTTTGAATGATGCTAGTGTATTGGACAGAGTCTAAGGGGGCTTTCACACCTATGTCATTTGGATCAGACTTTAGGACTTTTCTGTTTAGTTTGAATCAAAATGATAGGTGTGAAACCTGCCCAGGATCTTGGTCTGGACCAAACAGCCAGACCTTGGTCCGACCAAAAGAGGTGGTCCTGGTCTGGATCAAACTGAACCACGGTCTGGTTCAAGTACGTTGTGAAAGCATTATTTTGAAAGGTTCGGACCTTTGTACCAGAGACAGGCGCGAGGAGTAGAAGTGTCTGTTATTATGTTGGATTGAGATTGTCCATTCAACATGGAGATTTTATAATATTGTAGATAAAGTTATTCCTCACTATAATAATAATGCATCAGATTTCATATAGCACTTTATCAGAGCCCCTCAAAGTGCTTTACATTGGATACATCATTCATTCACTCACACAGTCACACTTCGGTGGTGGTAAACTTCCTTAGTAGTCACAGCTGTCCTGGGGCAGACTGACGGAAACGTGGCTGCCACCACACAACACTCTCAATCATACACCAGTGGAGGACACACACTGGGAGCAAGGTGGGTTAAGTGTCTTGCAAGGACACAACGGACAGACTTGGGATAGGGGGGAATCGAACCGCCAACCCTCCAGTTATTGGACGATCGCTCTACCTCCTGAGCTACTGCCGCCCCTACTATTGACAGCTTATCTTTTCAAGAGTTTTACTACACATACTTTTCTCCTGAGCCGTTGTTGCAATGACTCGCAGGATTGCATACTTTCTTCAACTTTCTTGGCGATGTCGATAAAGTTGTCCTCTAATGATGAAATTCATGAGACTTCCTCAGACCAGCCTCATGTACAGCTCTTCAAGTTGTCGCTGTTATAGAAAATCAAAAATAGTACGATGGTGGGAATGACGATTTCATGCTTTTCAAAGTGTTGACGTCAGACGCCCGCAGGCCAAATGACAAGTCAATGTAAACCACAAAGACACGCAAAGCACGTAGTTGATGACAATTTTATGTAGGTTTGTCATGTAGTCTGTTAGTCCGTTTGCAATAATGACAGTGTGAAGCTGAACCAAATGTATATATTTTCTGCCCCTTTGCAGTAGTAATGGCAGTGGTAGTGGTGGTGGTAGTCGTACTTTAAGTGAATAATAATGAGCCATACAGCAGAGTTGTCTCAGCATGAGGACAGAGAAAGTGGTTTTGTTGCTTGCTTGTTCAGACTTTTGCATCCATCAAAACAGAGAAAAGAACTGAAAGCAGGAAAATGTCGACAATCCAAGAAATATGGCAAATTGGTGTGATCACCTGCAAAACCATACTGTACAGATATTTAACTACAAGGAATTGAAAATATGTGATTAAAAATCTCCCATTGATGATAGAATAATGCAAAAATATTTATTAGTCAGTTGGGTGTTTCTTTTCAGATGAAGCATTGATCAGCTGGCCTCAAATGATGTGACAGAAAATAATGAGCTCTGCAGGTCCCCTTAGCTTTACTGAGTTTTTAATGTACTTTGTGCTGGTTGTTATTTTTCCTGAAAGCTCTGCTGTCATCAACTCCATTTCCAACGCCAGCGGGCAGCTGTTTCCCATGGATAAACCCTGATATTACCTCTGTGATAGTCTGCAGTCTCTTTGTTAGCGCTGAGGAGGTAGAAGGACATGAAGTGCATCTGACTGCCTACTGAAAGAGGACTTTTCCTTTTTAATAAGCATAATGATAGTTTAATTTTGACCAAGGGTTTGACCTGCTTTGCTCTGACCTTCAATGTACCTCATCTGACATGATCTCTCTCTAACTCTAAAAGGAAGCTGTGACTAAGAAATGATCCTGTCAACAACAGAATAAGACTACAGACGGGCATTTCCACTGAGGACATTTTCACCAGTGGGGTAATAGTTGGGGTATAGCTCTTGTATTGTATTGTATTGTCTATTCTTGCACTCGGGTGTGAATGTGAATAATGTGCCATTTCGTTCTAACCATAATGATGATGAGGTGATAACTATTATGATAATGATGATAATGGCAACATGATGATGATAATGGGACTGTTGTGTTCACAGATTTTCACAGTTGTTAAAGATATAATCAGTAAAGCTGCACTGAGCTACAGCCTTCTTCATTTGTGACGAGTGTCACCTTTGGACTCTTATGAACCACAACGGAAAGGTTGGAAGGTTTCAAATCTGCTGCTCCTGTGCTTTTTTACACTACTAATTATCTACCATCGTTGACATTACATACAGTAAGGCTATGTTGTTCACAAAAAGTCCTGCTCAAACCCCCCAGTTTATTTTATTTTATTATTATTATTTTTTTGTCAATCCTGTTTGTTTTTCAGGACCTTTATTCTTCATGACATTTTTCTGTCTTTTCCCTGCATTTTGAGTCATGCAGCAAGACAAGTTAACATTTGGTGGAAATTAATGGTTTACTGTTATTCCTTTTTTAAGAGCTGATGCCAATAATTAGAGAGAAGGTCGTTCAGTGGCTGATATATAATATCAGTGTCATGGTGTTTTTCTTATTTGCAGTTTTTACATTTCAGAAAAAAAAGATGACCATCTTAAAAGGGTTGGGAATCACCAGTGGCCTCACAATATGATATTATCGCAATACTTGGGCCACAATACGATATTATTGCGATTTTTAACATTGTGCAATACAGTGAGTATTGCAATACGATATGATTTTGATTTATAATTTTTTTTTCAACTGTGAATCTAATTTAGCATTTGTCTTTCCTTTATGTTTGCTTATTTACACAGTATTTTATTTTTATGTAGCACATCTTGCAAACCACATATGTCAGGTCCATCTCATTTGTGCCCTGCTTGCATTCCTAATGTCTTTCCCCAGGTGCTGCTATATTTGTTGTACTAACTTTCTCCTGCTCTATGATGTTAGCTCTGCCAACCTCACTGGACAAACAGTTGATTTGATTTTTCCATTTTCGTAGATTTTACTTAATATTAGCAATTAATTTGAAAAATTGATACTTGGTAAATGAGACGATACAATATATCACCAGACAAAATATTGTGATACTATGCTGCATTGATTTTTTCTCCCACTCCTACACATTATCCAGTGACATGTCAAAGGTAGACCTTTAGTGTATTTACAAAATACAACATACATTAGCTTGTACTATAAATTCCACAACATGACTGGTATTAATTTTAGAAGCAGCATTAAACAGCATAATTCTGCAAATTTATGTTAAATACGCTTCAGTAACAAGTTTAAGTTTGGTGTGCTGCTTTTAGAAGGTACAAACCTGACATGGTCAAGGGGACAGCAGCCACACTGTCATGGCTGTCTGCAGTTTCTGCAGACTTTCTATATAGTTTTTCATCAATGTTGTGAGCACAGACATCATCTAATGCTGATTATTTCTAAACTCTAATGATAGTTATTTCTAATCTCCATTGACCAGCCTAGTTAATTGGCCCAACCAGATAAGCGGTCTGTCACTGTTAGAAAAAAACAAACAAACAAAAAAAAGCACAACAACATCAAATCAATATAAATCTTATTTCTGAATATGGCTGTAGAGGAGAAGATTTGATGAATATTAATCCTCACCTCAGACCCATGAGCCTAACTTGATGGTCACTTGGAAAAATAGTGTCTCAGTCATACAGTGTGTCATGAACAGACTATCTGATGAAACTCAGCCCCTCAGGTCCTCTCACAGTGCTTATAACTATGATAAATCCTGAGGTCTCAGCCCCGTAAGGCAGTGTGATTTATTTCTTAGAGAAAATAGACTTTTTATTTACTCCTTTAGGGGGAGGATCAGTGCAAAAGAATGGCTATCATATTGCTTGCATTAAATAATCTGATAGAATTCCTGATACAACAGCTTTAGTTTCTACCTGAAAGATTTCCCTGAAGCCTTTTCCTCAGGGATACTTTATGTGCATGCTGTGATGTGGTGGTAGCCCAGAGGACAACAGAATGGAGGTCAAGATGTTTGTAAGTGCTTGTGACTACTCTAAATGCTTTTCCCTGAGCTGTGCAGAAGGTTTACTTCACATCAAACTCCTTTTAGTCCACGAATTCTGTGCTTGTTATCCAGGGCCATGTCAGGAGGAAGTTATGGAGGGAAGCAGAGGAGCAGGAGGAGGGCACAGACCTGTGAATGGCTTCATTAACACAGAAGAGATGGGTTCATTAACACCCAGCAGCACTGCCTAAAAGGAGAGCCCCACTGGTATACTAGGAAGAAACAAGGCGTGCTACGTGTGTGTGTGTGTGTGTGTGTGTGTGTGTGTGTGTGTGTGTGTGTGTGTGTGTGTGTGTGTGTGTGTGTGTGTGTGTGTGTGTGTGTGTGTGTGTGTGTGTGAGTGTGTGTTTTCACAGATGCAGGAGGTGATAATTGGTAGTAGTCTCATGTTTGCTCAGGCACAGATCTAAAAGTGGAGATCTTCACTGTCTCATTGTTTTTTGGATCCCAGACCCCCCCCCCTAAGTCTTTGTCTCTCCTCTTTTCTTTTCTCTGTTTTTTGCCTTTTTACTCTTTGCCTCCATTCATTTTTGTCTTGGAATACAAAATCTTTTGCTGGTGTGCAGCATGTGGCGGGTTGACTGGATCAGACTTAATGTAACCATGGAGCTGCGATAATGATTTTAATTCTTAATCAGATTATCTAATAAGGACGATGTTAAAAAATTAAAATTGTCAAATCGATTTTCCTCTCTATCATGTATCGCGCCTCTAGGCCACCGTAGGCTCCCCCTTCCTGCGGGAGCACTTCCCAGTTGCCACACACACCAGTGAAAACAAACATGGTGCTTGCAAAAGGTGATAATTTTGTGGCTAAATAAGGCAAGAGCAAGTCAGTCATGTGGAATTAGTACGGCCTCAGAAACTTTTTGAAAATGGGTTGGAGAGTGCGTAAATCTGTAAACAACTACTGTTTCATCTCCGTGTGGATGCCTATCTGTATCTTTCTTGAAACGATTATGTTACACACAGCATAACTCTTATATGGCACCTGCACGTGTGTCTGGCCATTCAACCTTTATACGCATGCTCTGTAATCTTCTTCTGTCTCTTGTGCATTTCCTCTGCAGCGTGACAGTGCCACTTACTGGCTTGGCATGTGCACCACATTGTTTTCAGTGGTTTCATTTTGAGAGATGATTAAAAAACGTATTATTAAAGTGGAGTTTGGTGAAGTTGTCAGTGAAAAAAAATCGAAATCAAAAATCAAATTTTCAGGGAAAAAAAATCTGGATTTTATTTTTAGCCAGAATTGTGCAGCCCTAATTTGCAGGTAGAATTCACTCTTGATTTGACTATATCTGGTAAAATCCTCCAATATTAAACATTATTAGAAAAAAAGGGTGTCGAAATGTTGGTGTTGGCATGCTGTGTGGATTCTTTTCTGTCAGGGCTGAAACCCTACTGAGGTTTGATTTACAGCTGTAAAGGCATAATATTTATGGTATGTCATCCACACCAGCGTCACAGCTCTGCAGATATTTTTTAATGACGAGATGTATTTTCTGCAAAGTGAGAAAACTCTGAGTCTTAAGAAAACAGGCAGCAGTGTGAAGTGTGTTTGTTCAGTACACAGGTCCACAACTGTGAGAAAATGACTGTGTTTAAGACTCTGTGTTCCTTGTCCTTCCTGTGTTTGTTCCAAACCAATGAACTATTGATTAAAGACTGGTGACCGGGCAGGTGGATCAGCCTCAACATGGCTGCTCTGTGCTCCTCTAAGCCACTCGGATAATCTATCAGTGTATTTGCATGTCTGATGTGTGTGTGAAGTGTGATTAGAGGCAGATCAATGCCTGGGTTGATCTCAGAGTCGTAACAAACAACATTAGGAAGAAGTTGATGTGAAAGCTGATTGTTGTAGGTTAACTGCACAGAGGACCTCGTCTGACCAGAGGCTTTCAATTTTTACAGATTCACCAGGGAGAAAACTGCAAACATGCTCACGGCTGTGTCACTGACTTGTGCTGGGATCTGCATTGAAAACCTCTGAGGTCAAAAACATCTACGGTCCAGAAAGCAGTGGTAGCCAGTCAAATGATGTGTAAAACAGTATGTCTCAGATATAAGTCACCTGCAGAGTAATTCAGCAGCCTCTGTGGTGCTGCTCTAAATGGAGGGTTCCTGGAATGGCCTTATTAAAATGGAATTGGAAGCATACTTTGTGACCACAGGTCCAGTGCCCAGTATGATTCCTCCTGGGGCTACTTTGTGGTTTCATGCTGGCACTATTACAATTAGATGAAGCAGAATAATGAAGTTAGTCTCATTTATCAGTGAGAGTCCAGCAGGACAATCAGCAGTTGTCACAGATCTGTGCTACAGATATTGATCGTCTGTCCAACACTACAGGAATAATAGATGGGAGCCCAGGTAAGGATGAGGCTTTCCTCAAACCTTTTCACTGTGGAATCTGCAGGCTCCCAAGTGATTCCTGATTATAATGTGTGTGTGTGTGTGTGTGTGTGTGTGTGTGTGTGTGTGTGTGTGTGTGTGTGTGTGTGTGTGTGTGTGTGTGTGTGTGTGTGTGTGTGTCCTAAATAGAAACTAAATTGCAGAGCAGATTTATATGCATTCATGAAGCAGATTTATATCTGTGAGCAAGTCAGCATTTCGTCATTGTGTTAATTTATGCTGATGCACAACAACAAGATGCAGCAAGATACAATAAACTATGATACAAAACACTGTACCAAGGAAAAACAACATGATGCCATAGAATATATAGAGTAGCACTTAACAAAATATATGGTAGATACAGTATAATAAAGTGTAGATGCATGGCAGTGGGTCTAATCACTTAAGAGGCGGTGGGGCAAGGCTTCGCCATAGAGCCTCTCGAACTCCCAGCATCTCACTGCTGTATTGTTTATGTGGCTTTTTATCTTTAGTTTTAATCAAGCTCACTGAGCAGATGGATGTCTTGGTCAGTGGATTTTTATTCAGGCTGCCACATGTTGACAAGTAATAAAACAGAGTTTGTAGTGTTTCCATTGAGTTGAAACAGTTTGGTTTAAGACTGTATTGTGCTGTACTCAATGACACATTTTGTCTTATCCATCATATTTGGTGGTATTTACCATACCACAGGGCACTTGCTTTCTTCTGCATTAAACCTGCACGGGGTGAGTAAGTCATGTGTTCAGAGAGACGATCATTACTGTGTATTAACCACAGTGCTGGTTAGGATTGGTGACTAATACACGACGGTTTTCTCCTCATAAAACTGTCTCTTCACTGTAAGGACCCAGGACTGCTAATATTTGCGCTTACCAATGGCCATATGCAAGGAACCGATTTGGCTTCTATGAATGTTGTTTCTTATTTTAAAGTCACAGTAACAGGATGAGTTAAACACTTTATGAACCATATATAACCTAACATAACCTATTATTCAAATTAATCATAAAATGCCAGTATTATACTGTATAGTAAAGTCATAAATGGCAGGTATTTGCTAAAAGACTTATTTCAAGGTTTTAGGGATGGGAATCACTAGTGGCCCCAGGACACGATATCATCATGTTACTTGGACCAGGATACGATATGATTGCGTTTTTAACATTTTGCAATACAGTGAGTATTGGGATACAATACATTGCGATCTATACAATTTTTTCAACCGTTTAGCTAATTTAGCATTTGTCTTTCCTTTATGTTTGTCTTATTTACACAGTATTTAATTTTTAAGTGGCACTTCTTGCAAATATTATGTGTCATATATTATGTAATCTCATTTGTTCCCTGCTTGTATTCCTAATGTCTTTCCCCTGGTGCTGCTATATTTGTTGTACTAACTTTCTCCTGCTCTATGACGTCACCTCTGCCAAACTCACTGGACAAACAATTGATTTATTTTTCCAATTTCATAGACTTTACTTCATATTAGCAATTCATTTGAAAATAAACAATACTTGGTGGATGAGATGATACGATATATCACCAGACAAAATATCCCAATACTATGCTGTATTGATTTTTTCTCCCACCCCTACAAGGTTTAGGGACATGAATTCTAATGAAAAAATCCTCCCAGTTTTAATGCCTAGGGAAATGAGAATGTGAAATGTGAACATCTTCCATTAAAAAGGGAAAAACGTATGCCCACCCTGTTTCTTTAAATTAAACATATTGCAGTTATTATACGGCCCCTGATGTGATTAATAATGTATGCTTAGCAGCAGTGGAAAACAACCCAGTTTCTTTGCAGTCCACTAGACAGGCCATTTCACAGCTGTGTGTGAGGTGTATTTAAGAGGAGATTTTCCCTTCAACACATATCCAAGTGCATTAAGCCCACCAGCTCTGCAGCCAGGAGACATGGCGGGTCAGTAAATGGATAGACCTGTGAACAGCAGGTGATGATAGTGGTCCAGCAGTGGCCTCTCAGATGCTGTGAGCCCTTATTGCCTGTGATTCATCTATCAGCCCAGTGCTGTCTTCACATGGTAATACCCTTTCAGAGTGCAAGGGAAGACAACAACACAGCTCTGACTCTTTCTGTCAGACTAACAGCTCAGCATTCACTCAGCCTGCATGTGTGTTTATTAGCAACATATTGCTCTTTCAGGGCCATAGCTGATTGATTTTGCATGCTTCACAGTGTAGGGAGGGGGCTGAGGTGACTGATAAAGCCCTGCCCACAGAGTGAGAGGAGAAGACTGGCTCTTTAAACAAGGGCAGATGCTAGAAGAAAGAAGGGCTGTTGCCAAGGGAAACTAGGGTGGTGCTGGGAAACCATGGCATTCTGCTAGTGAGGGAGTATTGGTTTTGACAAAAAGGTTTTAAATTTGAAGTGGGGGAACTCTGCATCCCATTGTTCATCACTGAGGTCATTTCTGTCTGAATGCTTGAAATGTAGTGACTGATGTTGGTGCAGATCCAGCTGAGGATAGGGAAATAATCAAACAAAACAGATTAGACGCCTATAAACCCATGCTGCATTGTTCAGATTTATCATACTTAGCAAAGAGCAATATATTACAGAGACAGCCAGCACAGTGTGTACAAGTTGTCCATTTCTAAAGTCTTGCAGTAAATAAGTTGAACGACACCAGCAGGCTTGATTGAATTACATTTCTGAAATTATACTCTGCATTTATCTTCTGTCTGCATGGGCTGGCTTAAAAGCAAAAAGAGGGAAGTTGGCCTCTGGCTTTGCTCCTAGACACAGTTTATCTAGCAACACCCAGCTGTCACTACAAGACACACACTCCCGAACACACGTGCACACATGCACACACACACACACGCACGCTCACACACAAAGTGCCGGAAGCTTCAAAGTTCAGCAGTATTTGTGAGAATTTAGTAAAGAGAAAATTGTTTTGGAAGATTCATTCTTTGGGGGTTTAATCCTTTTTAGCTCTTTTTGTTGTCTCTTAATCTTTGTTCGTGTTTGTGTGTGCAAATGTGTGTTTGTGTGTCTACTGGTTCACAAAGGCCTTCATACTTGAGTGTTTACTTATGTTAATTTTTGACTCCTTTATCTGAAAGTATGTGAAGACTACAAAGCAGTGCCACAGCTTGGCCTTCGAATCATGTCATATGATTATTGGTTTGATGGTCTTACTGTTCTCTGTTAGAGTTTTACCCAGAAGGCTTTGAGATAAAGTGTATATACAGACTGTGTGTGTGTTTGCTGATCAACCTTTAAAGCTCACACATCAGCAGTTTGAATGATTCCTGTGTTTTCTTGATCAGTAATCCTAGTGCACTTCCTAAATCTGTCAGATTAGACAGGTTAAATCCCCGGAGGTCAAAGTCTTTCTGCAGACTACTTAAATTATCGAACTCACCCTCAGCACCCAGCAGAGACTATCACAGCCTTCCTACACGTGTCACTCTCTGTAGGGACAGCACAACAGTATCATCACTAGACCTGACATGACATAACTTCTGATATGATCCGGTGCCACAGAAGTAAATACTGAGTGGATATGATCAGGCGTATCCATAATCCAGGTAACATGTTGAACAGCTGAGTTTTGCTCTGCAAAGATCTTTTTGAAAACATAAGGGAGGGTTTACTCCGCAGCAGAACTCAGGATGATAGTCCTATTTGTTCTGTTAACAGTATTTGCACAGAATAATCTCATGTGGTCCTCAAGATGAAGTATTTGAACAAATCAAACACTGTTTATTCTCATCATCTTCAGCTGTTGGTTTTGTTCACAGCTTTGCAAATGTTAGTATGCCAACGCAATAAAATGAGATGGTGAACATGCAAAACATGACACCTGTGCAGCATCAGTGTGATGTAGACAACATTCAAAGGAACTAAGTGAACATATCTAAAACCAGAATCCCCATGCACAGCCTAAATTGTAAAATGCAGGTAGGTAGCAGGTCCAAAGCAACCATAAATTAACATCACTGAAACTTTATTGAAGCCAACATCATGCCATGTTTGTTCCCAATTAAGTTTAAGGAAAGTCAAGTACAGAGTGCGGCAGATCTTTTTATCTATGATAAGTATTTAGGCCTCAGTAAATTTATCAAGGGACAAGACAAACCTTGCATCTGACCTTTTTTTGATTTGATTACATGTGCTACATGAGCTTAACTGTGCTGCATGAAAATACACAGATTCAAGACTTCTCATATGTTGATTACTGTTAATCATGTCATGCACAGAAACTGTTCAGTTTTTGTGTGCTAAGTTTACCTCGTATGAAAACTTTCACACCACTGAGTGACTCGGGTCCTTCTGATGTCTTTCTAATCAAATATATGAGCAGTGGAGTCGTCACTGATCCGCGCTGTAGGAGGATTTTTAAAGATGTGAAATGAATCACTCTCACCAGCCCGCAGGCTCCTCTGACTCCTCAGACTGGCCCATTAGTCTGGGTGTCAGAGGAGATTTTTTGGTGCCCCATTGTGGCCTCAATCTGATTTTTCAGGGGTTTTATTCTGACATGACAAACAATTTGAGGAAAACAATGCTGTTATCCCTTCATGAGGCATTAAAAACTGAAGGGTGTTGACAGTTTAAGTCCATCAAATTTTCAATGGTTGTACTTTTTAAAAATCTGTGTGCTGACCTCCAAATCTCCTGTTTAAGGATATAACTGGGGCTTATACCAGGAAGATGTGTGTGTTTGTGTGCATGAAGTTTGTATGTGTTGTGTTTATAATGTCTAATAAGTTTTTAGTTTCGCTTTTTTTTTTACCACGTTTATTGATGTCATACCATTCGGACATCGATCAGGCTGTGGCTGTGTGGCACGTTCACAATGACAAAGGCTTTTTTGGGAAATGCACCTCTGCGCTCTTCCAGTCTCTAAATGAACATTTTACATACTAATGAAAAAAGACATTTCATCCCTATCAATTCTTTCCCTATCAGAATTTATTATGGACCAGTGGTAATGCTTGGAGGCCCATCATTCATGATGAGCATTTAACACGTCTTTGTAAAAATATACTCATTAATGCATTTAAAGACGCTCTCCAATAAAAATCATGTTTTTCTAGTTGTCTACATGTTCATATGGCATTTTTCTGATGCTACAGGGCATATCATGAGAAAAGTAAGTACGAAATTCTATTTCTGAGTATTTCTGTATTGAAATAGTTGTGAATCTCTGGCAGACCCAAACAGAAGGCTCAGACACACTGGCCCTCATTTATCAAGCTGGCGTACGGCAGAAAACTTGCGTACACCTTGCGTACGACAATTTGGACGTGAAGATTGACATTTATCAATCTGTACGTGAGCGTATGCTATGACCAAATCTCACGACAGGTCTGACATTGTGTATGCAAGTTTGAGTCAGTGTGGATCTGCGGTGCAGCAAATATCTGTCTCAAAATAATTGATATACAAACCTCCAACCTGTCACCAAGCACAATCAGCCAGATTTTCACTAAAGATTAATAAAAAAAATAAAATTTAATAAAATAAATTTATTATGTCCTTGGTGAATAGGTCTATTTGATAACTCTGCCCAGAAACACTGCCACAGAGCAGGAGCACCGTTTTAACATTGCGTGCACACGCACCACTGTGGAGCGCTGCGTTTGACTCCTAAAAGGCAGGTGTCTCTGTCTCTGTCTTGGCCCAGCACCCGGGATGTTGTTGTACACTCCTGAAAGGGTGTGGGACATTATTTGGGCCAGTACAGTTTAGCACAATGTTGCACTGGCGAATGGAGTGCCGTTGTCTGTGCCGGTGCAACGTGAGGACCTGATGCCCAGAGAACAATAACAAGGAGAGACTCCACAAAGGTGCTGTACAGAGGAGACAGGACCTTATCTGTGGATTCTGACATATTAAGGTTAAGTTCAGAAAGTGCTCTTGCTATTTGATCAGTGATAAGAAATCAAATAGAAATCCATAAAAATGTGCCTCATGGGCAGCAACACACCGTTTGGTGAGGTTAATAATTATTTTTGTTCAGCCTCTGTCAGACTCTCCAGTCTGCTCTACATTACAAAGACGCAACAAATTAAAACTAAATACTTTTAATAATAGGAGCCACCTACCCTATGTCATGGCGATAAACAAATATGAGGCATGTATGAGATATGATCATTATGAGCAATTTGATGACTAATGATTTAGTCAAACTTCAGCCACTGTCCACTATTCCGTGGCAGCGCTGTTCACCACCACCATAATCCTGCTCCAGACAGGAGATTTCTGGACTGCTTAAATTCCAGTTTTGATGCTTCCAAAGAGAAAATCTGTGTTAGTTTCCACCACAGATGTGAGGATATCCACTTTCAGCTCAGAAAAGTTTAGAATCTTTGTAACAATTCTCCTCTTTCACGTTTGATCACAGTGGGAGGGGCTTCTGAACCACAAATATTTAAGGGCGTGACATGTTGATGACGATCGATTTCAGCCGCCACATTTATCAAGACCCGATCATACGTACACTGGGATTGGTCAGCTATGAACCCTTTCATAAATCTCACGTGTGTCCTGTCATACGATGAATCCTGCGCTCAGATCTGCGCAAGATTGATAAATGAGGGCCAGTGAGATTTCGTAGCAAATCCAAGCTCCGCCCCCGGAGCACCGCCATGCAGACCAGACTGAAAAGTAGACAGGACAATCACAGAACAAGTGTATACATTAGTATATTGCAATGCTTGTAAGAAAGCTAATTATGATATTAACTTTTATCATGCCCCCAGAAACATTCGTGTCTAAGAGCTTTCTAGCTCCTATGTTACCTGCTACTTCTACTACACGAGCAATGTTAGGCAACTAGCTAGTGTGAAGAGGAGTGTGAAGAGGAGTGTGCAGAGCAGCGCTGTCACCGCCCACGCTCCAGAGGTGAATTGCTAATGAGCTACTGGAACTCTGCAGAAGAAAAGCCCTTGAAAATGACACAGGTAAAGGGATTTTGGCTAAAAATGTCATCATCACATTTTAAAGACCAGTGAGGACACTTTAAGTAGTAAAAAAAAAAACGATCAGAGTGGGTGAGACTTAATTAGCAATCCACTAAACACAAACAGGAACTGTAAAGCTTGTCACCAGCTGCAGATATTGAGCGTGCATGAAAATCTTTTTTTTAAATCGCAGAACAAAAGTCTCAAGCCATAAACAGACAGATTTAATCAAACCTGTTTATCTACTGAGAATATTCAGAAAGACTCCTTTAGCAAATCCGGTAGCTCGATGAATCCATGTTGTCGTCTTCAGACAACAGAGGAAATGATATCAGAGGAGAGACAAAAAGTTTTAGAGGGAACAAAAAACCTCTCAGAAACAGTTACCAGACTGATCTCAGATGTATACCTGATATAAAATAGTGAATTCTCTGAACTGGCATCATATCAATCAGTGTTTGAGGTTTTTGACCTTGGCTGTGTTCATCTTCTGTCATGTTGGTGAGCTGTGCTGTCTCCTTGGAGCCAGCAGCACTTGAAAGCTCCAGTTCCCTCAGCATCTCAGGTGGGGGTGGGCTGGGGTGGTGGGGTGTTAGATCAGACGGTTCAAACATCATGTAGCAGCACTGGTGTTTTTGAACATGGCCATAGATTATGTATGAGCGTTTACTCCAGGCTGGTGGAGAACTTCAGAGAGGGGAGGATATTACAGCTGGAGGAGGGTTTCTGTATAAACATCAGGATTTTGGAGACAAATATGCTCAACATGTTTGGCGTCAGAATGACTTAAGGTGCTTTCTCACCAAAAGCTCCCAGAATGTATAGTTTTAGGTACCTCTCTGTGAGGAACTTAATGGTTCCTATGACTCATTGGTGTCTATGTTTCTACCTGAAGTTCAGGGTAAATAATGCAAATCAGGCCTATGACATCCAGGGTGGTGTTTGGAGCTGAAGTTACTCTTCAAGCTCTTTCCTCAAGTCTGTTGAATTTTCACAAATCACAGTGAAAGCAGATAAAGCGTATTTGAACATTTAACAACATCAGTTAGTGGAATAATCAGCTACCAGATTATCCTTCTCTCTGCTCAGCTGGTGTAAACCCAGCAGATAGCATCAGGTTAGGTAGGTCTCTCTCTCTCTCTCTCTCTCTCTCTCTCTCTCTCTCTCTTTCTCTCTCTCTCTCTTTCTCTCTCTCTCTGTGCTGCCAGTATTTTGTATGTAAATGAAGGACCTTTCAGTTTAAGACACTGGTCTTTTTTGTCAGCAGCGCCTTCGGGTCAGATTGTACTTATTGTGCAGTAAATGTATGGATCACAAGGACATGGCTGATGAAGAAGGTACTGATCACACCTGAGTGGCCAAACTCCTGTCGTCTATCCCCCCAGAATAGTAAAAAAAAAAAAGGGACCCAGCAATCCCAGGAAAAAAAAAAAGACGTTATGTCAGTTTAAAAAGCCTCAGTTCTTTGCTATGTTATTATACAAACCAAAAAAGTCAGTTCATGTGAATGATTGCCTCATGTTTATCTTTTTCTCCATGCAGCCATCAGGTTACACTGAACTTACTATAGATGAACTTGTTAGCCTCAGTCTTTGAGCTCATAGTGAAGATGGTGATAAACGGACTTTTAAAAGGGCAGAAAAAAACAGGAAAAAGTCAACATGCTGTAAGTGATAAATCAAAGGTCTCATTGGACAGCTCTAATTGAATCTGCTTCCTGGAAGGAAGATTAAGGGGTACAGAATAAAAGGTGTGGTTTATTAATAGGTAACTGAAAGTTAATTTTTCTTTTAATTTCTTGTCCGTAGGTCAGCTAATGACCTCTGTTTTAATTTACTGAATATTCAGCATGTTTGGGTTTTAGACCGATAAAGTGGGACCATAATAGATGTACCTCAGGCCCAGAGAAGTTTGGTAAAGCATTTATACTTTGATTTTTATGGTTTCCTGCAACTGACAAAAACTGTCTCTGTAGTTTTGGCACCACACAAACGTGGAGGTTTTTTGTAATGATCAGAGGATGTTCTTTGGTAAATCCCAGATGTAGCCTTTGGTAGCAGACCCTGTCTCTCCTCTGGCTGAGGTGGAGGAGGCCTTTCTGAACACATTGACTTGTTGTTAATATGCTGACTGTGATTAGCTGACATTTGCTGTTGACGGCTTTGTTCTGCATGAGTGTGCCGTGTCTGCTCAAATCACACTGTACACAACCTTGGGATGATTTCCAGTAAAATGCGGCCAGGGGTTTGCGTCCCTCTCTCAGGCTTTACAAAGAGCTATTTCTTCACCGAAGGAAGGCTTTACTTGTCCAACAAATAAAGAGGAGAAAATTGCAGGTGGAGAAAATCCTGCTGTTCCTGCTGAAATCTGGTCTGATTTCTGCCTGTTTATGGTTTTACTCCTGCAAATCATCCCTCAGCTTTGGGATTTCCAGGCAGGCTAAACTCTCTGTGGCCAGGTCCATTGATCTCTCCTCTAATGCTCATCTAAAAGCAAGACAGGTTTAACAGGACTTTTCTTCACCCTGTTACTCAAGCATCCATTTTATTTCCCTCTACCCCTAACCCATTTTTCAGCTCTTAAATTCCCCCACAGCTGCTGTTAAGAAACAGAAACTGCTTCGGAGTTTTGTATTCTGTATTTCTTTGTGCCTTGATGTTTTTTTTTGTTTTTTTTTTGTTTTGGGTTTTTTTTTTGGTGGATTTAGAAAAAAATCTGTATATTTTGGCATGATTTGGTGCTCTTTTCACTCTGACATCGTTGGTGTTTCAGGGCATTTTGGTGGTTTGATGGTTTTTGGTGAAAGGACTGGTGAGAAAGCTGTCAGAGACACCACGAGCAAACCTGATTTTGATGTGAGATGTCAATCCTCTCATTAGCTCCCTTAACTTACAGAACCTGACATGTTTTTTTTGTCAATGTTTAGAAATGTCTTCAAAAGTAAAATATGGATGAACTGAGTGTTAAATATCCTCTGAATGTCTGCTGAGACAGCCAACCTTATTAAAACAAAGCACACTCCCACATACAACACATACACAGGTGAGTGACAGAATGTTCCACCTGCTCTGACATCCGTCTCCATCCTTCTCTCGCTCTCTCTGTCTCTTTCAGTGAGCTTTATGGACTGCGGTGGAGGGAAAGTGTGGTTGGAGGTTGGAGATTCTTCTGACTTTAGGGTGAGTCAGGATGGTGTGGTCTACACCCTGCGGCGCCTCAACCTGATAGGAAAAGCCATGGTGCTGGTCTATGCTCGGGACCTGCAATCGAAACAAAACTGGAAGACCAGAGTGCACCTCCATGTCCATTCAAAAGGACAGAGTCCAGGACCTCCAAAGGTAACGGGAGAAAATGTGAACACAGTATTTCTGACATGTGGTGGGCTCTAACTTTACTTTAGAAACCTTTTGTGTAGACCTGCTGAGAAAACTCCTTTCTACCATACCACAAAAATCTCCCCTGTCTACAGTGACTGTGAGGGCTGAATGATGTATTGTGATGATGTTGTGATTGTGATAGTAGATGGTAAATGGACTGTTTCTCCTGACCACTCAAAAGCTCTTTTACATCACACCACATCCACTCACTGATGACAGAGGCTGCTATTGAGTCCATCGGTTTTTAGAGTCCACCCGTCAAGTAGGGCTGGGCGATAAAACGATAACAATATCTATCAAAAATTAATTTCCCTCAATGTCAATATAAAATATGGTCAATATGCTTTTCGATAGTCAGCATTCTGACGTGTTTTGGTCCAATATACAAATAGCCAATGAAAAGGGGAGTTTCTTCGGGTCCGCTTCGGGCTGAACAATCATGTGCTGAATCAGAACCAAGTAGCAAATAACTGCATAGTAGCAGGCTGCAGCTACACAGAACCATAGCACTTTAACACGTGAAGCCGACAGCACTGTCAGTGAGAAAAAAAGAAAATGAGTGCTACCCCCAGCAGAAATGTAGATGAAGGCTCAACAGATGATGACATCATCAACAACACTGGCACGAAAACATCGTTGGTGTGGAGGTATTTTGTTTTTTTGAGGTTGGACATGAAACTGAGTAATGTGCACTGCAAATTATGTCGAGTACATGTTCTAGCAAAATCAGGGAATACCTCAAATCTTTTTTTTACCGCCTGAAGCAGTGCCACGCGACAGAGCACACACAGAGCAAAAGTTTAAGTGCTAAGCAGCCCACGGTCTCTGTGCAGCCGATAAGAATAAGAACAAGAATAAGAAAAACATAATTAAACTCCGAAAGGAAATTCAATAAAATTTAAATTCAATTCAATAAGCCTAACCACTCAGTCCGCTTTCTCTTGCGCAACGTCTTACGACAAAACGTTGAAGAGACACAAAGACCTCACAGATGCAGGAGCTTATTGTATTGCAAAAGACATTCTACCAATATGCACTGTTAAATTTCATTTAAGAGTAACAGGGAATATTTAAGATTGAGAAGTAATTCTTTTATGTCATGATATATATTGATATCGACTGATATGAAAAAATATATCATGATAAATTTTTTTCCCATATCACCCAGCCCTACAGTCAAGTGTCTTGCTGTAGGACACCTCAGCATGTACGCAGCCCTGGGTTCAAACCCCTGACCTTTTGGTTGGGAGACCACTTACTCTCCAACTGAGCCCAAAACCCCACAGGGTTAACACTGGCCTGAGTCTCAGGCTGAGAGCACTAATGTTTGTGAACTTTCTCTGAGGCAGAATTACATTTTTAGACAAACAGAATCATTGAGCAGTTTGGAAATGACAGATTTTATTGCTGTTTTATTTGTTTCATTTCTCTGAGCTACCACAGGCAGACAGAGACTCAGCTCTAACAGCCTAGCAAGCTTCAGAGGTTGGCCAAGCTCTCGTTGCAGAGACAAAGGAAGTCAAACAGCCATCTGTCAGATTGTTTTCATGTACAGCAGCGATAATAAGATATTTAGACAGGACACTGGCCTTGATTGGCTGTTCTTCTAAACACGTCCTGGAATTAGCCGACTGCCATATGCTTTCGCTGCTCTCAGCCTCACAAGCTGTAAAAAGGAGAATCACACCGAGTGAAAGAAGCTGTCGACATTTATTCATTATGTTTAAATTAACACATACAAAGCAGCCATGGTATTTAATATCCATAGGAGCCCTGTCAGATTGGTGAGCTTTAACTGAGAGGTTCGGGATGATATTGGAGAAAAGTGAGGAGTAAGACAGGCAGGCATTACACTGACAACCCTCCAAGCTATAAATGTCAGTAAAACTCAGACAATAGCCTGATTCTGCCACCTGTTGACTGCATGCCCTCTGAGCTGTCCTGTGTGCTGAGTCATGCTCTCTGCTTGTCTGGAGTCATTGTGTGGATTCAATGGCAGAAGTGTTACTGAAAATCATTTTAAAACCTCAGTGCTGATCTCAACTCAGGCTCCTACCAAAGGAAAACTCAGACCTATCTGTTGACTACCTCTGGGAGGGTTTTGTTAATGACTGTGATCTTATTTATTGTGACATTAGGACTGGGAGATTTAGCAAAATAAATGATCATGATATATTTTCTCATATCGTCTGATTGCGATTATTATCACAATATTTTCTGTATTTTTTTAAACTGTCGGTTTTAAGGCATTTGTACATAAAACTAAAGAAACTATAGATGAGTTGAACATTTTATTAACATACAAAGTCAATAACAAAGCATGTTGAATAAGATAAACTTAGAAAAATATAAAAACCATTTTAACTCAACAATACAACAAATGTAGAAAAATACTAAATAAAACAGTGAAATAGTTTACAGGCTTGAGTGTTTCTGCAGGTATGCAAGACCCAAAATAAATAAATATACCCCTCAGGGATAATGAAGACGCCTTAAATTGTAAACATTAGATGATGTAAATGTAGATGATACCATTGATTGCTGCTTTGGCCTGGTGGCTGCACCGCTAGTTGTGGCTAAACTGCTAATGCTACTAGTGTCGTCAGCAGTGACAGGCTGTGCAGACTCCGCTTGCATTTTTGTGCTTTCTGCATAATCACTCGGGAAGTACCTCTTCAAATGATTAAACAGATCTGTTGTGTTGCCGGTTTTTTGAGGACACATACCTTGCTTATCAGCTTAATTGCTCGACATCACCTTGGGGATACCCAAACTACCACCACACAACCGACGTTAAATAACTTTTCTCCTCAACAATGGCATCTTCAGAGGAGGACTCAAAGTCATGGCTGACATCAATTTTGCTTCCCTCAGCTCCAGGTTTAGCTCCAGGTCATTCTGTTTACTTCTCCTGTCTACTTCTCCAGCAACTCACAAAAGTGAGCAGGAAAAGTATGGCTCTGATTGGCTGTTGTCAGACACATTTCCACCAGGTTAGATTCAGTAAATATGCTCATAGCTGATCACCGTAATTGAACTGAAATTTATCACAATCATATAACCGCCCAGTCCTATGTGACACTCCGAGTTTTGTGTCTTGCTGTTGTCTTTGTGGGGCAACAAGAGCAACTGGACTGCCAAATTTTAACATGAAGTATAGCTTAACACACATAATTGTATCACTGTTTATATTGGTTCAACTGTCTTTACTAAAATATCTATTTAAGTGAGGATTCAGCAGTCAGAGATGGTGGTAAGGGGATCAATAGACTGTCAGGCAAAATGAACAAATGAACTTACAGTGCAGCTGTGTTGTGACTGTGAGGAGGTGTAGAAACACAGAAACAACAAGGAAACAGGTTTACAGACATGTCAGATATTCTCGTTATAAGAGAAGAACCAAGACTTCACCTCATCATGGCCTGTCTTCTTCGTGGCTATACAGTTTATCATTATAAAACAGACAGTCACTGTCGTAGTTCACTGAATACCAGTTAATTCCTCGTCATTACAAAATTACTGCTGATGAAAAGCAAATCCACATTGTGAAAGACCATTTGAGAAAGACCACTGTGTTTTGTTAAAAAAAAAAAGACACAGAATTGAGCTGGACATGAGTATTATTGGTGTTGTTGAAATTGGCCTTTAACATATTTTTTTATCAACAGAAAATGATCATTTTGATCAAGGAGACACTTAAAAGCCTGTCACTTTAAGTCTGACATTCATTCATGTCCTGAACATGCCATTCAGATAAACATCCTGTTTGTCATGTGAAACTGTGTTTGCTGAGTCATGTCATACTTCATTACCCTGGAAAAGTCCACTGCAGATATCCAAAGAACAGTTTTATGTGGAGTCCTTTTTGCAATAGCTGTGTTATCTTTTTTATTTTCATTTCTTAACAAATGAAAAGCAACTGAATTCGAAACTTTTTAAGTCCTTCAAAAAAAGCAGAAGTAACCCATCGGGACTTTAAGGTGAACAGGGTAGTTGTGATGGTTAAAGTAAATGAGAAGCTCTTCTTTTCCTTATCATCCTCTGTTTACCCTGCAGTGTAGCTGCTCCATGACCAGTCATGCAGATTTGTGGTTGCATAGGACAGACACACACACACACACACACACACACACTCACACAAGGTGACAGGTGGTGGTCATTTATCAGACTGCCTATAATGAGAGCATTAATCCAAGCCACTAGAATGAGGTCAGAAATACCCTGAGTCACCAAGCCTTCCCAGCAGGCTGGCTCTGCAGTTCAGCCTTTCTTTGTGCTTTTGTGTGTGTGTGTGTGTGTGTGTGTGTGTGTGTGTGTGTGTGTGTGTGTGTGTGTGTGTGTGTGTGTGTGTGTGTGTGTGTGTGTGTGTGTGTGTGTGTGTGTCTTTATATTGCCCAGTACACACTGCTTGTTTACTGTCTCTTCAGGTAAAGCCCAGTGATGCAACACTGACTCAGCGGGTACAGGAGATCTTGTTTCCATGGCACAGCGTGGTTGTCAGGGGTGATGGTACTCTGAGGCGAGTGAAGAGAGACTGGGTCATTCCGCCTATCAACGTCCCTGAGAACTCACGGGGACAGTTCCCTGAGGACCTCGTCAGAGTAAGACACACAAACACACACATGTACACGCACACACCACACAAACACAAACAACAGCAGACCTGTCTTGGAGAAGCTGTTTGGACATGTTATTGACTGTCCCCTCAGATTACAGCAGATTCTATTCAGGTTCAGTCTCATTGCAAAAACAGTGTAGAGACATTAGAATTCAATTAGGCACCCAACCAGAAGTGCAAATTACAGCCATGCGCAAGATTTATTAAAGCTAAGAGTATATGAAAATGCTAAGTTACATCGGAATGGTAATAATTAATATAATATAACCATAATATAACACTAATAAAGGCCTCATCATCAGTCTCCACCTCATAGGGTAGAATTGAACACAGGAATTCAGAGAGGATTTCAAAAAATCAACAGCTTCACTATATTAGGTATCATGATATAATATAAGAATATCACTCGTTCTCTTCATCATAGGGGTGTTGGTCTTTATATCTGAAGAAAATATGTGTTAATCAAACTCAACACTTTGAAATAAAATGTGAACTGATGTCCTTTTGGGAGGACAGTTGGATAATCTTGTAATACGCTTGTTTTAATGATTGAGACAATAGCACTGAATGGGTATACTATGTTTTTTGTAGGAAGTGACCAGCAGGGCTCTGAAGTACACTAGTTTCATGAATAAGTTGTTACCCTGACTGATCGAAGTCTGTTTAAGACTTATCTACTGTTAACAGGTGTGTAAAATTAAGCTCATAACAGCTCATAAAAGCTGGGTCACAGAGTGGTGGACGAGACAAACACGCAGATGAGGCCAAATGAGTGCTGAAATACACCACATGTGTAAAAATCTCTTATCATCGTTCGCATTAGTCATAAAAGAGTTTCAAATGGCCTCTGGAAGCAACATCAGCACACAATCTGTGCAATGAGAGCTTCATAAAATGGAGCAGCTGCACACAAGCCCCACATCACCATGTGCAATACCAAGCATCAGCTGGAGATGTTTAAAGCAGGCTGCAACTGGACTTCTGAACTGTGAATTCATGCTCTCCAGGGTGAAAAATGACCCTGTAACTTTCAGTCCAATACACCAATCCGGCTTTGGTGGTTTCACAGGAAGGCACATTTTAAAACGCTAAGTGCCATAACTTAGGTATGCTGGAGGGGGCGGGATAATGGTGTGGGACTTCTTTCCATAGTTTGGGATTTGCATGGACTTTGAATTTCAGGGAAGCTTTTTCTTTCATTGTACAAGATAAAGGACAGTTTTCCAAATGAACTTTTCTTGCTTTGTGCATCAGCTCTAGAAAATGTCATCCTTGCTTGGATGAGAGGTGTTATTATGAACAGGGTTGGTGAAGTTTATTGTGGAGAAACTTGGCTAGTCTGCTGTTGGCCTTGATTAACATCCACCGATGTGAGAGTGTTAATATGCACATCATCAGAACTTGACACACCAAAAGAGTTTTTATTTTTATTTTTTTACTTTAAAATGTGAAAGGAATTAAAATTCAAACGAATTCCAGCAGTCTGGATCTAAAATCCTGTCAGAGCTGCAAAAGGGGGCTTAATGATATTATGATGCTCATGGCTTGGATATCCGAAAGCTCTTAAGCCGTAAGCCCAGGTGTCTGCTTACATTTAGATACATAGTGCAGTGTTTCTGTTGTTCAGATGGAAGACGGCAGAGAGCTGATGTCTGGTTAGAAGGGGGTCAAGTTCAGATGAAAGTCTAAGATGAGTCAGAGTCAGCCACTCAAAGCACTTCTTGATGGTGGAGCTGGTTCGCTTCAGTGTAGGGTTCTGGCCCCTGAGCAAATGGATGGAGTGTGACGCCGTTGTCGTCACTGTTATATCACACTTTTGCTTACTTAGGCTCGGTCTCTTGCCTTATAGAGGTAACTCAGGACACGTCATGGGAATACATCCTTAAAGTTGGAGTGGGTTAGCTTAGAGAGCACAGCACATTGTTTGTTAATGACAGGATGTAATTCACTCATCACAAGCTAAGCAGGTGCAACAAGTGGGATAAATATAATGTAGTGTCAACAGCAGAAAAACACACAAAATTAAACTGTCAGGGAAAATAGAAAGGCCCATATGCAAGGCTTCATAAGGTACTCTATAGTGGCAGAGACAGGTCATCAAGATTTATTCATAGAGATATACTCTCTCTCTGACAGTGCAAAATAACACTTTCATCCTCAAACCAAAAACCTACAGGATCCATGTGGAGCACGTTCTGTTAGCGTTGCATCTCTGCTCCGTCTGGCATAATCTCATAAGTGGGCATGTCATCACCCACTGGAAGCGTGTTTGCAGTGCAGCAGCAGTGTTGTGCAGCCCTGGTCAGCTGGGGTCAGTATACAGAAAACAACATGCTAACAACAGGTTGTTTTGCCTTTCTGTGGTCGATTTCCTGCTTATTTAGATTCTATTCCATGACTATTGAGCTTCTACTGTATGTGAACAAGCAACATAATTTTTAAGTTTGGATTTTTGCAGGTTTACTTGTATTTAATGAAGTAAACTATGTCCCTTTATACTGTGCTGTTAGCTTCAGCAGCTAAAAGTCGTGTTGGGGTCCACATGGATCAGGGATTGACCTTGGGGTTGTTCTGTAATACAGATAAATCCATAACCAGGAAGTATTTCTCATCTACACAAACTGATAAACAGTAAGGAATCCACATATGGTGTTTTATTTTGGGATTTACTGGATTCACTACATCCTGCTTGTGTTTGACCTTCCTGTCTGATACTATCTGCTCTGTGTAGATTGATGTATGTTGGAAATGTATAGCAGTGAAAATAAACTCTGTACTTATCTTTAGCTGAGCAGTGCGTCGAGACGTGACCTGAGATGGAGCTGAGACACTTCCTGTGTGCGATGCTGCATTGATTAGAATGGCAAAATGTTTGCTCTGTAAAATGTGACACTGACTGAATATGTTCAAAGCACACACAGGTTTCAGGCGACAGAAAATATGATAAAATTCACAAACTCACAAAAAAATCCAAGAATATATAGAGGCACACCACAAGAAGCCACAACAGTAGTGAAAAGACTCACAGGCAGTTAGAATAATGTTGGTCCACATGCATTCACTTTACAAGTGGAAGAACTGACTCAATACAACACAATATTATAACCACTGGGAGCATATCAACTAAAAGCAGCCTCAACTTTGCGTTTCATCCTTGCATCACCACTAAAAGCCCAAACACCAGGGCCTAAGAGGTCCACTGAGCCTGTCAGGGATGTGCTGTTGAAAGAGGGGATACAGGGTTAAGATAGAGTGGAATCCTCCGAATAAATGGAGGCTGTGAAAGACAGAAGACACATAACATGATGAAATGTACTCTCACCTCTCAAACTCCAGGGGCAGCATTCACTCCAAGTTCTGTGCAGAAAAGTGATGAGGGCGCACTGCTATTCAGAGTTTGAGGTGAAAGCATGAACTGTGTCTTGTTCCCTGAAGAAAAGCTTCTTACTTTGGAAAAACCTAAAGAAAATGTTCCTGGAGTGAAGAGGCTGACAAAGCCTGATAGTATGATTGCCCTGTGATCCACCAAAGTCTCTCTGCAACGTTTTAGTGACCAACAGAACAACATTCAGCCTCATGATTGGCAGCGTCAAGAGGGACTATTGTTTTATGCTGTTGGAGAATTGGCATAGGCGACATAGGTGGTTTGAGTAATTTTGCCTAGGGCACCAAAAAGGCTGTATTGAATATACTAATACAGCCCCTAGAGTCATTCCAGGGTTGGTTTTACTAAGTGGTCTATAAATCTTCATATTGCGGGACTTCAGGTTCTACTTTTATGATGTCTCCTCCATCCAGACCTTGTCCTCACATTTATATAGTACCTGCTAGTAAGTTTGATCTGCATCTGCTGAGCCTGTATCCCTCCACTTTGGCTGATTTGGTGCTCTTGTAAAAAGGTGTTGTGGGATTTCTCTGTGGGGGAAATGTCAAAACCTTTCAGCAGCTTAAATTTAGAGACAGGCTTTACAAGGTTTATCAATTTTTCCCTCACAGGGTTAATAGCATGTAGTTCAGTGCTTTCATTATTATTACATTTGTAATTTTATCAGCTCAGGCTTCAGCAGGACGAGGCTGGTCCACTGGATAAAGAGAAACCAGTAGCTGATTTTGAAGTGATGTCAAACAACATTATAAAGAGGTCTTGATCAGGGAGACTACTAAGACAAATCAACCCTTGGTGATAGTGATGGTGGTGGTGGTGAGGTCCTCTGAAATACCCTGACATCCACAGACCCATGAGAGTAGAGTTTGGTTTATTTTGTGCTTTGAATTTGATCATTTTGAAAGTCACTAACCACCTGAACTGTTGTTGATTTTCCCTGATCTCCTTTTCCCTCGTCTGTCTGTGCTCTAGATCCGCTCAGACCGAGATAAGAATCGAATGCTGCGCTACAGTGTGACAGGCCCTGGGGCTGACCAGCCTCCTACTGGCATTTTCATCATCAACCCAATCTCTGGCCAGCTCTCCGTCACCAAGCCTCTGGATAGAGAGCACATCTCCAACTTCCATGTAAGTCTCACTCAACTGGATACTAAAATAAACAGTAAAGAAAACTAATGAAACTTACTTTTCATTTGGGTTTCATTGAAATTCTGTGAGTTAATGTTTATAAATACAAACAAGTCTTCAATTTTAATAAACCTTTATGTAGGACTCAGCGCAGCTTTAGTAGTCCTCTGTGAAGAGGACTGGAAAACATGCTCAAAGGAGTGAACCATCAAACTACAAGGTTATTGGGTATTGAGTATATTGGGTTATTTCTTCATGTTTTCTACAAGTAACACTGTGCTGAGCTGCACACAAAAAATGGTGGTCACAGTTTAGAGAAGAATGACCAAGAGGTCAAGAACAAGGCTTGTGGAGTTTTATGCAACTTTGGCACTGAGATGAAGTTCAACATTTTAGAAAATATAGTTCATTGCTTTCTTACAAAGAGTGAGGTGAAAGATTACGTTAGCTTGAGTCAGGCGAACACTAGCTTAGCTTAAGAGGCTGAAAAGGTTCGAACAGACCTTTCTCCACCCAGAGTTCAAACTTTACCTCTTCTGAAGAACTAATAAAGGGATTCTGTCCTTTTAATTCAATCCCATCCCTCTGTTCCTGTGGAGTTTCATTGGAGGACTGTTCAAACTGCATGACATGCAGCTGAACACTTTGCCGTACGCTCTAACCCTCTCTTTCCTGAGAAGTCTAAAAGTACTTTTCTTTTGCTTCTCTTCCTGCTTCAGTTGATCGGTAAACTGGCTCAGGGCTGCCTCACCATCTCTCAGGTTTTCATTTCCATCTCTGCTGTCACTCTGCTGGATATCTCACAGAGATGAAGAGAGGAAATTTAAAGAAGAATCTCGATGTTTGCTCGCTGTATCTAATACAGTCACACACACCTCGGAGAGCAGACTCTAACCTTTTGATCTGTAGGAATGCACACACACCAGTCACACAGGGGAGTGGAAATCTGGAGTCGCAGCAGGGTAATTTGCATTTAAGCTGTCTGATGAATATTCATTGGATAGGACGTAGTTGTCAGAGCTAGGAGCCGGCATGTTTATTCATGAGGGAGTCTTTGGCTCTTTGAGAGCCTCATACAGATGCTTCATACTTTGTAAGGAATGGTTTATTAAGGTTTCAAGGCCAATCAATAGATATATTCAGCATTTCTGACTATTTTATGTTAAATAAATACACGCCTTAGGCTGGCTGTTTCAACTGGGAACATCAAAGAGGGCCAGAAATGCTTGTATGTTTTCCAGCAGTGTAGTATTAGTCTTGTATGCTATTGATAGTACAAAAACTTAAATAAAAACTTTAGTATCTATTCTCAAGTTTTAATGTGTTACATTTAAAGGCAGCTGGTTAAAACTAAAAAATTCACTTGTTTCCAAACTCAATCCTGCAGAGTAAGGCTCTTCTGCTGATGTATTCTTATTCAGGTAAAAAAATCAGGAAGCACATCAATAATAATCGGTCATAAAACATAAAAGTCCATAAACTACAAATATTTGTCAGATCATCCAGGTTTTTTTACCATAATCAATCAATGCAGTTTTATTTATATAGCGTCAAATCACAACAATCCTTTTCCCAAGCCGCTTTTCAGCAGAGCAGGTCTTGACCAAGCTTCTTGTTTGATGTATTACAAAGACCCAACCTTGAGATGGGAAAGATTTAACCCAGCTCAACCCAACATGAGCTAAGGTACAATGGAGAGGAAACACGTCCCTTTAACAGGCAGAAACCTCGAGCAGGAGTCATGTTAGACAGCTACCTGCAGCCACTGAGTGAGAGAGATTGTTGTTATTGTTGTATTGAAATGCTTTGGCAATTGAAATTGAAATGGGGGGGGGGGGGGTAGAGTCTGGTCTTGCCCAAAGTTTCTGCCTCTTAAAAGGAAGTTTTAAGAGGCAGTTTGTGTTTAGCTTTAAGTACAACCTCACAGAGCTTCTCCTGAGGTCGTAGACATCTTATTTAAGTCTCAGTAGTATTTCTTTTAAGAAACCGCTCCATCTCTCATTTTATAGCATTTACTGAACTGTTTCCTGCTCCACTGCTGACCAGAAGAACAGCTGATGGAGAGTGTGTGTCTGTGTGTCTGTCTGTCTGTCTAAATATAGTTGCGTGCCCATGCTGTGGACCTAAATGGGAACCAGGTAGAGAACCCAATCGACATCGTCATCAATGTCATTGACCAGAATGACAACAGACCAGAGTTCACACACACCATCTTCAATGGATCGGTACCAGAGGGATCAAAACCTGGTAAAAACATACATGTGCAGATACACATGCCAGTAGATTGTTAATGTTACATCTTCTCAGGTGCATCTGTGTGAACTCGTTCTGTGTCTCCCTGCAGGATCCTTTGTGATGACAGTGACAGCAGTTGACAAGGATGATCCAAAAACTGCCAACGGGATGCTGCGATACAAGATCCTTTCCCAGAATCCCCAGAGTCCCTCCTCCAACATGTTCACCATTAACAACAGGACTGGTGACATCATCACAGTGGCAGCAGGCCTTGATCGTGAGGTGTGTTTGTCTTTGTGCGTGTGGGTGTGTTTGTGCACAGGGATGGACACTTGCAAGGCTCATCTCCAAACCCATATGGAGCAGCTGCTCTCCAGCCTGTGAGGGTCTGTCCAGCCTGCAGTGATTCCTGCAGGAGAAAGACAGCTTGCAGCTTTTTTTCTGGTGATATTCTTACATCAATAGATGCTACAGAATTGTCTGTCTTTTATACAGCCTTGCTATTTTTGTCCTTGAGTACAGATATAACATTTATCAAGACCTTTTAATCAAGTTTGCCATCGTCAGTGTTTTTCTGAACTCATGTTCATCACATTTTTACATGACAGTTGTCACGTCATAAGGATTAAACAGTTCTTACAGATGTTCAAATGGTAATACTTATTTAATACAACTGCAGTGATTGGTCAGGAAGAAACTCTAGACTAGGGTTTCACTTACCACCTTTTTCTGGAGCCATCGGTCCAGTCTGTGTTTACCCCATAGACTGTATATAGAATGGACAGAGTCTGCCTCCTCGCTGGGTGAAGCCACTCCACGAACAGCACCCTCTGTTGATGGGCTGCAGTATAGGTCATAAATCCCGCCTCTGCCAGCAAAGCTTATGGGACTGTGGACCAACTTTAGAAATTTATTGCACAGAACATAATTTTTTCTCCCCCCTGCTTGTGATGTTGTTGAAGTTATTAGGGGGTTCATGTTGGCTATGATTGAAACCTGATACAGCCTATGGGCGTTCAGGGATTGCGTAGCTCTCCCAGGGGATACGCTGTTTGAGCTGAGCATCATCACAGCGACTCTCTGCGACTGCACGGCCGAATGCGCGCATCGCTACTGCGCAGCGCTGGTTTCAGGAAATGAAGAAAAATCCCAGAATTACCGAGAGCTATTTGGCTTCAAATCCGTAAACAGGCGGAAGGCGGAACCAAGTTGTCCATAATATATATTCAGTCTATGGTTTACCCTTACACCTAACAACATCTTTAGGGGCTTTGAAAGTCACACACTAAAGTTCTTAGTTGGACAGAATTGTCAGAGTTTTGCTCCTGTGATATTGGTGGTTTGGTGTGAGGGGGTCGTTAAACTCCATCTGAACCATTTGAGGACATCCTTTTCTCATCTTGGTGTTAAGATTAAACACACACATGCAATATCATCTCAGGCCTTACTCTTGACTTGTGAAGTTTAGTGACATGATCATTTTCAAAACAACCAATGGGTGCACACTTCCAAACAGGAAGTTACAAACTTGTATAAGAAACATGATAACAAGGTCTGTGGAAACAAAGGAGGGAGTGTTGTAGTTATGGGGGGAGCAAGAATGCTTCAGACATGTACTCTAACATAGAGGAGAAGGACACAAGTGGGCAGGAAATGCTGCAGCCCTCAAAAACCCTGTTGACCTGATTGGGGCTGACATAACTGTTGGCCCCAATCAGGGCTGATATTAGCCAACAACTTTTCCAACTGTCGGCCTAAAATGACCAGCATCAGCCATGTAGGGCTTCTTTTGGATATAACAGAGGAGTCCTTTTGTCAAATCTCATAGAATTGAACCCAGGCTGTCCGCCTCAGGACTGTTGTCTCTATATGAGGTCTCAACTCGACTTGCTTGCAAAGAAGAATTGGATAACTATGACCTGGATGAATGAGAACCGACAAACACCTATGGCTTTTAAAGTCTCACTCCGATCATGTTTTGTAAAATATTTTTAAGTGTTCTCAGTGGTCTCCAAACTGTGATAATGAAGTTTTTAGCCAAAATCTTGTTTCCTGTGTAATTTTCAAGGGCTTTTCTTCTGCAGAGCTCCAGTTGCTCATTAGCAATTCACCTCTGAGTTGAGGGCAGAGACAGCGCTGCTCTGCACACTCCTCTTCACACTAGCTAGTAACCCAACACTGCCAGTGTAGTAGAAGAAACAGGTAACATAGGCTATTCAGCTCTCGGACACCAATGCCTTTAGGGGCATGATGAAAGTTAATATCATAATTAGCTTTCTTACAGGCATTTCAATCCGCTAATTCATTTGTTCCATGACCATCCTCTCTATTTCTCTGAGCCTGGTCCGCATAGCGAGGCTCCGGGGGCGGAGCTTGGATTGGTAACGTACCAAATCTCACTGTATCTGATCCTGCCGTTTGGATCTGCCAGAGATTCACCGTGATTTGAATGCAAAAATACTCAGAAATGCAATTTTGCACTTCTTTTTTTCATGATATGTCCTGTAGTATCAGAAAAATGTGATATGAACATGTAGACAACAAGAAAGTGGGTCTTCAAAGAAGTTCAGCTATAACTGCTTTTCATTGCTTAAATCACTTTGTATTCTGTGTGCTTCCAGAAAGTCACCCAGTACACCCTGATCATCCAGGCTACAGACATGGAGGGAAACCCCACCTACGGTCTGTCCAATACAGCCACCACCGTTATCAGAATCACTGATGTCAACGACAATCCCCCCGAATTCACCACGGACACAGTAGGTCTACAGCACACTGCACAGAGATAACAGAGAGTGATTGAAAACGTGAACTACAGAGATTGCCTGCTCCAGTTTTAGAGGAGTGAAAAACCAGAGAAACAGACACTGGCCCTTATTTATTAAGCTTGCGTACGGCAGAAAACTTGCGTACACCTTGCGTACGACAATTTTGACGTGAGGATCGACATTTATCAATCTGCACATAAGCGTATGCTACGACCAAATCTCACGACAGGTCTGACATCGTGTACGCAAGTTTGAGTCAGTGTGGATCTGCGGTGCAGCAAATATCTGTCTCAAAATCATTGATATATAAACCTCAAACCTGTCATTTAGCACAATCAGACAGATTTCATTAAAGATTAAGATGTAAATAAAATAAAATAAATTTGTTATGTCCTCAGTGAATAGGCCTATTTAATAACTCTGCCCAGAAACCCTGCCACAGAGCAGGAGCGCCGTTTTAACACTGCGCCCACATGCACACACGCCACTGTGGAGCACTGCGTCTGACTCCTAAAAGGCAGGTGTCTCTGTCTTGGCCCAGCAGCGGGGACGTTGTTGTACACTCCTGAAAAGGTGTGGGACATCATTTGGGCCAGTACAGTTTTGCACAATGTTGCACTGGCGAATGGAGTGCCATTGTCTGTGCCGGTGCAATGTGAGGACCCGATGCCCGGAGAACAATAACAAGGAGAGACTCACAAAGGTGCTGTAAAGAGGAGACAGGACCTTATCCATGGATTCTGACATGTAAAGTATAAGTTCAGAAAGTGCTCTTGCTATTTATTCAGTGATAAAAATCCAATAGAAATCCATAAAAATGTGCCTCAGGGGCAGCAACACACCGTTTGGTGATGTTAATAATTATTTTTGTTCAGCCTCTGTCAGACTCTCCAGTCTGCTCTACATTACAAAGACGCAACAAATTAAAACTAAATACTTTTAATAATAGGAGCCACCTACCCTGTCATGGCAATAAACAAATATGAGGCATGTATGAGATATTATCATTATGAGCAATTTGATGACTAATGATTTATTCAAACTTCAGCCACTGTCCACTATTCCGCTGCAGCGCTGTTCACCGCCTCAATAATCCTGCTCCAGACAGGAGTTTTCTGGACTGCTTAAATTCCAGTTTTGATGCTTCCAAAGAGAAAATCCACGCGAATTTGCACCACAGATGAGAGGATATCCACTTTCAGCTCGGAAAAGTTTCGCATCTTTCTAATATTTCTCCTCTTTCATATTTGACCTCAGTGGGCGAGGCTTATGAACCACAAATATTTAAGGGCGTAAACATGTTAATGACGATCGATTTCAGCCGCCGCATTTATTAAGACCCGATCATATGTACGCTGGGATTGGTCAGATACGAACCCTTTCATAAATCTCACGTGTGTCCTATCGTAGGATGAATCCTGCACTCAGATCTGCGCAAGATTGATAAATGAGGGCCAATGTCTGCTATCCTTAGTAAAGTGAAAGAAGTTTAACAGGAAGGAGAAGATGGATGGAGAAGCACTTGTTTTTGTTTCAGATAGAGCCATTTGTTTACTCTTTGGTCATTGTTAACAGGAATAAAGCGAGGTCTGTCTGATTTGCTGCAGCTACATGTCTCTGTTCTTTCTGTTCGTGTCTTTCAGTTCTTTGGGGAGGTATATGAGAACAGGGTGAACGTGATTGTCACTAACCTAACTGTGACCGATAAGGACCAGCCTCACAGTGCCGCCTGGAGCGCTGTGTACCGCATCATTGCTGGAGATCCCACCGGACGCTTCTCCATCCCCACTGACCCCACCACCAATGAGGGCCTGCTCACTGTGGTCAAGGTGAGATCTGAGCTTCACAAACAAATCCCATCAACTTCATTTATACAACACATAAAAAACAGGAAGAGCAGCGAAGGGACTGAACCGGAAACACACAGTAAGAATCAGTGAGAGCTTAACCGTGTGTGGTCTGATATGTGATGAAGCTGTCAGTGTGGTGGTCTAAGTTCAAATTGTGTTATAAGCTGGCTGAAGGTGTTTACACACAGTGGAGACACAGCTGGGGGCACAAAGTCGTCACAGGCTGGTTTTATGGAGCAGTACACAACAGACACCACTACAGAAACAGAGATAGAGAAGAATTTAGCCGGACACCAGAGGTGGGTGCTACCCCACCTGCTGGTTAAAAGACATCTAATTCTGGGAACTCAAAGCCATCAAGATTGTTTCCCAGGCTGTGGTGTCTGTGGTCCCCATGGTCAGCTGCTGCCAGCAACAACCACTCACTGTCTGAAACCATCTCCAAGGTTTCAGACCTGGTAGTGCCTCCTCCCTCCCTCACACACTAGAAACAGCAAAAACATTTTGATCATAAATGCAGTTTTTAGGTGCAGAGGGATGTCTGACAAAGCTGGCAGAGCTTTGTCGCTCTTATTTGGTCTTGACTGAGCATTTTCTTGTAAACTTCGATTCACTGAATGATCAGGTGAATAGAAGGAGCAGGATAGTTTTCAACATTAAAATGGTGGTGAAGAACTTCAGGGTGCTGGGTCTTTATGGACTTCTTTTTTACTAAACATTGTTCCACGGGGGCAGCCTTGTTACAGTAGAAAGAGCAAAAGGGGATTATAGGGAATTAGTTTTTTATCGTCAAAAACGGAGCAAAGCCTGAGAGCGAGTTTAGATGGTCAACTCCAGCTGCACTGATTTCTTACTTGACATGTCATACTCACAATTACATGACAAACAGGATCCTACATAGGGGATCATTTTGAGCTACAAGATGTTTGGCCATGCACTCACAGCCCCACCTCCAGCCCAGAACCCACCTGCAGACCCTGACTAGGAGTTCTTAGAGTTCTTATCATCTCATCACTCCTCAGTTTCCGCACATAAAGTAAAGCGTGAGGACTGTAGATGCCAAACAATGATCTCTGGCTGTGTCTGCAGTACATGGTTCAAAGCTGAAAGGTGTTTGGTTGGCTGGTAGCCGTGACGTGATTGGATGAAATGGATGTTCAGTAAAATAAGGAGTTGCATCATGTGGCTTTGACAGAGAACTTTCCAGAACGCCAATGTGCTGAGTCTAGATTCAGCTGAAGAAACCCTCTGCAGAACCACTTCAGAGGAGCCTCACAGAGAGACAGAATTAAGTCACAGCTGCACTAGTTTGAATGCAGCTCAAGACCTTGAGCGAGGCATTGGATGGATTAAGTACAGGGGTTCACAACATTTAACCTTCTCAAGAGGCACAAAAATGGCTGCCTGTAACACATTTAAGGCCAACCGTTCTTAAGTATGTGGATTTTCAGTGTATCCTGTCATTTACATCGTTTCCCTCTTTTCTCTGATCCAGCCAATAGATTTTGAGCAGACACGCTCCTTCACGCTGACGGTGGAGGCGGAGAATGAGGTCCCACTGGCTCGTGGCATCCACCTACCTCGTCAGTCTACAGCAACTGTCTCTGTACGAATCCTGGACCTCAACGAGAGCCCTGAGTTCAGCCCCAACCCAAAGTCCATCAAACTGGAGGAAGGTCTGCCTGCAGGGTCTCTCCTAACCACGTTCACTGCACAGGACCCTGACCGCTTCATGAGACAGACTGTTCGGTAAGACTGCCCCTGCTCCAACTTTAAGGCTGTAGTTTCCTGATGGTGACGGCGTCTGTTGGCTGGAAAATGTTATTGCTAAAGAAATAAAGGAAAAGATAAAAACAGAAATATTGAAATAAATAGATTAACTATGAAATAATGAGCAGGGTAATACAGTGAACTAGTTCAATGCAACCTTGGACTTGGTTACAGCGTCGACTCAAACAATGCACATCATCGTAGAGCTGAAATAAATAGATCCAAAGCAGTGTTACCATGAGGCTCTTCTCTCTGACCATGCATGCACAAACCAAGGATAATAGTGTTGACAACAATGCCTCTCTAACAGTTGTACAACCCAGCAATCCACACAGCACACTTAAACACTCACACACTCTAACTCCACACACAGCCCAGCATATGCACACTAGTACGCTGCTGTACACATTTTCAAGCACAGCAGGTTTAGAACAATCAAGTTAAGATGGTCTTGGGATCAAAAATGGTCCCTTACCTGAAATAAGTAAGGACTCCAGAGATCAAGTTGCTTCTTTTGTCTCTCTGAATGAGATGGTCTTTATTTCCGTGAGTCCGCCTACAAACCCATAAAGCTATGGAGAAAAGCTCCTTTTCTGTCATCAGGGCTGGTTCCCCAGACCTTAAGTGGGCTCTATGTTTGTAGAACTTTTTCTTTAGCCTCTTTGCATCAGCACTGGAAACTCTGCCATTAATCTCTTCATCTGCTGGCCAATTTTTTTGAACAGTTCACCTTTCCAGTCTTTGTGTCTCAATAAACATCAGGGTCTTTCCAGTCTCCCACTTCTTTAATGTCCAACTAGCCGTCAGGTTGCTTATGGAGCCCCCAGATCTCCCCCTCAACCTCTGTCTTTGAGAGTAGAGCCCTGATCCCTGAAAAGGTTCTGGTGTGGATGGGGGAGAGAGGAGCCTCCAGCTTGCCTGTGGATGAGCTAACAGCTGCCATATCCACATCAGCTCCAGTTGTCCCCGCCCTGCAGTCATCATCTGAATTCAGCTTGTTGAACTCAAAGTAATAAAGAAGGATAAAGAACGTTACCCTCAGCATTCAAAGCAGATGATGCCAGATGTTAGCTCTGCTCCTGCTTTTGACTCTACCAGTCTCACCTTCGCTAAGTATCATATCAAACACGTTTCACTTCAGCTAATGTTTCTGCATATTGGAAGTTTTTCCCCCCTTCAACGAAATTAAAGCTTTGCAAGTGTTGCAGGTAGCCCCAGTATCATCTTTTCATGTGAAATACAGCCAAACTCTGGTGTGCTTTTGCTTCGACACCATGCTGAAAAGTTCTGAACCAAAACACACTTCTCGTGTACTACGTCTTCACGCAGAGGCATAAGAGTAACCGATAAGCAGAATTATTAAGGAGGCAGACAAACAATTTTTATGAATCTAATCACTGGGAACTGGTTCTAAAAAAGATCCAGTTATTGATTCTCATCCCTACCAGCCAACAATGTGTTTCATTGGAGAATACTTTATGTGAACACAGGGGTGGTTAAGGCTGCACGATATTGGAAAAAAATAATATTGCGATTTTTTCAACCCTGCGATATATATTGCGATATTAAAAATACAGTATTTTCACCAGATGACCTGAATAGCACTTAATGTTATGCTGCACTGCTGAAATCTTGAGGACAGTTAATCTGCTCTGATCTTACCTCTTTTTGTGAATGTTAGTAGAACGGCTTCTGTCTGTCTCAGAGATATTTTTAGCTTTTATTGTGCTGGGACGTTATTGTGGCGACAGATGAACACAGAACACGTGTTTTGGTCGACATCATCCTTCTTTTAACCGAAATAATTCCAGATAACTGACTTTCCTTTTCTTTTTGGCAACAAATCTTCATTTTCGGTGGTTTTCGCTTGTTCGTTGTTCATTTTGCGATCGTTGTTGTTGTTGTTACCGGTGTTGTGCCGAGAAACGCATGTCCTCCGAGAATTGCATGCACCTCGCAAAACGCGCACTGCTTATAGTAGAGTGGTCCACGGAAATGTACAATTTAAAACCCATACAGTTCTTATTTGTTGGGCTTAATAGTCATGAGTAAAGTTCCGAAAGTAATTCTCAGCGGACACACGTCTCCCTCCATGTGCAGAACATGTGCAGGGGTGGGTTTTCTCCTCCCTGATTTTGATTGACAGCTGGCAGGGTAGTCTGATTGGCAACTGAGAAGTGAGTCTGATTGGCAACTGAGTTAAGGACGAAGGCGATTGGTGGATCGCTGCACAGCACATGCAGAGTCACATGGAGTGTATCTCAGTCAGTTACCCTTGAAATTAAATGAGTTCATTCACCTCCAATATCGCAGGCTCTGCGATGTGACTATCGCACACACGTACATCGCGATGACGATAGTCAAACGATATATCGTTCAGGCCTAGGGGTGGTGCTTATTGAGTGTTCACAAACTAGATGCAAATCAGTTAGAAGTTCAAAATTAAGTCACAGACAAACACCTTGCGCTCTATTTTCGTGCCTCGCCAGAGACGTGGCGCAGGCGCGGCGTAAGTCAGGTCCGCCGCGCCGACAAGGCGTTCCCAAGCACAATTTGGCATTTTGGTGAGCTGCACAGCCCGGCGTAAGTATCCCCCCTCCCTAACTCAGCTCTTCCCAGCAGCGTAAGTCGTAGGGAGGGAGGAGAGAGGGAGTGGAGTAGGTTGAACACAGCTGAGACCTGTATTGACGAATAACATCAGCTCCTCTCCTCGCCTTTAAATCCGCCACCGCCGAGGCATATTGCAATTTTCGTGAAGTAGTCAAAGAGATCAAGAGATGTCTGAAGACAGTAATGCCACATGATGGTGACAGAAAGCAGCTCCTCAACAAGTGTCACTGTAAGCGCTGCAGAGGGTGTCCTGCACACTGTCTTATATGAGCACAGATGGATTTGGTGTGTGTAATGTTGGAGCCACTAGTAAGACAAACACCCTTTTCCACAAATAAAGACACTCACATAAAGTTGCATTTAAATTTTTTATTCAAACCTCACATGACAAAGGTGGGTTGTCATGTATGAACCATCTGTGCGTAAAGGACGCATCACGCTCCGTGGCCTGGCTCTTTCTTTCATAGATGTTGGCATATAAAATAAATTTGGCTCACAAAACTGAATATTATAATATTCGTATGTGGGCCTAACTGCGGATTGAATATTTACAGAATCTTAATGATGTGAGAAAATCAGATAAACAGTTAATTTTGAGTGAAAATTCATTTTATTTTATTTTTTTGTTCAAAATTTCAAAGTAAATAACTCATCTGATCACCAAAATAAATCATCTGGTCAGCCGTGCCACCGCTGCCGCAGCAGGACGGAGAGAGGACACGGAGACACGTCAGGTGTTGTGCCATAGAATGCACCCCTGAAAGTACACAACAAGGCGAAATAATCCAAGTTTTCCTTACCGTTGGACTAATTCTAAAGTGTGTGCCTTTAATGATTTCATTCAGGCTATTCAGATATGCCAAAAACAATAGCCTTCTGATTCTGAATATTTGCTGCCCTGAAAATATAATGTTCTCTACTTTAACAACTTACTGTACAGTTTATGTACCCAAGCACACCTCTGTATGTGCATTTTTTAAATACCTAAAAACAGAACAAATGTTTGCTGCTCCATTTGACATGTCATGATCCAATGCTTGTGTTTTTTTTAAATATGAGGTAATTTTTTACACTTTAAGAAGCTGATGAGTGGATGGGATGCATTCTATGGCGGGGGGTGCATTCTACGGCATAACACCTATCGAGCTGCATGAGGAAGAAGGAGGATAAGCGGGGAGACGAATTAAATATCTTGTTAAATTCATCATGTGTAACTGTTTACTGGATATTTAATTTAATGCGGTTTCAGCTGTGTTAATTCGGTCAGGTGGAGTGTCCAAACGCGTGCCAAACTCACTCATCAGATAAGATATAGATCAGAATATATCTATATAGATCTAAATGTATGTGCTGACTCAGAATATTAGTTGTTGCTGATTATTTATTGCACTTTCGGCAAGCTTTCAGCGCACTTTTCATGTCACCGGCGAGTACGAAAATGTCACTGCGCCAGCTGATTCTGTCGACACCTCCCCCTTACACGCATCCACGCGCAGTATGGCAGACCTCAGTGTGCCTCAGTCCGCGAAAATACCAAACTGGCTGTGCGCTGGGCTCCGCCAGACAAAAATACCACTGCGTGGGGTCCGCCACTGTCCGCCGCGAAAATAGAGCCCCTTGTCTTTAATGTGGCTCCACAGTGTTTCCCTCACATACTTAGGTTGGCTGCCCTGTTATATAAACTAGAGTTCATTAACCAGTTTTAGCAGTTCGTCATTTTGTCTACTTGTCCCAAGTAGCCTTTTCTAAACATGCTTATTAAACAGAGACATCCACTGGTGTGTCCTTCAGTTAATATGCAGTAGTCTAAGTTCAATATGGTCTGTTTTCAGAGTGAGTCTGATTGGCTGTTATTTCAAGGTTTTTTATATTCTGTCATCAACAACAAGCCTAATCAGTGTGCAATTTACCTGCTGTTGTGAAATCAGGATTGGGGGCTTAAAAAATAAATGTGCTTCATGTTGGACTCCATATTTAACTTTGCTGATGAGGAAAGTCAATGGATCAGACACAAAGAGAAATCTTCCCTGGATCCCAAAGCCCTCCACTGCAGTTTTCCCTGTCCTCGGCCGAACCGGAGGTACTTACAGACATGCTAAGCAGTGCTCCAAAGCTCTTAACACTGTTTGGAGGACAGAGGATTGAGGACAGAAATCAGAGGAGCGATGAGAGAGGATACACAAGAGCAGCCTTCGAAGATGTCTTTCACTGGCTTTCATGCCCCTACCTTCAATATTACTCACTGAATAGAAGCTGCAGCAGCCCAGACTTCACAGAAACTTTACATCCCTAGAGTTTAAACAAAGAGAGATGACATCTCTTTAAACAGTCCCTTTAAACAGATGATATATATACATATATATGTCTCTTAACAGCTATGTGAGGAGCAGAGCTGAAAAAAAGTGTCTGGCATGACAGTGAAGAACAAATTCTTGAGCAGAGCTGCCATAAAAACAATAAACGTGGTTTCACACCAGTTTTCTGGGAAATCTGTTTTTTTTTCTGATTCACCATCTAACTGAAGTCATGTAGTTTAATACTATTAGAGTAATAGATATTCAAAAAATAGATATTTTCTCCCCATAACCAGTGATTTCTCATGTTGAATCTTTATGATGAAGAGAGTTAAAGTCTGGCCCTCCAAGTTTTTTCTGTCAGTGAAAAACAACATTTACCATCATCCTAAAGTTTGACATCAGGCTGATCATTAATGTATGTCAGACTTCAACAGCATAGATTCCAATTGTCCTGAATTTTTGAGCCTGTACATAGATTACCTCAGACATCACACATGTAGGCTCTGTGAGAGGTGAGAGTTGAGTTGAATCCAGACACAAACAGCTGTTAAAGCTGACCCACAGCTGAACCAGGACTGAGGAAAGGACAGCTTATGTCTCTCAGGGAGGGACTGAGATGCAGACAGGGAAGTCCTAAGTTCTTTAATTGTTAATAAGGGATGAATCAGAGGCAGCCTGGGGAAAAATCTCACACAAGGGGTCTTCAAGTCAAAAGTCAAAACCGATAAGCCTAAGGTTTGAGTTTCATTACAAATATCAACCCAGTGACATATGCTGTTAGGGCTTTAATACTTCCCTTCAGTGATCATGTTGAAAATTTCAGCAGCTCAGCAGGATGAAAATTTGCCATCACTTCAGCATCATGCTGTTCTGAGTGGCTGCCCTATTTTGAGATAAAGGCTGATAAGACTCTTTTTTTCATATTTTTCTAAAGACGTCTTTCTTGAGGAAATGCGTTTTTTCTCTGCAGATCCTGCAGCTCTGAGCGAACAGCTTCACAATAACCAGACTGGAGCACAGAAAGCCTGCAGGACTGCAGCGTCTTGTCCCCATCCTTCTTTCTTTTACATCCCACTATTTGTTTCTAAATGTGGTGCTGAAGTCTTTGTAGCCTAGCAACAGCCAATGGTGGACGCAGACTGTGTTCACAGAAACACGCAAGCGCACAAACACACACACACACACACAAACACACACACACACACACACACACACACACACTGATAAAGGAAGTGTATTGTGCACTATAGAGTGGGCCACGGAGAGCATTTTAGTGTTTTAATTTCCCTTTTTTGTTTCTTTTTTTGTCTGCTGTTACTGCTGCTTTGCTTCCACATTTGTTCATGACTGTGCTTTCAACTTTTTGTCCCACCAATTACACAAACACAGAATGTACAGTATTTCCTATTTATGGGTTGCAGTTCTGCTTGCCTTTATTGAAAGCTGTGCTATTTCCCTCTTTATTCACATAATTTGTCAAACCTGATCTCCATTTTAAACATGACTTTTGCTGTGGTGTTGTTTTGCAGCAAAGCAGATGTAGAATGAACACCAGCACATCTTTTACATTTGACAAGACTGACAGGGATTTCCCAAGATGCATTATGTTTATGGGTAGACTCTATGTTAACCAAACATGTGCAGTCAGGATAATTGAATGAGTCTTGGTGGCTTCATGAGAGTGCTGCAGCCTGCATGTATCAGCTCAGCAGTGACTGCTTGGCCTGCAGCCATATAAGCAGATAAAGGAGCCTCTCGGTGCTAGATTCTTATGCTGTCTCTCTCTCTTACTGAATTCAGGTACTCCAAGATGTATGACCCTGCCAACTGGCTGGAGATTGACCCGGTTAATGGTCGGATCTCTACTATTGCCATCCTTGACCGAGAGTCTCCCTACGTCAAGAACAACCTTTACAACGTTACCTTCATGGCCTCTGATAATGGTGAGACAAGAGGGCAGCACTGGTGTCCTGCAGTAACCCCATCCACCCACATACAGAGGTGGATTGTGCTCACTGTGCCTCTGTGCTCTTTTGCTAATCACTGTGGTGCTTTTTCCTACCAATAATACTGCTCCTGAAGATCCATGAGAAGGAGTAGAACTCATGCTATGTATGTTTGATATGTTGTAGTTATGTTTGAATTATGTAATCTGTCCTTCATGTTTACAGCCATGTCACACTGCTTTACCCGTTTTCTCTGTAGATTTGGACTTTTCTAAAAATTAAATTACAGCCTGTGTCAAGTTTTGAGAAGTGACCATAAAGTAATCATCCGTGGTCTTAAATAGTAAGCTTTCACATCAATACTTGTGTTATACACCGGCCCGACGGACACTTTTCTGACAGAAAATAAGTGGTGCATGTCTTGACTTTTGGACAAAATTAAGTTCCGATTTCACTGGTTGAAGAGAGGAGACTCAGGGGACAGCAGAGTATCCTGCCCACTTTTTATTACATTCCAGGACTTTAGTAATCAAATGTCCTGATCAGGAGGACCTGTGAGATAACAGTGATTATCAGGGAACAGTAACCCCATTGAATTGTAATGGAGATGTTTTTACTTCATTTGTAGTTTGAAGATTACAGAAATCTTCCTCTTGCTCTGATCATAACTTATCCATATTTTAATGGACAATCTTTCAAGAGGTATATTATTCAGCAGCAGCAGCAGCAGTCACTGCTGCGCTCTACCCTGCACCCTTCCTATACAGAGACCCTTCTGTGCTCCCAGCTTCCTGCGAGCTGACTGTCTTGGCATGTTCTCTGCCCTGGTCTGCAAGGAACTCACAGATACAGATCAGCAGTCAGACACAAGGACACACATAAACATGCTTGTCCAAGCGCGCCTATGTCTGCAGATTCTGTTTGAAATTGTCACCATAAGCACACTGTGTGCTTATGGTAACCGCAGATTAACAAATATAGTGGAGATGTCATAGTAAGCATGTATGTATTAGTACACGTAACTGTAGAGATATACATGATCTGCTGTAGTAGTTGGCCAGCTTGCATCTACTATATCGTTAGATATGTCTCCCATATCATGCATCCAAAAACCCAACAGATGTGGGGGGTAGATTGGTGATCAGAAACTGAACCTTCTTTTCTGTCCTAAAAATATTCAGTACTTTAGTTTTGAAAGCTGACAGTGAAAGATTATGAACAGAAGATGTTCCTCTCTCCCTCTCTGTACTCTCTTTAAGCCTGTTGATTCGTCAATCCTTAAAATCAGGTCAAAATATGTATCATTTCATTTCTTAGAGGCTCAGTCATTTTCTAAAACAGCTGGCCACAGAACAAAGTAAATTTATTTGTTCATTTGATTGGGACTAAATTTAGGGGCGGATTAATACACACTGCAGGCTCAATACAATATTTGGGGCAACAGGATAGAGAATGCTAGATTAAAGGACAGTTCAAACCACAGAGTGTGTGTGTGTGTGTGTGTGTGTGTGTGTGTGTGTGTGTGTGTGTGTGTGTGTGTGTGTGTGTGTGTGTGTGTGTGTGTGTGTGTGTGTGTGTGTGTGTTCATGGTTGAGAAGAATCTGAAGAATCTGTTTGTGGCCCATCTGTTGTTTTTTTTTCTTTTACAGTCACCTGAAGGTTCAGAGGTTCATGGAGTTAAACTCTTTGGCCTGCTAAGTAGAAAGACAAGAATAAAAGGGAGAGCAGAAATGGAAAAATATCTAAAGAAATCTATCTTCAGATTATAATGTGGTTACAGAGGAAGACAGTCCAGTATTAGTTTGAATCACTTTCTGATCAACAAAGAATCCAGCGACATAGAACGATAAACTCTCTGTTTGCTCTTGTCTGAAGGTATCCCACCTGCCAGTGGTACAGGCACCCTTCAGATGTACTTACTGGACATTAACGACAATGCACCTCACGTGTTCCCCCCTGAAGTGGAAATGTGTGAGAAGCCAGATCCTAATGCCATCAACATCACAGCCAGTGATCCTGACCTGACCCCCAATGCCGGACCCTTTGCCTTTGAGCTGGCCAATCGTCCTTCAGATGTACGCCGAAACTGGACTCTGAGCCGCATCAATGGTCAGTATGGGGTTAATCCACAGCTTTCATGTTTCTCTGCTCCTGTTTTTTTATCCTGGTGGGTGGAAAGTTTTCCCCCAAAGGCGAAATTCGGATGATTTATTAAGTCACCCAGACAAAAAGAAAATGACTACTGTGACTCCAGCTCCAGTGTATAAACAGGGATTTTTTATCTTTGCTTGGATCATTTTTTTTTTATATCTGGAGTCTGTATTTTATAAAATTCACCGTGTGGAATTTGTCATTAATGCAGCTCCATCCTGCAACTTAAGGCCTTGTTCTGACCCCCCCCCCCCCCCCCCAAAGACTCTGACTTCGGTTTTCTGCAAAATATACTAAAAAGGAAGTTGGTGTTAAGTATTGTCTTTGTATAGTACTGCTCTACGGTTTGAAGTAGTCCCAGTGGTGTTTGTCTTCTAAATTATTGTAGAGCGCCTCCCAGAGCTCAAAGCCTTGTTCAGTGAACATAAAAAAAGAATCTTTACCAGCTTCATAATGTGACAGCAGCTGGTCACTGCAAAGACAGGATGTGAACTCTTTCAAAGTCTCACCTGTGTGTTGCCTGCTCAGGTCAACTTTCATCACTGGTTATGGCTGCAATCTTAATTTTCATTATACAACTCCAGCTTAATGTCACATTAACAATCTTAATCCCAGCTGTTTTGGCGACAGATATCACTCCTACTGTGTGTTTTTTGTCACTGTCCTGTGGTGAAGTGTGAATAAAGGTTTTCTTTGTGTTGCTGACAATATGATTATATTATATCATTTTTTTTATATGATATTATATTATGTTATAACACCATGAAATAATATGAAATAATACAATATAAGTCATCATATTATATTATATTACATAACATAACATTATATTATATAATATCATATTATATCATGTTATTTTATGTATTTTATATTTTGTTATGTTATGGTATGTGATGTTGTGTTATGATGTTGTGTTATGTTATATTGTTTTGTTATATTATATATTATATTATATTATATTATATTATATTACACAAGGATAAAACTAATTCAATGCCTTTCTCACCATAAGCACCTCATTTTGAAAAGCATGCCCATTAGCAGACTCTGGGAGCACCAGGACTCCTCCAGTGTTGTTGACTGAGAGTCACAAAGCAGAGTGAAGCATGTAAATGATGAATTTCAACACTTTCCTCTTTCTCTGTTCCTCCATTTCTTAACCCTTTATTTCCATCGTATCACACCACAGGCGAGTTTGCCCAGCTGAGACTGAGGATCGGCTCCCTGGCCAGTGGTATCTACGAGGTTCCCATCATGATCACAGACTCTGGCAATCTGCCCATGTCGAACACATCATACCTGAAGGTCAAGGTCTGCCAGTGTGATCACCATGGAGACTGTGTGGACATGGAGCGAATCATTGCTGCTGGACTTGGCACTGGAGCCATCATTGCCATCCTCATCTGCATCATCATATTACTAGGTGAGCCTCCCACACAGATACAAAGATACTTAAATCATTGCTGCAGCTCCAGAGACCAACATAACACACAAACTTCAATGTAATAAACTGGATTTGTATTTTACCAGCAAAAATAGTTATCTAAAAACATTATGACTGCAAGACTTTTACAACACAAATGGAAAGATTTTCAATTTATTATGCAAGTCATTTACAACATTTCCCACCAAGTAGACTTTGAAGCTACTTTGCTGAATTATTATTAAAAGTGTTTCAAATCAGAAACATACAAGGCATCTTTTTTTCTGAAGAATGTAGACAGATTAACCACAGCCCCAGAAAAGGAACCCAGAAACTCTTACCAGCCCATTGCCGAGGTCTGGAATCCAGGTAGAAATGGAAGCTGCGTGAAGGCCTCAGATAACCAGGGTTTGTCAAGGTCCAAGGTAGATCCAACACTTGGGTCTAGAGGGAAGCCTCCAAGAGACACTGAAAACTAATCTGGTGCTTCCTGGACGTGACTGTTTGTACTTTTGTGATCCTCTGCTGTTAAATGTCACAATTTCTACATTTTCCAAGGAGACAACAGTCATATTTCGCCTCTGCCCTTCCTACTTCTGTATTTCTGTCATGGTGATCTCCAGTGCCATGAGAAAAGGGTGTTATTTTATCCACCTTTTTAAATTTCAAAACTGTACTTGTGTGTGCAGTGAGCAGGTACATCAGTCACTAGAAATGAATTGTTCTTGGTAAAGCAGAGGTCTGCCATGGCAAAGATCCCAGGCTCTAGTCCCAAGTGTGAGTGTCAAGCTAACTGCAGTTTTTCACAAATTATGTGCTTGTAAACAAGTAGCACTCCATGTGCTTGGACACTGTGAATGGTCCTTTTGAGTTGTGTGTGCATGAATGTTACAAAGCAAATAACTGAAGAAGCTCAGCTTTTGCAGAGTGCTCAAATGGAGCAAGAACTTATGATAATAAGCAAGTTCAAGTACTTGGGAGACAAGGGAGGAGTTTTGGATCCAATCATTACTCTTGATTAGACAGAATAAAACAGCATTTGCCCACAGGGCTTATTTAAAGCACATCTTCCTTCTCTCTCAGTTCTCTAAAGCTGCAGAGCTCTAGAGGACGGCGTTAAACAAGTTAAACATGTGCTAAAAGGATTGGAACTGTCAATCTGATTTACTAAAGAGGGGAATAACGGGTCATTTTAACATGGCTAGTTGGAAGTGTCAGTTGTTGTGACAGCGCTGAATGGGTCAAGAAGTGCTCAGGGTATAAAAGCTGAATTACAGTAAAATTTCATTTTAGGTGTGAAAAGGGAGCTGAGATAGATGTAAAAGAAAGAGCTTTAGGTGAACTGTAAGCTGTTGTTGTTTACAGAATAATTCTTATTCTTGTCTCAAGATGTTGCAAAGTCTTTACAGAAACAACACGGATGAACTTCTGGGCCTCTAAAAAGATTCAGATAGCTCCACCCACATACACACCAACACAAACACACAAAGGCACTGGATCACAGTGGTTACAAGAGTAAGCTGAGCCTAAGAATTTGAACATTTTTAAAGATCCATAAACCATTCTGAAGTTATCATCTGTCATGAATTTTAAGCATCATAAGAAGCTGTGTAAAAACTAAGGCATTTTAGTTTTTAGAGAAGAGGCAGAAGAATTAATAAGCTACCGTAAAATTCCTGCAGAAGCTTTTTTCAGTAATGTTTGAGCTTATCAAGTCAGCTGGTAGGTCCCAAGGGCCATGTGAAGTAACACTATCCTGTCAGTTTTTGAACCATGAACATCGATTGATCTACAAAACCAAGAATTCTGCTACAATGGCTGAACATGCAAAAAGCTCTCAAGTATGGCTACATGATAGGGATGAAGCAAAATGCAGTTGATAGTGCAAAACATTTTCTTGCAAGGGGGGAAACGCAACAAACACATAAGCTCTGTGCATCAAACCCAGCCAAAATGCAGAGCCTTTGACTGTCTGTGGCCAAAAGCAACTCCATCAACTGTGGCTGCTGCTGCAGGGCTACAGTCCTCCTCTCCACCCAATACAGCCAGACTTCGGAGCAGGCCCTGTTAGTTGAGATCATAATCTAGTGTTAGATAAGGTGTTGAAATCAGCCAGTTAGCTAATAGAATAGTTAGCTAACCAGTTCTTCATCAAAGAACGTTGCCTTTCTATGAAGAACTCAATAACTATGACCTGGAATAAAGATGCATGCGTCACCATTGAAAAGGGAAGTATTACTACCAAGAAGCATCATTACAACGAAGCAATAATCTACCAAACTCTGTTTTCTTTAATTTAAGAGCTAAATTAAGACCATGGTATGAGTAAACACTTAAACCATTAAGAAGTCTCGATGACAGTATCAGTGTTAATAAAAAGTAATAATCCCCGTCTGTACTCTTGAACCCTGTTAAAAGATCGAAAACTGAATCAAAGACTTTGTATTTGGCACATTGACCACTTTATTGAATAATGTCTGTTCTTGAGCAGGGCCTCAGCAGTGGTTCTGTTTTTTTCATAGACCAGATGTTTTGTTTGTTGTCTCATTGAAATGCCAGCAGCCTTCCCTGTTGGTTTTACAGAGAACTCTTACTAACGGTGACAAGCCATTTTTCAAATGGCCCCTCTAGGGTTTAAATTGTCTTCACTTAGAATTCCTCTCAGCCTCTTAAGTGGTTCTGGCTCTCTCAGGTACAGCAGCACAGGTTCACAAACATAGACACACCAAAGCTCCTCTGTCTCATAAATCCACCCAGATTAGTGTGATCAAAGAAGAGAGATTCACATCAGGTTCAACACACTTCAGTCTTAAAAAAGAGTCACTTTCCAGGTGAGTCCCATATGAAAGGATTTAAGGTGAGATTTAAACTGAGAATCTGAGGGAACAACAAGGACTCTGATACTGTGACATCATTAAAGATACAGACAATGTCTCTTTAAAATATGCCTGAAAGTCAATCATTCTCCTGATTCAGAGGCAGTATAGATTACACCAAACCAGCACCTTTACTGTGATACTGGACTAGATGTTTCATCAGTGTGCTGGTTTCATTTGTTTGACTAAATTCTATGTACATCTGAGAATAGTAAAAAACACGGAAAAATCAAGAAGATGAATGTACTGAGTTGTTTTTATCACTTTAATAATTGTATTTAGTCCCTCTGGTAAATCTGTGAAATCATGAGGACTTAGCAACATCTAATCTAGGTCCACAGGGCAGTTGGCAGTGGCTAAGTTTTGTTGTTTTGCTTTGTGAATAAATCTTAACCAAGCTTGATAGAAAGATACCCTGATGATTGCTGTTAATCATTTAGACCCCCCTGGGCTCCCACTGCCCACCCATACATAACTGCAGTACTGTCAGGTCTTGTTTTCCACATGTTCTCTTTCACTTAAAGGCAACGTGAGGACTGTCCTCTCAAGTCTGAAGGATATTGTTAAAGAAGCTGTTGGACATTTGACCAGGGAAAAGTGTATTTGATCTGATATTTATGATCATAAGGCGTGTGAAGCCACTGTCCTCCATTCAGCCATGCATTGAATTTCACAACCATTGACATCCAGTATCCAAAGTGGTGTTCAAATTCCAGCTTCAGTATTAAAGGTTGGTCAGGTCCTGATGTCTGGAAGTGAACCCCGCAAAAGGACTTTGGATAATGTTGATTCCATCATGTTGGATCAGACCACTTTTGACAAACTGTGTAGCATTAATTACTGTTAAAGCCCTAATGTTATAGCTCATTTGAAGGGGTTACAACTCTTCACCTCCAGAAAACACCTCAAACAGTAGAACAATAGAAGAACTGTTTATTGCTTGATAATCAGCTATCAAGCAGATAACCGAATTCTTAGGCAAAGAACAGCTAGGCTACAATAACAGGACATTACAGTATGGTAGAACTACAAATCTCTGTGGGAAGGGCAGCAGTCCCCACACTAAAAGCCTCTGAGTGCAGCGGCTGGCATTTAAGTGTCACAAAGACCTGGACCCAGAGGAGAAGAAAGGACCAACAAACAGGGAAACATACAGCCAGAACACCCCCAAGCCTAACACAATGAATAAATAATAGGCCATACAATTATACAATAGACATCAATCATGTTTAACAATAACTTAAACTCTGTAAATCACACTGATTCATTCATCAGATTTAGGCTGGGGCCTCTTCCGTCTGCTCGGGGTCCAGGTCCACGCACACCTGGACCTGGCCCTTTAAAAAAAGAGGAGAGGCTAAAAGAAAAGGAGCTGCTGCCTCTCAGTCAGGGATCTGGTTGTGTCATTGCGCTCTTATGAGTTGAGTCGTTGGCTGATTCTTGCGTTTACGGTAGTAAATCCTTTGTGTGTTCAGGTGTTGCAGTGTTATTATATTAGGTCAGAGGGTCACCTGAAGTTGGGGATTATCACTAAATTTGAACAAATGCTGGAGGATTTAGATACTGCTGCTTTAGATGGCTGCTTACATCTGAATGTTTGTACTGAACTGATGAGCTGCAAAGAAGGATAAGCTTCGTCTATTAGATTGGTAATGATTTCAGGTAAAATAGTCCATAAGAGTAGTTTCCCCTCAGGATGTCATTCTCCACTGACCAAGCAATCTAATGTAGCTCCAGGTAAGTAAGTTAGCATTGGCCATAGGATAACAGTCAATGATCATGAATTTAGACAATGATCTGTACAATTGTGTTTTTTAACCCTATAACCTCTGGCAGCCTCTCATAATCGTGTATTGTCACTTTGGTTGAAGTCTTCTTGTGTCCCACCTCTCCTGCAGTGCTGGTGCTGATGTTTGTGATGTGGATGAAGAGGAGGGATAAGGAGCGTCAGGCCAAGCAGCTTCTCATAGACCCAGAAGATGATGTCCGAGACAACATCCTCAAATATGATGAAGAAGGAGGTGGAGAAGAGGATCAGGTACACATGCATACACACAGTGTGGAGGGTTATTAAAGGACAAAGACATACTCATTATTACTCATTCTTCCTTGGTTTGTCTCTCCTTGATGGGCTATGTCTAAAAGGACAAGCTGACTGCAGCCTGTTATTTACGCACACTTAACCTTGACCATACTGATGGTTGTGACTCAAGTTTTCCTGCAGCTGAATTTACATTTACCTCGAGTAAATATATACACATGGTTTCTAAAGTTCATGCTAACAGTCGCCTCCTCCTTCAGCTCAGGAACAAACACACACTCTCACTCCTATCAACTTAGACAAACATGTATTCTTCAAAACAGCCTGAAATACACAAAATGTTGCCACACTGACACACCCTGGGCTTCTCTACAGTTTTCAATCATCTGTCCTCCAGCTAAGATTAAGTGTACTACAAAGAGGACCTCGAAACAGGATTAATTGCTTTCTGTTGGAGAACAATTTCCTGTGTCTCCCCACACAGCTCCTCTATTGGTGCCAAGCACATAAGCTGCTCGACACTTCTGCCGGGAAAATGTTTAACCCTCAGTTACCCAGCAGAATTTTGAAGAACTGCCGGCCATTGTTGTGGCTTTCACTATGTAAATGCAAGTTTGGCTGCAGTCATACAAAAATAAAAATATGTACAGGAATGTTCACACAGCCCTGTCCAGATGGGGATTCATCTGCAGTAGTGCAACAACCTGTGAATGCTCCCTCTCTGCTGTTCTTCCAGCCCAGTCTTTGACTGAGTTTGAGCTGCTCTGGCTGTGCTTCAAACACAAAGATACAACTTGACCTGGTTTGGGGGTTTTGGGCTCACCAGAATTGTTTACATACCAAAGTAAGTCCGTATTCCCAAGGCTGACCAGACCAGCCTGTGGATATGATTCCTGCTGTGTCTTCATACTTACTGAAGACTCTCAATGATACTTAAATTACATTTCAGACCTCTGCCTGTTGAAAGTTGCTGTTCTTCCATACTAGATAACCTTGGATTAAATCTTAAATGATGTAAATTTCAACAGTGTGAAAATTTCCTCACTAAGTCATCATGATGCTTAAAAACTTTGAAGCCAGTCAATCATGTAGCTTTACTCGAACTCGAAATTCACACACTAATGGACTGCCCTGTACTGTAGGTAAACTTGCATCCATGGTGTCGGTTAGGCCTTTTCCATACCCAGATGAAAACAATATATTGCTGTTTGGTTTTGAAAAAGTTTTTCATAAAGACTTTCAAGAAATATCCACATTAATATGAAACCACTGAAAACCCCTGAAAATTATGTAGTGTATATGCCAAGCTAGTAAGTGCCGCTGTAACACTGCCCCAGAAATTTGCCAAAAGACAGGAGGAGAGTATAGAGCATCTGCATAAAAGTTTACAGTAAAACAGTCTGTGAAGACACCAGAAAAGGCTGTTTTTGCTGGTGGTAAAGGAGCATCAAGTTTTGTTGTAAATGTCATAACAAGCTTGGCAGCTTCTGCAGCATTAACACAACCCTGTAATCAGCCATTGTTGTTTTTGACAGACCCGCACATGCGTCTTAAGAGAGTTATGCTGTGTGTGACGTAATCGATTCAAAAGAGGTGTGGATGGGCATTCACACAGAGACAAAACAGTAGTCTCTCTACAGTTCACCAAGGACATACAGCTTCTCCTCAGGGTATTCACACTGTGGTATTCTCTTGGTTGTTGAGTGGACACCCTCTTCCCTCAGTGTTTTGCCATTGACTCACCTGGAAGCCTAAATGGGGGGTATCTCTGACCACTTCTTTCTCCAGCAGCTCTGGAGAGGTCCTTGGTTGTTTGCTGAAGGGCCTTGCCTCACATCCCCAGCTCCCAGAGAAGCCTCACTGTTGATGTGGCTACCAAGCCTCTGCAGCTCACTGCACTGGTCAGATCTTCGTTTTACAGCCTGATGTAAGCTGATGTAGTCTTGCTGTACTGCATCCTCCCATGGCACTGTGAGCTGGACTATGCAGTGAGGCTGACCACAGAACACGATCTGGGTCTAGGCTGGGGCTGTGGCCTCCAACAGGGAGCAGAACCTCTGGTTTAACTCCACCACCACCTTCCAGTCACATGCCCTTCCGAGCTGTCCAGCATTGACCTGCAGGGTTTAGCTGACAGACACTGTCAGTGGGCAGTGAGGTGAAGCAGGAGGAAGGGTGTTTCATCTTCCTGCTACCCAGCGATGAGCTGAGACTCTGGAGCCCCTGGTTGTGTCAGCAGGTATACCAATCTTGAATGAGGTTGGTCTTACAGCCAACAGCTAAGATGTGTTTCAGTGTTGCATGTGTAGGGCAGAGAGAGTGTGTGGGGTCTCATCTATACCACTGGCAGATGTTTTAGGAGGTAGAACATCTTGATGGTGACACCTTGTTTTGAGATCTTTTCCCTGTCTACTCCCTGCCAACTCATTCACTGCTCTTGCCCTACCTGTACCAGGGCTTTTGCACACCTGGTTACCCCCCTCTGCTGGTGTATTTCTAAATGGAGACCAGCCATTGTTTGTGAGGACTGGGTCTTGTGCTTTTGTTGGCATTATCAGGTTATGCTGTAGTTAAGTGTAGAGTTCAGTTAACAGCAGTCATGCAGGATCATGTCATGTCACACTCTCATACACACACTGCACAAAAACATACATGCTTGCAACACCTCAAGTCACTGCTGATTAGGGATGGGCAATAAATTATCATTCATGATTTATCGTCAGAAAAATTCCCCACAATAAATATTTGCCATCTCACGATAAATGCGATAAATGCAGGTTGATGATATAAGCGCGACAAATGGACTCACAGCCATAGCCTACACAGAGCAGAATAGCAAACAAACATGGCCAGAGGTAAAGAAGAGGACGTTTCTGAGCGGCTCGTTACTGAACGAGGCTCCACATGAGGGATTTCCTTCAAGATTAGGGTTTGGATGAGTACAATCAGGTATGCCTGACATCAGACAGTGGATCTGCTGCTGCTGTTCACTCTGTGCAATAAGAGTTTTCAACAAATGTTGAAAATATTTTCACATTTCTGAGTTGTTTAATGTCACTACTTTTCTCCATAACCATAAATTTGTAGTTAAGTATCTCATTAGACTATGCCAACCGGTAAGTGCAATCCAAGAACAATGATTTTGGGGTTCTCAAGACAGAATGAGTCGAAAACAGATTGGAATTATAATATTTTTTTATCGGGACTTTAATCGTTATTGGCAGAATGGCAAAACTTATCGTGATACATTTTTTAGCCCATATCGCCCATTCCTACTGCTGATGTTTAGCAAACTGAAGTCAGTGTTTTATACCCTGGGCGGGGTTGTAGTCTAGTCACTAGACCTCTAGCCAGAGTCAGGTCTGTCAACCCCAGTGTTCAAGTTGGACTTACCAAATATAAGTCCATTTCTGATACAGACACACACCAAAGTCCTGATATTCACATATAGAGCTGTGCAAACAAGTTGACCCATGACAGCATGTTCTGGTGGTGAGAAATTATGTTGAATATAAACGTCAGTGTGGAAATGAGAGTACACATGATCAAGTCTTTAAAAAAAAAGTGAGGAGATCCTCTCCAGGAGGACATGTGTTTTTTTTATGCTTGTTAGTGTAGAAATACAAGAAGTACTGCGTGTTTCCTTTCTCCCTGCTCAGCAGCTCTTTTGCTGGTCAGTCATTATCTTGAACAAAGCCCAAGGTCAGTCCTCAGCATGCTGTTATTGTCCTGAAAAGGCTGCTTTAGTCGATTTCCCTGGAGACCAGAAAGCAAGGAATGGTTTGTGGATGGGTGCTGCAGTGACTCAGACAATACCATTCAACATGAACAGACTGGAAGCCGTGACACACACTTCCCCTCTGCATGCTGACAGAGCTCAGGTGCTAGAGGAGGTGACAGAGACGTGGTTTTTCTAAGTGGGTACTAATTGGGTGACATCATAGACTGTATATAAGAATGGACAGAGTCTGCCTCCTCGCTGGGTGAAGCCACTCTGAGAACAGCACCCTCTGTTGATGGGCTGCAGTACAGGTCATAAATCCCGCCTCCGCCAGCAAAGCTTATGGGACTGTGGACAAACTTTAGAAATTTATTACACAGAACGTAATTTTTTCTCCCCCCTGCTTGTGATGTTGACATATAGTTACAGTAAGACTGGTTTGTGCCCAAGTCCTTTTTTTCTGTACAGCTCAGTTTTTAGAAGTTATTAGGGGGTTCATGTTTTCTATGATTGACACCTGGTACAGCCTATGGGCATTCAGGGATTGCGTAGCTCCTCCGGGGGAATACGCTGTTTGAGCCGAGCGTCATCACAGGGACTCTCGGCGACTGCACGGCCGAATGCGCACAACGCTACTGCACAGCTCTGGTTTCAAGGAAGTGGAGAAAAACCCGGAATTACCAAGAGCTTTTTGGCTTCAAATCCGTATACAGGCGGAAGGCGGAACCACGGTGTCCATCTTATATACAGTCTATGGATGACATTAGGACATGATGTTAGAGAAATGGTAGATGTTGAATCAGAGGCGCCACTGAAATCCTCACAGCATCAACTGTGAACAGCTGGAGCATAAAAGGAGCTGAGGCTTTTCACTGTTTAAGGAGGAAGGTTCTGGTCCTAGCAGGGCTGTTACTATCATGAGTCAGATATTGAGGAGCACCTCTGCTCATTTAGTATTTATCCTCAGGGGCATGTCATGAACCAAGGCTTTAGAGAAAACATGATTCATTTAAGGGTTTGTGTGTGAAGATTCTTGTTTCCCATTTCGCTTGAATCCCAAAGACTCTCTGTCCAAAACTTTTGAGTGCTTTGAGGTTGAATCAATCTGGTGTTCTGTTAGTTAGGGGGAGTTCAAAGTTTTATTTGGACATTCTTGACTTCTTCAGGGGAAAAGAGTTCACCAAAGAATCAAAGCAGATCTGTTTACAGTTTCTGATGAGGGTTCGGATTTCTTTACAGTATTTCAGGACTGCTTTCATATCAGCCTCAGAAATATTCATCTGTAATTTTTCTTCAGGAGAAAAGAATTGATCAGTTACTCTTCCATGGCCATTAAACTCTATTATATACAACACATCTGACCTGTTATCCTGATTAAAAACTCGTGTTTTTAATGTTCAGCCGTTCATGTTTTAACGGGGGGAAAAAAACTAAACACCTTATGAAGATATTTTAAACATTAATATCCTGAAAATAAAATAAGTTTTATTGTGTTTTTTTGTTAAAGTTATTAAGCATCTGTAAAAGATTTAAACATGTTTTAAAGGGGACCTGCCATCAAAAATGTAATTTTGTGTGTTTTTTGTGTCAGATAAGGTCCATATTATGTTCGTCTTATGTTGTAAATGTGAAAACAAATCGTTACGTTGTTTGCATTCTGTAAAGGTTTAAAAAAAAAATGGGGTAAACCAGGCCAATTTAAAAAGCAGGTCCTTCTGATGTCACGCTGACCTTGCTCATTATTATTCAGGAGCGCGTCCTCTGTGAGCCGCGCCCACTCTCTCGTTCTCGTACACAGTCACAGTCATCATCACTCTCCAGCCAGAGCGAGACCCAGCTACCACTGTATCGGCAATGGGTCTCTTCCAAACGACCGGTGTTTCCTTGGGTTCACTGCCGGGAAAATGAACTTAAAGCTGGGCAGAATGAATGAGAAAACACAGCTGGAGCTCTTCAACTTCCACCTCCTCTTCGGACTCGGGGTCTAAAATATATGGTTTAATACCTGCCATTTTTAGCCTTTAGCATAAGGTGACCAGACGTCCCCGATTTCCGGGGACAGTCCCCGAAATGGATGACCTGTCCTCGGGAAAAGCTGTCCCCGAAAATGTCCCTGATTTAAGCGTTTCTGAATGAGAGCAAAAATGTTGCATGTGGGCTCGAACAACGGTTATTACAATAGCCGAATAGGTAGGAAGCACAAGTAAGCAGTCCTGAACAACAGTTCTTACGGGGGTTATTACAAGGGGCATGCGCTGCTACTAAATAGTACCGAGATTTTGTCTGTGATCACGCAGCCCCTGCATCCTCCCCGCCGCCGCCACACGGAATATCCCCGGATATCATTACAGACATCTGGGCACCTTACTTTAGCACACATTAGAAAAATGGATAAACCGAAATCCGAACCTCCACTGCTGAGCCAATCAGAGCACAGCAGGCTTCACAGCAGTGATCCAATCAGAGCAAAGCTCATTAGCATAAATGTTAATGAGCCAAAATCAGTTGGTTTTCCTGTAAGGTTTTTTAGGCATACTAAAACAAACCATCAAATAACTTTTCAGCTAAAATTATGTTGCAAACATGATAAGAGGACATCAAGGATTATAAAAAAATGATAAAAATTGTTGTTGAAAAGTATGGAAAGTGTCACTGGCTGCTAGGGGAGATTGAAGAGGAGCTATTATACATTTAATTCGGACTCTATACTTCCCCTCCAATTATGGCGTTTGTCTGTAACGCTTCATTTTATTGGCTGTCTCTTCAAGCCCGTCCCCCTCCATGAGCCTTTCTTCTGATTGGCCACCTCCCTGAGGCCGATCAAAGAATAGAGCTTTATGTCCGTCCCGCCCCGTGTGTTGTGGTTGTTAGAGCAATATTACCTCGCTACACTGTGGGTGTCACCTCATGTTGTTGGCCATTCAGATGAACCAGTAAAGAGAGACTATTATGATGACCTCATTAGTGTAGTGAGTCTCATAGAGGATCAGTGAGATCTTGTGATCTCCCAATGAGTCCGTCTAAGCAATTTTTTCTAAGATTACGACAACATATATTTACCTCAGGATTTGAAAATCTGCATAATTTAGTATGGAAACCAAACTTTGTAACTTAACAGTTTCTGTTATAAATGAGACCCTAATCTTCCCCCTCTAAGAAGCCATACCAGTACATGAATGCTGAGATATATATATCCATAAAAAATAGTAGTAATTATTCCATGAAAAGTTTTAAACCTGAAATGTTTTCTTTTATTGGTGCCTGTGTGAAAAATCTGCCTGTATCTGTGTCTTAGATAGTTCTGTTAGTTTATGACTGAAGTCTGCACAAGTTCTGTTTCTGTTAGACCTGCAACATTACAGCTCTGTTTTCACTAATGTTATTTCATGCAAGTTTTTTTTTTTTGGTGTCAGTCTTACCTGAGAGTATCTGCAACAGCCCACAGTGAAAGTCCTTGTACAAAATGCAATAAGCTATTTATATTTATTTATCCATTAGCAGCATTCACATTCCTTTACTCTAATACTGCTTTTCAGGGCAGTGATGAAGGAAGGATATTGAGCTGTCTGAACTCCATGTGTATTAAGGACAGCACAGGCTTAAAAGATAGAACTCACTTTACTTGACTCCCTTAAATACCAGCATGTTGATGTGTGGTTTGATGTGTGCCTAGGACTACGATCTGAGTCAGCTGCAGCAGCCTGATGCCCTGGAGCCAGAGTGTATCAAGGTGGGGATCAGACGATTGGATGAGAGACCCCTCCATCATGACCACCAGTACCCCCTCCGCTCTGCTGCCCCCCACCCAGGAGACATCGGAGACTTCATCCATGAGGTACTACAACACATAATCTGTTGGAGTAGACAGATACAGCTGGGATCAGTAAATCTCATGGACTAAACCTTAATGGTAATATCCTCATGTAAAGTGTCAGGACTCTTGTCAGACTGGACCAGCAAGTGTGACCACAGTAGAGGGAGGGGGGTCTCACCCTCCCAAACTGACATCCAATCTGTTTGCCAAGATTATATTCTGGTGTTGGGAACATGCACTTGTCAGCACACAGGAAGTGATGAATCACAACTTGAGTGAAATACAAACTGTCTGTTTGACAGCAGTAAGCAAACACTGTGTCCAGAAAGAGCTGGATTTGCCAGCCTTAGATCTTATGCTTCTCTCATCCCTGTTTTATCCTTTCGTATAAACCATCAAAGGCTGGCCAGGATGTGTGCCGTTTACCTCATCACCTTACAGGATTTAGGAAACTGAAGATGAAACACATTTTTTCAAACAGCTCTGATTAGTTGCTATTCTGAGCCGCTGCAGTAGACACTTCTCCACTGCAACATTTGAAGACTTTGATTACTTCTCATTAAAACAGAAGGTGATGTCTGTGTCACAGGAATCACAATAGTGATATGTTTCAGTGATGGATCAGAGACATTTGATCATGTTTGGTGGGAATCTGCACACTAACAGCATTAATATCTGAAGTAAGCAGCCAAAGAAACAGTGTCTCTGTATTTCATCATTAGACTTGCTAATGGTCTGGATTAGCTAGCCTCAGACATAGCCTCAGCCTGGCTACCTAATTGGAGGTAAACCCGTTGAGTTTAGTTAATCCCGCAGTGTATGCAGTAGTCCTGAGCGCCCTGAGGCACAGTCTGGAAGATTACTACTGACTAACACAAGATGAATCATTTGATATTAAACCATTGAGTGCCTTTACTCACATCAGACTTCCTGACATACAGCAGATACCGGTGAGCATGTTCAGTTTATAGCTGACATTGTCTGGGTGTTTTTCTTGCTGGAGAGATGAAGGGTGTGTAGAACCAGGTGACTGAGACAGAAAACAGTTTACAGAAAGATGCTGTAGAGCTTCACTGAGCAGCAGAACAGAGCTATTTCTCACCATTGTCATCAGTGATACTTCCAGTTACTCTGTACATCCTAGGTATTGGAATAAGGATTTCAACAGAACAAGTACAAAGACTGTGAGAATTAAGTATGCTTTTTAAAATGTATTAATAATTAGTATTAGTATGATAACTCTGCCACTGGCTTCTATTTTCACAGTTTTAACAAGTAAAGAAAAATGTCCGTCATCACATCCTTAAAGAAGCAGTAAAACAGCTCTGGTACTAAGACTCTGCTTCAACATTTCCTCCTGAAAGAAAAGTTTAAAGTCCCACTCCGGTCGTCTTTTTTTTTTTCTTTTTCTTCTAAAAATGTTTTCAGTGATCTTTAAGTTGTGATTATTAAGTTTTTAGACAAAATCAACTTATCTGTGTCATTTTCAAGGGCTTTTCTTCTGCAGAGCTCCAGTAGCTCATTAGGAATTCATCTTTTAGTCATGGGTGGAGACAGAGCTGCTCTGCACACTCCTCTTCATGCTAGCTTGTAGTCTAACATTGCCGGTGTTGTAGAAGTAGCAGGTAACATAGGAGCTATTCAGCTCTGGGCTGAGCTTGGATTTGTGATGTACGAAATCTCACTCTGCTTGAGCTCGCCGTTTGGGTCTGCTAGAGATTCACAGCGATTTGAATCAGAAAAAATGCCATATGAACATGTAGACAACAAGAAAACATGATTTTCAATGGAGTGAATCTTTAAAGGAGTCCTGGATTCACTGGGAGCATTTTAATCTGAAGCAGACAAAATCTGATGCTGTCTTAAAATGCAGCTTTTGACCAATCCCTTTCTTTTTCTTCTTTCTTTAAAATATTATGTAAATTGTACTTTTTTACATTATTATCTGTTAGATAAGAATAAGGAGAACTTCATTTATTCCGGAAGGGAAATTCAAACTGCAGCTTCACAGCTTTTTCTTTTTCCCATAGTTTCAGTGTTTACTGTATCAAAGCTCTTCTTTGTTATAGTAACATGTGGGAGTAAAACTCTTTCAGATTTTGTTTTAAAAAGTCTAAAAGACAAAAAAAGTTGTGTACTGCTTTGAGTAAATTAACCTTCAGGTCTGGTTTGTGAGATTTGGGGCAGCACCACTCCTTCAGATGGGTCAAAAGGCCGCCAACAAAGCTTCTGCCAGGCTCCAGTCTTCTGCTCTCTGACCTCCTCTGAAGATTTCTTCTTTATCTTTGCGATGGAGAGAATTGAACTAACTTTTATACCAGTAGACAGTCTGTCCTCAAAGGACTAAATGAGGATGTGTTTAATCTTAGAAATGAAAGGTAACAGAAGTGGTTGTGCAGAAATTGAAAACAAAAATCAAAGCCTGCCTACGTGCAGCCCTCAACACAGTTGGCCAGTTACAGTGTGGTGTGGATGAAACTGCCAGAGTGTGTTTGGAGAATTTAATTCTCCAATAAAGTCTACAGAGACTGGACTCAATATTTCACTGTTAGAAAGTCCGGTGATAGCTCCACACACAGGCTGGGCCCCAGAGGAAATTGAATTGAACTCAGAGCCTGTGTGTCAGCAGTTCAAATCAGTGCTCTGCATTTGAAAGCTTGGTAAAAGCACTCTTTCAAAAGGATTAACAACACAACTCTCAGACTTAATCAGATAGACCACACTCTAACAGGTCTGCAGAATGTGTGGCAGCCAGGCAGCCAAGCATCTCAGCTGTGAAGACTCATCATTGTTAAGCAGTTGATACATGTCACTGTGTGTAAACTACTTCCATATTGTCGTTATTGTTTTGTGTGTGTGTGTGTGTGTGTGTGTGTGTGTGTGTGTGTGTGTGTGTGTGTGTGTGTGTGTGTGTGTGTGTGTGTGTGTGTGTGTGTGTGTGTGTTTGGTAGGGCTGAATAAAGACATCTGCCATGCGGAGCTATGAATAATGAGAGGGAGCTGTCAGACATGGTGAGCTGATCTAGACAGCTTAATCCAAAGGACATGACAAGCTGATGCTTCTGGTCCTGCCTCTCCCTCGCTGTGTTAATTCTCTCCTCCCATCCAGTTCTAAAGAGACAGGAGTGTCTTGAGTCAGACAACAGACGTGGTCCAAATTTTATTTCCACAGCTTATCAGATTTACAGCTTTCATTTCCAGCATTCTGGATAGCTGTAAAGAGGCAAAGACAAGTTTCTGTTCAGCCTGTTAGTTTAGGTAAATGTTTTCGATGTTAATTTTAGAACGTATTTATTTCATTTACGATACTATTTTTGCTCAGAAGTTCTTTGTAGAAGCTCATAAAAACTGTGTGGGCACAAAGGGGAGGTGCTTTTAAGTTCAGGCTCTGCTGGGTAATCTGCTGAATCTCTTCCTGGAGATGGAGGCAGCATCTGTCCAGTCTGACCCAAATCCTTCTGTGGTCTACTCTCTGCTGTAATCCCTCCTTCCCCCCTTTCCTCATTCCCCCCAGCACTCCCTGCTGTCCATCTCAGCCCTGACACAGACACACAAACACATACATACACACATACACACACATACACAAACACAGCCTTTCTCCTGAACACTCTCTCCCTCCTGTTGCCTCTCTGATTTGGTTCATATCTCACATTCTTATACATCCTGCAGGGGATGAGAGGGGGTAACGTGGGTTTTACCCTGCTCTACCGTGGTATGAAAGCATGAGCACAGGTTTGGATAAGACCCTTAGGTTTTCTTTACAGTTACTAAAGAAATATTATAGGATTACTGTAATCCTGCACTGGACATCGTCAGAGTACTGAAGCTCTCTTAGCCGTAAATTCAGCTTTCCTCTGACTCTGACTGTTGCCTGTCTTGTAGGTAAAACCTGATACAGTTAATTTTTAATACTTAACTTAAAAAGTAAAAGCTCTGCAGAGCAAATACTCCACGCAGAGCTCTCTTTGGCAGCAGCGATAAATACAAACTTCAGGGTTTGACCGGTGACATGAGTCTGGTCTGAATACCTCTCATCAAACTCTGGTTTTGTGTGCTAAGGCTGTGTCAGTGGTTCTCATCCCCCCTTGTCTCAGCAGCCACTGAAAAGGTTCCATTAAGACACTAAAAGTACCCCTGGATGAAGGATCACAGCTGATCTGCGATCTCTGATAAGCAGTATGAATTTTTTAACCTTGGTACACAGTTAATTTACAGTCACTGAATTACTGTGTAGCATCCTCAAAGTAAAAGCAGTATCCAGAATGAGAAAATGGACACATGGGACCCAAAACAAATCCCTGCTGCTTCAGTATGCAGCCAGTGCTAACAATCATGGAATTCATGATGAGGAAAAGATGTTTTTTTTTCCAAAATGAAGACAAAGAAATGCCAGTCTAACACAAGGGCACATTTCTCAGCTGTAAGTGACAGAGATGGCAGTGTTGGGCAAGCTACTTAGAAAATGTAGTGAGCTAAGCTACAAGTTATTTTACATTAAATGAAGCTTCGCTACACTGAAGCTACCGACCATAGAAATGTAGCAAGCTAAGCTACCATAAAATGACCAAAGTAGCTAAACTACATTAAAGCTTCTTTTTTTTTTTAACATCAAACTTACTTCATTCCAAGTCAGTGCTACCTAGTGATCAATGAAACTGCGAGACAAACAGATCAGATCCGTTCAATTATTTATTAAACTCTTCTTCTTCACACACACACACAACTGTTGATATTTGCTGGCTGAGTTGTGATGACTAGTTTAGCTGGTCATTGTGTTAACACAATCACCAGGAATTACCTTCAGTGTGTCCTTAAATTTGTGTTGGACGTGATATGGCCATGGGGATTCACAAGGTGAAAACGGCTCCCCCTCCATTGTCTCCAGCTCCATCCCGGCTGCATCAGACAATTCTCGTGGGCATCTTTTTATACATATTCAGGCATCAGCAGGATAGGCACATGACATTACTAGGAAGAGATGCGTTTAAGGTCTAGGAATGCCAGAGAAAATGAAGCTTTTGTGGAAGCTACCTTGGCACTTGACCACGAATGCAGCTTCACTACTGAAAAGCTATTTGATGTAGAAAACAGTAGTTAAACTAAAAATGTAGTTAAACTAGTAACGCCACTACTTGTAATGACTGCCCAAAACTGAGAAATGGAAAAGGTGGAGACTTACACAAGTACAAACTGGTCACTCTGGACTGAGGCTGCACACTCGCTCCATTTAAGCTCGCGTTGTAAATTTCCAACAAGACACTACAGAGAAAACAGTTTGGAGACCTGAGTTTTTTGTCATTAGTAGATGTATGTATGATGTATAAATGTAAGTTGGTGCCTGGATGCAGGGAGGATCCATCATATATGTTGCAGGTGTAAGCAGGAGTGGATTCATGATGGGTCATGATAGTAATGTTGAATAGTTGTTCTAGGTATATGTTATATTTATAATTCATGTTCTCTCCTGCTCATGTTTGTAGATTAGTCATATTGTTTTACCTTTTTTGTGCAGCCAGGCAACATCATGTCTGTTTTTCCAAACTGTTGTGTGTCTTTCTCTAACCTCTGTCCTTTCTGTTTTCTTCTTTCAAGGGCCTGAAGGCAGCAGACAACGACCCCACCGCCCCACCATACGACTCTCTGCTGGTCTTTGACTATGAGGGCAGTGGCTCAGACGCTGGCTCCCTCAGCTCCCTGCACTCCTCCTCAAGCTGTGGAGACCAGGACTACGACTACCTCGGCGACTGGGGGCCACGCTTTCGCAAGCTGGCGGACCTCTATGGCGGAGGGGACGATTAGAACCCTGACAACAGCAACCACACCCTCCCCACCCACCCTTGCTCCAAGGCTCAGGTGGTGGCTGAGGTTAATGAAGAAGATATGGGATGAACATGGGGTATTGATCGGCACTTCTGTATTACCAGGTGACAGCTTGTAAAGAGACTCGCTGCCCCTTTATGACAGTTAATGATACTTGGGACCATTCTGACTCCTGGCCTAGCAAGGTCTGACGCCCACTAGCATTAAAGCTAATGGATGTTATCATTGGAGCATTAGCCCCTGCGCTAACAAATGTGAGCAGCTGAAACGGTGCGATCAGAGGGAAAGAGCTACAACAGCCATGCTACAGACGCTCATTTACACTTGAATCTCACAGTACAGGAGCACTGGGGTCAAATGTGCCTTTTTGTACATTCTTTTGATTGTGTTCAGTCTTGATTCTGTGCGTTGCTTTAAAGCTCCCACTGTTTTACAACAGCGACTGGAGGAGCACTTTGCCATGATGGTGTGTGTGTGTGTGCGTGCGTGCGTGTGTGTGTGTGTGCGTATGTGTGTGTGTATGGATTCCATCTCATAACTGCGAGGATGTAAGTAAAAGTGTGTATGAGTCATTTCCACAGAGACACACTGGATGGACACTAAAGGGCAAAGCCTACTATGAGATGCTTTGGCTAATTCAAACAGCAGAAACACGGCTTTACTGTGCAGCTCATCTAACAGTCAGAACCTGATAACAGCGGTCCTGATCTCCGAGCTGGTTTTAACAATCAAAGAGGAAACCTGTCATATGTATTAGGCAATGACCACCTGCAGACATCTTTGTGATATCGTATCCACTGCTTTAACATGTCCATGTGCAGAAACCACAGTCTGATTTTCCTGCATTGCTCAAGTATTATTGAGACCGAGAGGTTTTCATTTCCTCTCTGCTCTCCCACACTGACTTACCTCTTTAAACTCAAGATCATTCAGCACTGTATCACCTCAAACTTTGGATTGCAATGTCTCAAGGAATGTCTGCTTTGAGCACTCCTAGATAGTTGAACACATTTAGTGCCACAAGAAATATGAATGACTTTGTTTTTAGATCTTGGGTTTGCTGTTGTTTTCATTTTTGTTTTGTTTTTGTGTTGTTGTTTTTTTACTTTTAGTGCTCTTTAAATGTTATGATTATGTCCTTGCAGCCCCGCCTCACTAATAGAAACCTAAAATGGGAAGTATTTTAGTCTATTTGCTGAATGACATAAACAGTTGCCAAAGGGGGGAAATACTGTGATAAAATAATTTCTGTGCAGATGGAAGAAAATATAGTCCAAAAGAGCAACAAAAATCAAGGTTTTAAGATTTGAAGTCAAAATCTAAAATCATTCAAAGTAGTTTTGATAGCAGAGAAAGATCCCTAAAAATTCACATCATGGAGAAATTCAAAGAAAAACTTTCTAAGGTAGGGAAACACTGAATTTTTATTTTTTCATCTGTGTCTCTGATGATACACAAAATCTCTAACAAGAGCAGGAGTGTGCTGTGAAACCCCCCACTATGTATTCTGGTTCCCCTCAACTCTGTATTCTGCCCCTGCTACCCCTGGTAGGCTCATCCTGATAAAAAGACGACTCGTTTTTCATAGCTCGTTTTTACTGCTAACAATATCAAAGCTAGTCATTGGCAGAGCTCGCCCTGCAGTCTGCCTCTTTTTCTCACAAAAGTTGAAGTCGTAATGTATCAGCAAATGCCAATCTGTGGTTCACGTCCTCAGTTATTTGAATTTCAACATGCTGTTTGTTTTGGTTTGGGCTTTTAAGATCAACAGAAACTTTACTCTTACAGTTAACATGCTGCACCAGCTCCCCAGTTAAATCTTTGTTGGATCCACCCCAGATTTATTCCTGCAGGTAAAACATTTCCAGATTTCCTCACAGTAACAGGAACTTGATAGAAGTTGGTAGCTTGGCAACCATAAGCCTACCAACGGAACATGGTGCTTCAATTCAGTCAACTCATTCTGCTGAAGGTGGTAGCCGCTGCATGAAGAGCATACACATCTTTCTCTCTTGTATGGAAGAAATTATCAGGACAAAAGTGGTCATAATTATAACACTAAAACACTATTATCAGTTCCTTGTACCTCATGATTATTATAAGAGGCAAACTGCCTTAAAGATTACAGGATCCTCTATTTTTTAAACTGGAGTCAGGCCTCTTGTGTGGTTGTGGGAATTAGTCAAAGCATTGTGGTCAAACTTGGAGCTGTACAGTAGAGCTACATATTTCTGCCAGTTTGGGGTCCCAGAGCTTGTGAGAAGACATGTACAGTAATGCTAGACTTTAGATAGATCCCCTCTGTTTTGTTTTGCTTTTATCACAATGTAACTTATGCAGCTGATTGCCAATAAAGGGAGACATCAGTCCTTGTTTTGTAGCAAAGAAACTTCTTGATACTCTGCTGTGGTGGTGGTAACAAAAAAAGGCAATGTTTCCTCTGTCTGCTGATGGTTTGCCTTAGTGTTCTCTGGTACTGTCCAACTGGCTACTCACTGTAAACTGAAATCTGTACAGATTGTATTTTTTCTCTCGTTGTTCTTTTGGCCGTGGTCTCTGACAATGACATGCTAATATCCTGAATCCTTGTATATGTGTAATTTGGATTACAAATTAAAACATTTTTGCATGTTTTTATCTTTTCATTATGGGAAAACGTATTTTTTTAGATCATATGCAAAGAAAACAACAGTTGCATAAACACAAACAGACAAACTCTGGGCAGGTGGACAGCTAAAGCACAAAATTGACAGTATAGATTGTATAAAACATGTAAAGTATTAATACCAGACGGTTACAGTTTCAGTCAATGGACTGAACTTATAAAGTGCTTTTGACTCCTCAGAGTACCTGACCAAATGTATGCATCCATTCACACTGTATCTATGGGGAGAGATTTGTCTTAAAATTCTGCACAAATATATATCCACAATTTTCACATTTGTGTTTTAATGTTGTGTGTGCATTTATCTTGACTTATTTTTTGTAAATCTTTAATTCTGCTTGTGAATTGTTGAACGTGTGTTTGTGGACCAACCGGCAGAAGCATTTTTTTAGACAAACATCACCCAGTTTTAAGAGAAACACACACACAAACAAGTGGAGGATATTGACATGTGTGGAGAACACCACCCCTCCCACCCGCTGAATAGACCATTAAGAAGATGATTGACAGCTATCCACTATAGAAGTGGAGAGAGAAGAACATCAACAAGCCAGTTGGATAAGTTTGCAATATGATTAAGAGCGACAAAAACCCCTCAAATCAAAACGCTTTGGGCAGACTTAAGATTTTAATTTATGAAAGGGTTAAATATGTTTCAAACCTCTTTCCCATCCAAATTATTGTATATATTTGTGTATAATTTGAGCCAAATCTCTCCCTGTATGTATCTGTATCACACTGATGGGAGAGGCCCTGTATTTCCTCTGCAGCCAGGAGCAGTGTGGGTGTCAGTGTCTCACCCAAGGAAGTTTCCGCATGTGGAATGTGGGAGCTAGGAATGAACTACCAACCTGCCCATTGAGAGACGGCCCAATAAGCCACAGCTGCCCCTGAATGATGGGACCTGTTCAGCTTTGAAAAGAGCTGTGCTGACATGGGTGTTCTGCCTCCTAGCAAAATGTCACAAAGCACCTGTTGGTTAAATCCGTCATACTCCTAATTATGCAAATCAATGCATAACTCATCACCTAAATGAGGAAGGTTAACTTCTGTTTGAGGGAATTGGAAAATTAAACTTAAATCATGTATTGCTGCAACTAAAATGGTCTTTTGATGTGGATGATGTCAGTGGGACTTCCTGGGCCAACAAAAGTGGCACTAGAGGACCTGCAGATTTTTGCACTCCGGTTTTTAAAGCTGGAGGTTTCCACTGGATAACAACCTTATCAACTTCAGGAAAATGAAGTCAAAACTTTTGTACTGAAGGCAGTATTGTGCTGCTGACAGAGCTCAGAGTCATGATTACAATGAGTATGAATCAAAACTAAATTGCTCTGTTGGACACCAGAAAAAGTTCCTCTGGGGCCAAAATAATCTCAGTGAGTTTCAAGAAGCTGCATGTTGGTGAGGGAATCTCCTCCCAAGGCAGTGTCTTACATGTAACCCAGTGAATTGAGTTGTCATTTAAACAGAGGTAAGTGCAGCTTTAAGAGGAAAACAACTGTAACATAATAAGAGAAGAAGAAACAAAAGTTCTGGAAGGCGTCTGACCCGGGAGATAAAGCACAACATATAGAGGGTGTACTCCAGCATGTTTATTCCTTAAGGGTTAAGCTTTAAATGCTTCAGACTCACCGATAGAAATGTTAAATCCCCACCTTACATAAGCTCACATCCAGAACTTGCAAATCTTCAGGTGCTTACTCTGAGTTTCTGGTAAATATTTGTGGAGAGCTACATAAATGTCTGCAGCCTTCTCCACAGGCAGGCAGGAGAAAATCTCCTAAAGGACTCATGGAGAGGAAAGCTGAAGTGGCATTTCAAAGATGATCAGTGAGGAACTTAAAATTCAATGCCATCACTTCAAAGAAATTTGGGTACCAACATCACAAAGGAGGACATTCATGTTTGTTAGTGATCAAATTAGGGTTGCAAAATTCCGGGAATTTTCAAAGTTGGAAACTTTCCGTGGGAATTAATGAGAATTAAAGGGAATAAATCTGAAATTTACTAAATTTAAGGTTGGCCCTCAACAAGGAACTTAAATATAGTTGAGGAAAATATATCATAGCATAATCTTGGCTAAAACAACCAGATATAATGCAAGTACACTCCTCAATCACATGCACACAACACACAGCTTACTGCAGGGCTATTGAGTCCTCACCCCCTACATGCACTGTGCATTCCTCCATCACATGCACAGATGATTTCTTGAACCCTGGAGGCCACACTTTTGAGCCCAAAGCATGATGACCAAGAGGCTTACGCATCCTTGCCACTTGAGAAAAGTCTGGACTACGGAGCTGTTAAAACAGCGGTGCTGAGGGCATATGAACTGGTGCCCGAGGCATATCGTAAAAAATTTCACAGTTAAAAAAAAAAAAGTCAAATTTATGTTGAATTCAGACATGAAAAAGAAGCGCTGTTTGATTATTGTTTTGCCAATCTAAAAATGTCAATAATTTCGATGACTTGCGCAATTTGATGCTGCTGGAAGATTTTAAGAACTGTTTACCTGATAAGATCACTACTTACATTAACGAAGAAAAAGTATCCACAGTTTCTGACGCAGCAGTTCTCGCTGATGAGTACATTCTCACGCACAGAGATAACTTTGAGAAATCCAACTGGTCCTCTGAGCGCGGTGCCCATGTTGCCTGGTCCGTTGTTTTTCCGCCCAGTCAAATTCTCAGGGCGAGTAAAGGACTGGTAGTGTAGATGCTGAAGACAAGTTTTTTTGTTCCTAATGTAAGAAGCGTGGCCACACCGTGAGCCACTGTTTTGCTTTGAATAAAAGAAACAAATCTCCAAAAGCAGTTCATTTGTTAAAGACCAAAACTTCGCCGAATCAACAGTCTGGTGCCAAGCAGTCTATTTCAGCCAAATCTGATCCGGAGATGTATGCACCTTTTCTCATGAAAGGTATTGTTTCCCTTTCAGAGGGTGAACCAAAAATTCTTGTCACAATTCTGAGGGATAGTGCAGCTCGTGATCGAGCATTTTCAACAGACACCAAAGGCAATGCTCCGCACCTACTGCCTGGAGTCCAGTAAAGACTGGGATGAGGGGGTCCATCTTCTCCTATTTGCTGCTCGTGAGGGAGTCCAGGAGTCACTGGGCTTCAGCCCGGCAGAGCTTGTGTTTGCACACACTGAGCGTGGCCCGCTTAAGCTTCTGCAGGAGAAATGGTTGGGTGACAGCAAGCCTCAAAATTTGCTGGATTATGTCAGCCATTTTCGTTTCAAGCTTCACCGAGCTTGTGAATTGGCGCAGCAGAACATGCCTGTGGTTCAAACGAGAATGAAAACACGGTTTGATAGAAATGCAAAAAGTAGATCTTTCAGTCCTGGCGACAAAGTGTTAGTGTTATTACCTATTCCTGGCTCTGCCGGTGGCGTGGCGGACGGTGGCGCACCACACACAGTGGTATTTTTGTCTGGCGGAGTCCGGTGCACAGCCAGTTTGGTATTTTCATAGACTGAGCCACAACGAGGTCCGCCAAGCTGGGCGTGGTGGCGCGGCAGGGGGAGGTGTCGACAGAATCTGCTGGAGCATGCCAACGACGTGGAAAGTGTGCTGAAAGCTCGCCGATTCTAACCTGGTCAGCTTTCAGCGCAGGCGGATCGCAGCTGGTCTAGTGGTATTTTGGTAGACTGGCGGCATAGTGTGCATACGTCACCGATGCCTCACAGGCCGGTTTCCACAATGTCAGGCACATTTCAGTGCAATAAATAGTCAACAACAAATAATATTCAGTACAACTATCTGAGTAAGCATATATACATTTAGATCTATATCAATATATTCTGATCTACATCTTATCTGATGAGCACGTGTTTGGACACACAACCTGACCGAATTAACACAGCTGAAACCGCATTAAATTGAATACCCAGTAAACAGTTACACATGATGAAGTTAACAAGATATTGAATTTGTCCTCCTTTCTCTCTTCCTCCTTTTTCTCGCGTAGCTTGACTTGGACATGTTTCTGTGTCCTCTCCCCGTCCTGATTCTGCGGCATCAAGGCTGACTAGATGATTTATTTTAGTGATCAGATAAATTATTTACTTCGAAAATTTGAACAAAAAAAAAAAAAAAAAAGGGGTCCTTTTACGCACGGGTGGTTCCAATTTTATTGGAATTTATGTTGTGATCTGTGCGCACAACCCACCTTTGTCATGTGAGGTTTAAATATATGCAACTTTATGTGATTGTCTTTATTTGTGAAAACGGGTGTTTGTCTTACCGGTGGGTCCAACATTACACACCCCAAATCCATCTGTGCTTATTTGAGAAAGTGTGCAGGACGCCCTCTGCAGCACTTACAGCGACACTTGTTGAGGGGCTGCCTTCTGTCGCCGTCATGTGGCATTGCTGTCTTCAGACATCTCTTGATCTCTTCGACTACTGCATGAAAATTGTAATACGCCTCGCCGGTGGCGGATTTAAAGGTGAGGAGAGGAGCTGATATGGTTGGCGAAAACAGGTCTCGGCTGTGTTAAATCCATTCCATGCCTTCTCTCCTCCCTCTCTATGACTAATGCCACTGGGAGGAGCTGAGTTAGGAAGGGGGGATACTTACGCCGGGCTGCGCTGCTCACCAAAATACCAGTGTGCTTGGGCACGTCCAGTGCTGATCTCAAAGTGTCACCAGCAGTTTCTGTCTGACGTGGATGATGATGATGATGTTGGTCTGTCCAGTGCTGTTGTCGGATGTTTGAAAAACTCTGAAATGTTGTCCAACCTTGATAAGTGTTTTCCCCATCTAACTCAGTTACAGCATGAGAATGTGGTCAGTGTAATAAAATCTCACCTTTCTTTGTTTATTAGATGTGCCGTCTTGGACTCACGTGCTCCAACACGACATTGATGTGGGGGATTCTCCACCAATAAAGCAGCATGCGTATAGAGTTTATCCAGATAAACGCCGCCATTTACAGCAGTAGGTAACCTACATGCTGGAGAACGATATCG